CCCCCCCCCCCCTCCACCCACCGCTGCTGCTGCAAGGTACCTGGCACACAGGACCCTCGACGCGCCCTCGCCTATGTGCGCAGATGTCTTGCTTGCCAATGGCTCGTTTCACGGTGCTATTGGCTGCTGCAGCTTCACTTCGCCGCCGCGCTGGAACAGCCTGGCCCTGCTCGGCATCATGATGCGTTCACGGCCAACCACGAGGCTGTCCAGTTCGTCATTAGCCCACCCGGCTACTGCGAGGACGGTCAGCCGCTGCGGACGGCCATCAGCATGCCCGTGCTTCACTTGATCGACTCAGGCGAGTCGATGCTCGCCAGCGCGCTGTGTCTCCGCCTCGTGCACGAACGTCTGGACATTGATGAGCGCGTCATTGCTCATGTGAACTCGGCTGCTCCTCGTGTGTCTTGCACGATAATGACCAAAATGGTGCTGGCGGGGCAGGTGGAGAGGGTTGCAACCGCACGATCGCTATGAATGATGTCTGATCAACGGCTACAGCTCGGCCGCAGAGCACATCGCTGGGCAACTGCTGTATTTCGCAGTGTGAGAGCGAATGCCAATGCTGTCAGCGATGGCTGTGCTGCCTTGCCGCGCGACCATCGCCTCGCTGCTGCTGTCGATATTTCGGCGGACACTCGTACAGTAAGGCCGGTATGCTGCGGATACGGTGTCACCGATTAGCCGGTGCGCGTCGTGGACAGCCGGTCAGCAGGGTTCGCCAAGCAAGCACTTAACATGAAACAGCCCTATCATGGAGAGCGAAAGCGTCGACATGCTATTCTAAGACCACCGCAGCACGTGGGCTCAGAGCACACCAGCGACCTGATGGTGTCTAGTGTCAAACTTGCCGCCAAGACCATGGCTAGTGCGAACCGCGCCATGCCGTTGCGACCTTAAGGCTCCCAGGATGTGAGACTAAGCATGACGCGAAAAAACCGCCGGTCATGCAACTATGCACCGATGGCATCGTGCCTGAGTTGTGTTGTCAGACTCAAGCACATACCACTTGGCGATACCATTGTGCCGGCCGAGCGCCGGACGCAGACGGTGTCCTCGCCGTGCGTTAGCATCCCGCCGAGATTGTAAAGATGGGGGAGACATGGCCAAGTGTTTCTGCTATCGCAGGCTCGATTGCACCAGTTCTAAGACAACATGATACCATTGAAAATCCGCCCGCGTTCTGTGTCGATCCCTGGTCGCTCAGACCGCATGGACCACCTTGCGGAAAGCTATGAAGAAGGCGTGCATATCTTCATATCTTGAGGTCTGCATGCCACCGTCAGACTCCTCAACAGCAGCAACATCTACTTCTTCACTCAATCATTATGTCTTCTCGAGCACGCGTCGGCCGGCACGACAGTGTCGACAGTAAGGCACCACGCAGACAAGCCAATGCTTGCCTACGATGCTACGAAAAGAAAGTCAAATGCGACATGGACAGCCTAGGCCAGCCATGCACTGGCTGTGCCCGAGACGGCATCACTTGTCAGAAGCGCACTCGAAAGCCTTACCCGTATGTCGAGACATGCGTATGCACTTGACATAGGCGATGCTGACTTGAAAACCAGACCACGCAAGGAGTCCAGCAACAGTATCTCAAAGTCCAACTCTTCGCGGAGCTCACCCTCCCGTGATTCAGTCTCTTCTTGCACAAATCCAATGCCTACGCCACCCAGGAGCATTCCATCTGACTCCGTGCCAACGCCAATGTTCGACTCCGAGCCTTTCTCCTTCCCAGCTTCCTACCTGGAATCCGCACCAGCAGATTTCTACAACTCAGTGCATGACCTTACCAACATTATGCCGCATTCCAGCACAATGGACACCACGATGACTGACAACATGATGCCATTCCTAAGTGGTAAGCTAGATTCGTGTCCTCTTCTCAACGGCCTCTAACGCGCCTTCGCAGGTACAAGTGACGAGTCAGGTTTCGCCTACCTCATGGATATGTGCAATCCAGAGCAAGATCCCACTGCACAACACTACCTGAGCCTGAAGGACACCGCATCACCACTTGACCCAGCAGCATTGGCATTTGCTGAGGCTCAAGGCTGCTTCTCAATGCCAAGTCACGCCATCTGCGAGGACTTGGTCCAATCCTATTTCCACTATGTCCACCCAACGCTGCCCATATTGAACATTGCGGACTTTCTGGAACAGTACACTGGCGGCTCATTCGAACAGACGAGTCTGCTCCTTCTGTGGAGCATGTTCTCTGTTGCAGCCAACTTTGCCTCCGAATCCACACTGGTCCTGTCAGGCTGCGCGAGCCGTGAGGACTTGAAGAAGCAATTCTACGCACGCGCTAAGAGTCTCTTTGACTTGGCGTACGAACAAGACAAAGTCACTCAAGTCCAGTCGGCTTTGCTCTTGGGGTACTGGTACTCAGATTTGCAGGACCACGCTCAAGCGTGGCACTGGACTGGAGTCGCAATCTCCACGGCGCAAACGATCGGCCTCCATAGGAGTTCGGATGCGAGGCACGCACACGGCGCGATTGCCGCCCCTCAGCGCCGACTTTGGGCAAACATTTGGTGGTCGTGCTTCTTCCGGGATCGCTGGCTGAGCTTGGGCCACGGACGTCCACTAAGAATCAACGCCGCGGATTGTGATGTACCAATGGTCGGCCCAGATTGTATGCTTGATCTCCCAGAGCGAGCACCTCAGGCGTGGCGCAAATATGTGCCACAAGACCTCCACCACATAGTGCCAATCTGGACTGGACTTTTGCAACTGACCGTGGTCCTTGGTGATATCCTCTCCGCAACCTACCAGCCACACAGAGCTCCCCTCGATAGCACAAGCATTGCTGATCTGGAGCGACGAGTTTCCGAGTGCTTGCCCGAACAGCAAGCCAGGCCCTTGAACCCGGAGCTGGTGCTCTTCTTTGAGTCACAAGCTCGGTTGCACGTCGAAGCCAGCATGATTGCACTTTACAGACCATATGCTACCGAGTTCCTCATGAGCCACGCGGACAATGTAGACCCTGCTGTCGCACGACTAGCAAACGGAAGAATCAAGGCAGCAGCCACCCGAGCCAGCGGTATTCTCGACCGTATCATCACGACAGATGCTCTCCGATTTGCAGGACCTATGATGGTACCTCTTCTTGTGCCCAGCATGACTGTGCACCTTATGCAAGCACGATCTCAGGATCATTTCACAAGCTCATGGAGCAAAAACCGCCTGGAGCTTTCATTAATGGTGCTCAAGCGACTGGAGGACAACTACCCAGCTGCGGCCGTGGTCCACCGACTGTTTTCGCAAACCAAGAACGACCACAACACTGTACAGTTCAACTTTTCGAACCCAACTCCTCCAAGCAGCATCGGCAACAGTCCTCAGAGCAATGTCATGAACCACTGGCAGGGTGCTCCTTTGGACCTTCACGCTCCCTTGAACACATTAAACACGGGCTTTCCCTGCAACACGGCACAATGGGACAGCCCGGAGATGGGACCAGGCTTTGACCTGTGGACCCTGACACCACCAGACGGGAAAATGTTTTTCCCGCTCGACGATCTTCACGTCAGCAGCATATAAGATCACATGTGCGACGTCCACGGCGAGCTGGTGAGAGGAGGACTGCATAATTATGAGACACACGACGGCACGAAATCATCATTGAGGTGGTGTGCTATACCAAGTGGGTCGGAGCGGTCGGCATTATACGATCTCCTTTGTTCTTCGATTTTCCTATGTTCCCTTTTGAGCGAAATGCGAAAGTTGGACTGTGCATTCTATCATTCTTCGGAAGTCCGAATAGAGTTACTGGAACAGATGCCGCTAGCGAATAGACCGAGAAATGTCAGCAAGCTAGGGTTAATCGCCTCCATGTGTCATCACTTTCCCTACCTGTCATTGCAAGGGCCCCTGGTCCATGTGCAACGCTCGTTCCGTCGTCCGACCTGCACAGGTGGTGCGTGGTCTTAGCTAGTAGATCTTGGCCAGGGTTTGTCTGCCGCAAGATCGTCCATCTGCGCATCGATGTGCCAGACTCCACAGTCGGAGCCGCATGTTGACCAAGTTTTGAGCATGATCGGCGAAGGCGTGGACAACCAGTCTTGCGAGTTTCTTGGAGAAGAAAATGGGGGCGCTTCGCGCAAAGATTGGCATGTTCGAAACGCAGCTCAACCTTCGTCGACGAGCTGCTGAACGAGTACGGCAGCACTGTTTCTCGTCAAGTGAATATGCCCGCGGACGTATGTCATGCAGGTAAATACCCGAGCGAATGAAATTGTGTGAGAAGCGAGAAGTGTTGTTAGTTCGTTGATTCTGTCTTACCATTTCGAGCCAGTTTCAGGCACGACAGTGAAGTCATGTGAGCCGCTGCTTCCCAATCTGCTGCTTCTTTGCACAGGACTGGTCGCCGAATCGAAGCTAAAGGTCTTGGAGAGGGGTCGTACAGTAGGAGGAATAGATGACCAGCATGCTGATAGACTATTCCTCGGACTTTGAAAGCATTTGCGTAATCGGAAATTCGGAAAGCCTATGTCGATGAGTTCGATTCAGTAACCCTTGGGGATTTCTGATCTTGGTCCAGGAATGTGCTGGTCTGTCGCCGAAGGTCGTTCTATCATTGGGTAGCTGATGGATGTCGAGGTCATTGGGGAGGCATTATGTCTGCGGGGTACCCGAATGGCCAGGAGGTGCCCGGCAAGGTTCGAAGCGGAAGGGCGCAGCATGACGGCGTCCAAGATTGGCAGCCTTCATGTTAGTCATGAAAGATCGATAAGGCACTCTTCTTGATCGATGCAATCGTTCTTAGTACTGAAACTTGACTCAACTTCTTATCTGTAACATCTCTACGATAAAGGTCAGCATGTCATCGTTGAAAGTCATGTTTGGCTGCGATGTCGAGCATTGCCACTGACTGACTTTCCTGGATGTGGGTGCTCGCGTGCAAGTGTTCAAGAATCCCTTCTCTTTTCGTCATGTTCCCGTCTGACAGTAAGCTAGTACTCCACGGTCGACAGGGTCCACGCATCGAAAGTAGATGCTATTGCGAAAGATCACATAAGCAATCAAAAGACGCGCGTTGGGCTCTCTGCAGACAGAATACCTTATAGTGTCCAACGACAGAGCGGTCAATGAATATACAACGACTCTTCCACTGCACAACTCCGAAAACTCCAACGCTCGGTCACTCCGAACTTGCCAGATCTGCTTCTTGCTTCGGCTCGGTCGTTACACAGACGAACAGTGAAGAGCTATCGTTGTATTCGGTTTCTTCACACAATACCGATCCACGATGATTCGTCTGTTGATACCGATGATAACGCCGCTCCTCTACTTTGCCGTGTTGGCCAAGACCCAAGACCCCGAGGATTGGTCGTCTTCCCTCTATAACACATAGCGCGAGCCGTGACTGGTTGAAGCATCGGCTATTTTCGGTACATGTTCGCTGAGTCTTGTGCTGACAATAGCAACTCCATGACATAGCATATGCCAAGAGCGCTGTCACGCGTGTCGTCTAGGATATGTAACAGTATGTGCTACTCCGCACTGTATGAGTAATCTGTGTCTTGGAGACGAGGACGAATCAGAATGCCATAATAGGTAGCTTCAACATCCTCGAACGCGAAGCTGCAGCGAAACGACCACATCTCCGTCGGCGATGTCCTCAAGAGATCGTCTCAGTGCCGTCACGGCCTTTCTCATCTTGTTAGCAGAGCTTTGTGTTCGGCCATGATACCTTCTTGGAAATACCCGGTCGGCTCATAGAGGCGTCTTCAGTTTCCTATTTCCCGATCACCGCCCATTGACTGTCCTCGTGACCATTGGTGGCCTTTGAGGCTGGCAAGTTTGTCGTCGAACCGCGCTCTAGCAGGCTGTACATGATGCATCCCTGACTCAGCAGGTGGTGCGATTACGTTGTGGATATCCAACATGGTTCCGACGCCGCTCCGTCTCTTCACAGTAGCATCAATTTCGAGCAACACGGACTCATGTATGATCCAGCTTTAGTCTTAGGGCACAGCTCTGGTCACAGAAAGCACTGACTCTGGCAGCTCCAAATCCAGCCACCGAGGAGGTTGGACACCAAAGTCGCCGTGAAGTAGCCAGTGCGTGGCCGCGGATCTGCCTGTTCCACGGGCGGATCGCTGAACTCCAATTCTCCATCATGATCGTCGCGATCTTCGCGGACACAGCTTGAGAAGCGGTGTGCTGTGCGGACAGCCATACCGAGTAACATAGGGATCTATGTGTGCGCGCAACGCGTGGACCATGAGCCCCCGAGTGATGTCTTGTGTCGGTTTTCTCACCGACTGTATGTCGATCACGTGTACCTAAGTGGTCCGAGTTCGAGATCCGTCATCGCCGCCGCCGACCCACTGCTGTTTCTTGCTATCTCTGGTGCCATCATGGTCAACAAGGTTGCAAATCAACATATCCTGGACGCGTCCTTGTCCAAGAAACTTTTGCGATAGCGTGTGTTGGCACTTACACGTGGATGTCCAAACCAAGCTGACAGCTGAATGCTTTCGTGTACAGTGAGAGAAGTTTCGGAGCCGCCAATGGGCGAAGCTAGGACCGTTTTTGGCTTCATGAAAACCGTTCGGATAGTTCAAAGTGGGCTTTGCAATATCGAGCAGACTTCCGGTAAGGGCGCACTCCGACGGTATGCCGAGTACAACCTTGATTCAAGCAGGTGTATCCTCGCTCGAGCTGAGTCGCTTTCGCTTCCTGGCGCGAAGTGAAATGGTGTTCTGTGCTTGTCTGGCTACAGCCTACAGGGAGATATAGGATAGCGTTGTGGGTGTTGAATGTAAACCCCAACATCGTACTTGAATACGATGTGCCTGTTTGTTGCCTATCCGTCCTCAATCATTGTGTCTTTGCGAGATATTTGCTTGAGTTGTGTGATCAGCGCTAAGTGAAGATCTGCCCGCTGAAGAAAACGGAAAATGCTAGCGGACGCCTTGCCTTTTGGTCGCACAAAAGCCGACAGTCTTATACCGCTGATCCTTGCAGAAGATACGAGATATCTTCCCGTGCTGCCGAACACTCCGGACGAGCAGATCTGCTGGACGAGCAGCTTATCAAGATGTCTTTGGAGAGATGCTGTGCGTAGCCTGCGGAGGGCACCTTGTGATGGACTGTTCACATCAAGTAGCGGGACGGCATGGCGACATTGGCTCGCAGATTCTCTGAACGGCAAGATCTGTATCACGAGGCTTCAGACGTCAAGGATGAACTGAAGATGACCAAGGCGCGCTTGAAGCGAGACGCGCATTGACTGGTGCAAACATCCCCCGCACGCCGAACAGATTTTGACTACCGGTTCATCAAAAACGCATCAAATATTCAAGTTCACGGCAATGCTCATCCCAGCCGGAGGGACGAGCTCCGGGCCGCCCGAGAACAGCCCGAAAGTCTCGAGTGACCACATCTCCCGGCGGACCTTCTTCAGACCTCACCCTCGTCACTGGCATCATTCATGTGGCCTGACTTCACTTGCAGACTGAACGTCCAGTACGGCCCTATGCAGCACACGAAGCTCAATGTCATGAACACAGCAAGATGCCAAATACAAAGATTACACGCAGCTAGATGCGATCTTGGTCTGTTCCAATATCACGGGCCCTGCCACATGGGTTCGCATGAGATTACCGCGATATCCTGGTCAGATGTCATGCGAACAACCATGACCTGGAAACCCATTTCCCTTGGGCCAAGGATGCTTCATTACACCATCGTATCGACGCGGACGGATCATGCGGCTCATGGAAGCATGTATAGAACAAATATCGGGCGTCAACAAGAGCAAAGCAGAAAAGATTGCACTTGACGGAAATAGGACGGCGATTGAGCTTTGGGTATAGTCACAGTGCAAACTAGCCACAAAGCAAGTCCACCATCCAAGAAATGTACAAGCTACTGTAGACTACATGCTTGCATTCTTCGCACCGCACAAGGAAAGAATTGAAGGGTCAAGTGGCCCCTATCCTGATAGGGCATGCCAATTCAACATTCAACATGATTACTGAACATACATCGCCGCGTCATCAGGCGGAGCGGAATCACATGCTGGAAGCATCAAGAGCAGCAGCAGATCACCATGCGAAGATGCAGATTATCGTATCATCGCGGCATCCTTAAGCGTCGAAGAGTTACCGCAGAAGATGCCAATGGCATTGGCTATCAAGCGATGTCGACAACTTCTTCTACATCGTCGGATACTCCTCGCATGTGAGAAATGAATAGGCAGTCTGATGAGAAATTCGCCCAACACGACGATGTCATTGCGGGCAACCTTTTGACTAGACCAATGGGGCTGCTGTGCAGTTTCAGCCTCGTATCATGGATGTTGATTGAATGAGCAAAATGCCCTGCCAAAGATAGAGCAATCTGAGACTCGTTGCTTGAAGCTGCAGCGCAAATGATCGGAAGGCAATACAGTCCGGCATTGGACGTGTTCACGATATCGTATCTTGCTCATAATCAGGATTCGGTTCTTTGGATGCACCACTACAACTTTCACAACATTGCTGCACGGCTTACTGTCTTGATGTTATGATGGGAAACGCTCCGTCTATGACATCAGATACCGAGATCTCCAGTGGATGCCTGCTGCTCGTTGCGCAAGAAGGGTCTCTCAGTTGCAAGGAGCTTGGGAGGCTGTCGTCTACGATCTGCATAGACGGATGACTTCGTCGACCTGCACAGCCCCCTCGATTCGCAATCGCGTAGCAAGTCTCTCCGCGGATATCCGCATGGACTATTCTGCACGCGAACAGCACATTCCGGGCGTGGATGCTGACCGGTTACGTGTTTTATCCGAGCTCGGAATCCAAGACGGAGACTTTGACGAACATATCCGAGTGACACAAGGGGCTTGGATAACCGAGCAACATTGGCAAAACGTGCACGCAGGGAAGTTTCACTACAGCTTGACGGAGAGACAAGACTGCAGAACTTCGGAGGGTCAGCACTACAGACAGAATGATATCGTTTGGGACTCACGTCCGAAGCTATACATGATGATAGCTTGAAGCGGGCTAACGCCAAGCCAAATCGCCGACAACTTCACCATGTGGCCTCAGGCTTCACTCCTCACCAAGTATGGAGAGGAACCAGTTCCTAACGGACAAAAATAGAGTGACAAAGGTACCGCGGTAGTTCTTTGGGCGTGGGCCGTGGCCCTGTACAGTGAAGCTCCTACAAGGAGCTCTTCCGTGGTGTCCCACGTGCAATACCCACTAACTCTGGGCCTCCACAGACGATGCCCCGATGTCCTTGCTTGGTGTTGGAGCGAACAGAGCACCTAGACGTCTAGGACGTGGTGCACACCACAGCCTTCGGCACTTCTCCATCCCGTCGAGGACTTCGTCCCGAGGAAATGCTGAGCTTGCGGCCAAGAAGAATGCAGGCACGCGGTCGTCAAAGTGCTGCAGCTAGTAAACGAGGCTGATTCTGCAGCCCTGCGGGTGGTGGCATCACGGCAATGCGCGGTTTATGTTGCATAGGCGAGGACGAGCTCCTGCTGCACCTAGGTGAATACAAGACTCGTGAAACACCACATCCCAGCCCGAACAAGCCGTGGTGGTTTGTCGGAGACTGAGACCGAGCACGACATGTGCTGCGTGTTTCGGCCTTGCTGTAGGGCTGTGCTCTTGGTGCTAACAAGGCTTTAGGACGTGTTTGGTAGACGGCTCGATCGCGTGGGAGGTCATGTCGAGGAAGCAGCCAAGTGTTTCAACCAGAGTAAGTCGGCCCGAGGTGTTTGAGGTTGTGCCGTATACACATCGACTTGCGAACTTCCCGCACAGGCAGCGTAGACTATTGTTCTAAAGTCCATCATCGAGGCATGAATCGCACCGACCGATTTGCATTGCGCATTAACACTGCCACTGTCGAGGGGTACGTAATCGCATGCGTATAGCCTTATACCTCTTCGCGAGAGATGCAGTGGAGCCGATGTTGCTGATGCGGTCGACCTCTAGCTGGTTCTCGGACGCAGCGAAAGTACAAGCGAATGGCATCACCGGCAAAGGGAGGCTGGCTTCTTCTGACGATTTACCAGCATCTGCATGAAGGCCTTGCTGTGTCTTACGCTTGCTTGTAGCCGAGAGAGTTGCGAGAATTGGGCTGTTCCGAGGCGGTCTGCGGCTCAGGTCTGCTCAATCGCGGGACTTCTTCGTGCTGGCTCTTACACAAAGGCGGTCGCTGAAGCATGAACCGCTAAGAAAGAGCCAGTAAGAGGAAGACTGACCGCTCACATCGCTATCGCGAAGTCCTGCTACCAGCCTCCCGGTTTACGTGCCGGTTCCTGCCCCGATGGAATAGCTTCGTCGATCAGTCCGTTCCAGGGGAAGAGAGACTCGGCCAGCATTAGACCTTCAGGTCTCAATACACTACTCCACTGGAATTGGGAGGTTGTGCAATCGAGTAGGCCTCAGATCCCACTTCCAATGCACGACCGATGCCGATGGAACTCGTGTCAGACGCTTCGCACGATTATGGCACCACTTTCGCATACCAAGGAGGACGTGTCCGATCCCGAAAAGTATTGTGTAGGGGACCAAGCGATTGCTTTGGGAGTGATCGGCGATCTATCGTGACATTATAGCTGTAGATAAATGCAGTGTAGTCGAGCTCTGTGTGGATGCCTTGGTGCCTTAAAGACTTCACAATCTTCTCGGACCTCGATGCGAGGGCGTTAGACACTGCTTGCGGTGTCGCGGAAGCGAGCTTTGCAGTGCGTGTTTGCGCCATGTCGTCTTCCTCGAAGCAGGGCAGCCACCGAAATGTGCGTGATTTCCTCCCGGGACATCCTGCCAACCTCTACGTGCTCAGGTGACCTCTGTGCCCAACTCAGCTTGAATGACCACAGGACCTAATTTCTCCCTCAGGTCGATCTCCTCTACTGCCTTCTTGATGTTTTGCGCACTACATAGTGCCTTCACAATGACTGTTTCATTCTTCTCGGCAACTAGATTTCGGAACGCGTGCATCAAGAAGCCGCTCACAAGTTCAACGGACCAAGAATCTGGAATCATCTCCAATACCTTAGCGGCATCGAGCCAACCTCCGAATCTTTCGAGCAACTCTGCCGTTCTGTCGAGTCGCTCGCTGAAATCTTCAATTTGAAAGAATTGGTCAAGCAGGTAGCCAAACAGCATCGATTGTTCGTCTCTGCTCGGCAAAGGCTGTGTCGGCTCCAGACCTGACGAAGGATGGAAGATGGAGCTGCCTCCAAGGAGGCAATAGCGAATTGCTGTATCATAGTCGCCAAGACCGTGTACAAGAAGTCGGAGCGCTTCTTCGTGTTTACCCTCACGACCATTGAGAATGATCATCTCCGGAACGAGCTCAGCGCTGTATGGCGCCAATCGCTTGCCCAGTGTATGTACGTCGTACTTCGAGGCGGCACCATGCGAGCCACCAATAAGCTGCAATAGTCGTAGACGATTGTGCCACCACTCTGCTTCCACGGCATTCTCCGTGATGAATTGACGATAGGTGGGCTTGGGAGGAATTTGAGCTCGATAGATGTCATAGGATTCTTTGAGCATGACGCGTGACTCCTTGTTCTTTTCGAGCTCTTCTAGAACGGTGTCGAGATAATAAGCAATGAGGTCGTTAACGTATTGCACATGATTTTTGCCAAACACCAAATGCTCAAGATAGTCTTTGACTGCATCAGGTGCTCTCTCTTTGAGGATGGCCACTGCTTGGGTCGGCTCGAATTGAACCCTGCTCGAATCGTCTGCAAAAATCTGTACACCCAGCTTAGGGTTCCTGTTAGCCAGCCAGGCACCGTATTCCTGGACGAGTGCGGTGTCTCGAATTTTCGAGAGATATTCTCGCATGACGTGTTCACCTTCGATGAACTCGCCGCCTGCATCGTGTTCACCATCGAGAATGCGACGCCACGTGGCTAGCACTTTGGAAATGTCTCGATAGTGTTTGTTCTGGTACAAGCGACTCAAGACATATAGTCGCTGATGCTGCTCGAGAAGCTGGACAGCCCGCTCGAAGCAATCCACGCCCTTGTCGACCACTCCATACAGTTCAGTTCGTACCGAGCCGGGTATCGCAGGTCCTCGAGGCGTGTCCTGGTCGAACATGAGTAGAGCGTTCAGAAGCGCAGCATCTACTGTTTGGAAGACGTGCGCTTCGTCCGCAACACTACCAAAGCCTTTCTTCTTGCGCCAAGCTGTCAAGTAACGCTTCGTCAGGCTTAACATATTATCGCCGTACGCGCCTTTGATATCGCGGTCAAGATGATTGAGACCAATCCCATGTCGAAGCCAATCGATAGTGTCCCGCAATCCCTGGGGGAGCCACAGACCTGCGCCTTCTGCCACCTCCTCATTGAGCGGCGGTACTAGAATCAACATGATGCGGGGATCGATTTCGCCAGACGTCAGAGCGTCTTCTGCACGTCGCTTGTCATGCTCGTAGGCAATGACGCCGCGCGCGGTCTGCAGGACCAGGTTGCCAAACAGCAATAGCGCTGCTTTCTGCCGAACATAGGTCAGAGTCAGAAATTCGAGCTCATCCCTCGGATCTTGTCCACGTATGCTGTTGAACACGCGTTGTACCGTCGGCACATCAATTGAGAGCTCGCCTGCATCGCTTTTCTGCATAGCCGAGCTCAGCTGCCTGTCAAGCTGTATGAGTAAGGGTTCTTGCAATATCCAGGAAACTCTGTCGCTAGCGTAAAGAAGTACGTTGGCGGTGGCTTGCGCAAAGCGAGACGCAAGCTTATCTTCGTCTTCGTTCCGTGCCTTCTCTGCGGAATTCTCGTTTTCGTCCGCGCTATCTTTGACGTTGAGCTTACGAAGGCGCAGGCTCATACTTATACCAGTGGTATGAAGGTTGGCGGTACTCGTGGCATTCCGTAGGCCAATGCCTGAAGGAGTATCTGCGTCGTTCTCGGTGACTGGTCCAATAGCCAGCCACTCCTTCGGTTGTACCTCGCCGGGCTCCGCATTCCACCGCTGCACCTCGATGCATCTTCGCAGAATGCCCTCGTGCGTATGCTGTACGATTGCGAAAACATAACCCTGGCTGAGCGAGTCATTGGGCGAACCTGCAGACTGCTCTGCCTCATGGAGGACCAGTGACTCAGGATAGGAACTGAACTCTATGGTTCCACGAACGACATCGCCATCTAGATTGACGAACAAGCCCACTCCAGGATCAGTCATGCTTGTGCCAGTGGTCAGTAAGAATTCTTCCGGCGTTGGAGTAACGATGTTGGCAAGAAGAGGTTTCGGGGCTTCTGGCGTTGGGGGGCTCTGAGACTCTGCAGGCAATGCTGGGAGAGCTTTTGCGCCATCGTCCGATGCCTCTTGCGACGCTGTTGTAGAACTCTCTGGCTCCTCGATTACGGCCTGACTCGCCTCCGGGGTCGGGGCCACTGCAACTGGATCGGCCTCTTGACGAGACGATCTCCTGGGTGGGAACGGTGAGTTACTATCTGAACGCAACCTGTCCATGTTGTGCGGCTGCCCGCCCAGGCTTGTGATCCGTTGATGGCCGCGATCCTGGCGCACAGGGCTGCGGGAGGAAAAGCTTCGCGCAGCAGGTCGTCCTGGAGGGGGCGGAGGGGCTAGTTGTTTCGGTGGCGGAGTGGGAGGAGATCGAGTGACGCTCGTAGACGAGATAGGAAAGAGCAAATTTTTGCGCTGGTTCACGACATCTAACAGCGAATACTCTTGCCCGTTAGCAACGCAGGCGAGATCACCTCGCCGCTCAAGTGCTGATACTCCAGCGAGCTCAATGTCTCTGATCTTGCGTGGGCGGAAGTCTTCTCCCACTCGAATCAATCGCAGTCGCTGTCGCAAGCATATCACGACAACAGCACCATTGCCATTCTCATCCTCCGCGCTCAAGTTCCGGTCTCGGCCTCCAACCCACAGACAGCCAGCTTGCACGACCTCTTCGAATGCAGGACTGAGCTCTGGAATATTGTAGAAGGTTAGAGTGCTATTGCATACAATGCAAGCCTTGTTGATGCTGGGCAGAAGGAGTATCTGCTTCACGCCCGCATCTGCTCCCGTCTGGGCTGTGGTGAAGTGAGGCTCAATTCGGGTTGCGAAGATATACGCTGGCGGATCGCTCTCGTGATCGCCCGGAATCGAGACATAGTGCAGAACTGCACCATGGGAGGTGCCAATGTACAAGTTTCCGTTCCACGTGTCAACGCATGTGATGTATCCTGTGGTGCCGTCGTCGCCGATGAGAGGAATGTCGCGGATCAGCTCGCGGGTGGTGTATGCGCCAGGCGAGCCATCTTCGGTGTAGGAAGTCTGCGCATTGAGATCATCGATAGATCCCATGACCAACGCGGCCGTATTGTCATGGTGTTATGTTGTATCGACAAGGTGAAGTCGGAGGACGGTGCTGCCTGACGATCATTGCAGCTTCGTCGTGGAGCACGAACGCGTGTTCGGCCGCCATCCCCGACTCTCCCGCAGTGGACAACGACACACCATCTACCTACACCTGCGGCAGCGCGATACGACTCACGAAGCGCATTTTCCCGGACGTGAAGGCTGGAGCGACGTGTATTGAACATATGGCCTAAACCACTCAGCGCCGCGGCCGAACGAACAGACCGTCCCCAAGCTTTAAGCCCCCCGTATCAATCGACATGTCGACCGCCGCAGAAATGGAGGAGGAGGCGGAGCTGGAGGCGACTGAAGGAGCATACGCAGAGGCGTCGATGAACGGTGCGGATACGGGCGCGGCGACACAGCAAGGAGCAGACGCGGGCAACAAATTCCAGCAAGCCGTGGCAGCATGGCGATCGCTAGACTTGACTGCGCTCGTCTCGACATTGGACGCCACGGCAGAGGACATGGTTCAGCAGCAGAAGGACTCGCTGGTAAAGAGAAAAGAGCTGGCGACGCGCACCAAGGAATTCCGCAAAATGGACGATAATGCCAAACTTTCCGAGGTCATGGGGCTGCTCAAGATGTATCAAGGCTATATCGACCTGCTCTCGAACCAAAATAAGGCCGTGTCTGCTGCCTTCATGTCCGCTTATTCTCCACTCTCCGAAGCGCCGGACCCATACCCATTGCTAGAGGCGTCTATCGATTCACTCGTGACTGCAGACGAAGTCGTGCCGAGGCTGGAGTCGGAGAATGAACGACTGCAGAAGCAGGTCGCAAAGCAAAACACCCAACTGGAAGATCTGGAGAAGCAATTAGACCACGAGCGGAATAAAAGGCAGTCATTTGAAGGATCACAAGACAGTAAGATCAAGGAAGTGGAGGAATCGTGGTCCGCCGTACTTAAGGAGAAAGAAGACAATTGGTCCGCGAAAGAGCGCAGCTTTGAAGAGAAGGTCGAGAACCAGGACCGCCTGCTCAAGGAGCTGAAGGCCAGCTACGAAGTGTCACAGAGGTTGGAGCGGACGGGCGAAGACAGTCAGGATACTGGGCGAAACGCAGCGGCAGCGGCAGAGCTCGAAATTGTCAACCAGGAATTGGAGAGGACGAACATTAGACTGGCTGAAGTGGAGGCTAGGAATGAACAATTGCGGACAGAACTCGCGCAATCTGCAGGGCAATCGAGCTCCTCCAAAAGCACCTCTGTGGAAGACGACCCGGCCTACCTTCGTTTACGCTCTGAAAATTCCTCGTTAATACGGCGACTAGACACTGCGAGACACGATCGCGACTCAGACAAGACTAAGTTGGAAAGCACGCTGCGCAGCTTGGAACGAGAGTTGAGCGCACTCAAAGCCGATCGTGATGCGCTGCAAAGCAAGGTACAGAAATGGCGAGACTATGAAGAAGTCAAGCGTGAGCTGGAAATGCTACGCGCAATCGAATTCTCCAGCATAGACGAGGCAGATACGTCGGAGACAACTCACACGAACGGCAAAGCGGGCGAAAGCCTGGAGCAGCTTCTTGTTGCGCGCAACAAGAAACTGAGTGACGAATTGACTGAGTTGAGAGTGTCCCACAGAGAACTGCAGCAAAGACTGGAACAGCTGCAAGAAGATCTCTCGAACACTAACATGGAGCTTGAGCAAACGCAGAAGCTGAACGCCACATTGGAGAATGACCTTCAAAAGACCCAGCAGGAAGCCAGCAATGCCTTCGAGACCATGTCTGTAGCTGGCACCTATACGTCGCGGTATCCAAAATCGCACTATGGCAGTCGGAGAGGACGAGCAGCCTCGCCGACATCGTCCATCATCGGCGGCTTTGATCCTACAGACAGTGGCTCTCAATCCCCTCGTCTGGGCAATACTTTAGAATCCTTGCGCGCTGGCGAAGGAGCTGTTGGCGGATCTGGCATTCTTCCAATGGTCACTGCACAGCGTGATCGCTTCAAGAAGAAGATCGGCGAGATGGAGCAAGAATTGCAAAAGCAGTACCAGACCGTCTCATCACTGCGAGGCGAAATTGCGAGCCTGCAGAAGGACAACTTGAATTTATACGAGAAGACACGCTATGTGAGCACATATAACCGAACTGCCACAAGCGGCGCATCCTACGGCGGCAATCCCAATCCGTCAACGGTTTCCGTCGGAGGCAGTGATGACCGCTATCGATCTGCGTACGAAGCCAATATATCGCCTTTTCAAGCCTTCCGAGGTCGCGAATCTGCGCGTGCGTTGAAGCGGATGTCATTGCCAGAACGAGCGGTCTTCCAATTCACACGCATGATGCTCGCGACGAGGACAAGTCGGAATCTGTTTGCGTTTTATTGTGTGGCGCTGCATCTTCTCGTGTTTGTCATGCTTTACTCCATGGGCAGTGCTCACACGGCAGCTCATGCTAGCAGTCTCAGCACGAGTAGCCTGAAAGAACAAGTCGAGGCTGTTGCTGCAGCAGGAGGCGCCGAGGCCCATGGCGATTGGAAGGCGCAAGAGTTTAACGCTGCTGATGGGTAGACATCTTCACGTATGCAACTCAGCGAAAGAAGCGCGTTGTTTCACTTACCAAAAGCCAAGATCGGATCGAACATTCTACAACCACAGGGCCGTTCTTCTAGAGAACGCAATTCGCGTTAGACGCATATTCTTCTGGAGGACGCAATCAGTGTTAGACGCACATTCTTCTAGACCGTACAATCGGTGTAGTAATTACTATATGCGCGCTGTTTGGCATCACACAATCGGTACTATATGCGCGTTCTTCTGCATCGCACAAACCGGTGTTATATGCGCGTTCTTCTGAACCGTACAGTCGGTGTTGTATGCGCGTTCTTCTGGATTATCTGCGTTCTAAAAGTGTGGTTGAGATTGGAGTGACGTGGCAGTGCGCAACGGACCTAGCTGTACTGGTGACTTCAACCCCCTACCATACCTAGCTGTACTGGTGACTTCAACCTTCTACCATAATCATCTTTTTATGAGATCTTGACCTATAAAAGCTGTGCTCCAGAAAGTGCCAAGATCGGACAGAACCTTCCATCGATGTGTGTGCTCCAGGAAATCATAAGGTATGCAGAACTACACCAATTGCATGATCCAGAAGAATGCGCATATAGCACCGAGTATACGATGCAGAAGAATTTACTGTGGGCCTGCAGATCTCTGCGCTGAGGACGGTCTGGATCGCATCGAAACATGCCTTTGAAAAAGACCGATTCAGGCACAGCAAAAGACTTGCAACAACCTGAGGCGTAGACATCAACAAAAGAGCGACACTTTGGCGCGCTTCAAGCCTTAGAAGATGCCGATGAGACCCCATCTGTGGCGAGCAGTGACAGAAGAAACAATACGAAAGGAAGAATTGTGGTTGGTAGACAAAGCCATAACCTCGGCCCAACGGTCCACATGTGTGAGGTCTGTACAATACGAGGCGTGGACTGAAGAACAATATGAGGCCACACCAACAATACTAACCTGCGAGGATGTTACAGTTTTCTCAAACAACGCCACGCGATTCCCACGCATATGCAAGGCCCGTCATCAAGAGCACACAGAGTACATAAGCACAGCTCAATCCCTCCAAGAGCTTTTCTCCTCACCAACCACTAAGACCACTACACTTTCGTTTAGTAAGTATCTCGGCTTACGACGCAATCAACAAACGGCTAACGCACCTTTTCACAGGCTACCCGCTTCACTCCAAACCTTCAACATGGGCAAATCAGGACCTTACTACACAGACTGCACGGTGCAGAAGAACGGCCCATACTACACCGATTGCGTTCTGCAGAAGAACGGACCTTACTACACCGATTGTGTCATCCAAAAGAATGGCCCATACTACACCGATTGCGTCCTTCAGAAGAACGGCCCGTATTACACCGACTGCGTTCTCCAGAAGAACGGCCCATACTACACTGACTGCGTCTTGCAGTAAGCGTATCGCTCTTCCCTGGCCCCTGGCAGAGACGGAAGAACGGTGTAGCATGGCAGCCATGAACACTTCATATTGAGGGAACAACTGGGAACCAAACACAATTTCGATGATCCATCTCAAGCAAGTTCGAAGGATGCAGCGAGTGCATTCTACTTCTTGAGCTATTGATCATTCTCCTGGCGTTTCTTTGATCTTGGGAGTGTGCATGAAAGTCTTGCTGCAACGGTGTCGCAAAAGATCTACGCAAAAACAAAAATCTGATGAAAAATGATGGAGGGTCTGATATCTGGTTTCGCCTAACTCGAGACAGATGGTCGGGCTTCATTGGAGATCCATCAAAGTTGTGCAAGTTGGGGAGCAATCTTTCATCTTGTGCTGACTGAACATATACAAGTATCAATACATTCGTGGTCGACGTTTTGAGTTTCATTTTCACATGTCTTTCACATCAGTTCTGATCATGTCACAACCATCGCGGCAGGCGAACCCTGCGTGACATTAGATCTAAACATATCTTGCACAGGCGAAGCTTCCAACTCAGATTGGTGCAGAGCGGAAGTGGACACAAAATGTCGATTGTTTGTTCCAAGTAAGATCTATCTATCTACGCACTGTCCTACTTCTTCTGAGTCGCCGCGGCCTTATCCTCAAGCACCTTCTTCACAGCTGGTCTCGAGATCAACGACTGATGCCACTCATAACACTTCGGATACTTTTCTTTCCACTCTGCATCGAATCCTTCGCCGAGCAGCCGAGGAACAACTGTATTCCAAGTCACAAACATCAGGTCTGCGTACGAGACCTTGTCGCCCACGAGGTACGGCTTCCCAGTCTTGGTCAAGTGGGCGTCAATCACGCCTAGCACACGCTTGATTTCGTTCGTGTAACGTTCAATGGCGGATGGAATTTTCTCTGAATGGAACTGTGATCGGATGTTAGTTTCGAGGTTTGTGAAGATGACTGTCTTTGGATTGTCATGTGGGGAACTTACCAGGGCAAACCACGCTCTCTGTCCAAAGTAAGGTCCTTGGCCGCTCATTTGGAAATCTCTCCAGGAGATCTGGAGGTACTTTTCAGGAGACTGGGTGTAGCGCAATTTGTTCTCCTTGTCGTAGTTTTCGAGAAGGTAGTCGATAATCGCGCCAGACTGTATAAGTGTAAGTCATCTCGCACTGTTCCAGAGATTCTTCACGTAGTATAGATACCTCGAACAAAGTAACACCAGTGTTGGGATCTTCGAGTGCGGGAACCCTGCCATTTGGGTTGAGGGAGATGTAAGGTTCTTGCTTGAGTACACTGTGGTCTACGGCCTCATGTTCGTAAGGTATGTTGAGCTCCTCGAGGATGATCGCCACTTTCCATGGATTTGGGCCCTATCTAGGTCGTCAGCAATTGTTCAGCAAGTGGACGAGATGGGCGCGAAACTTGCCGCTCCTTGGCCGTAAAGTTTGACTGGCTTGGACATGATTTATTATTGTGAAAGTGAAGTGTTCTTGAGCTTCGAGTACTCCGGTTCTTCTGGCTGCAAATATCGGCTATATACATGTTGAAGGCATGACTGACAAACTCCAACCGAGGAGTCCAAGCATTTTCGCCGAGCGTACTTACCAACCCTTGCGTCGCTTATTTGAACGTCGATCCTGCGCTGACGGATCTTGAGACGGACCGGCGTTATCGTGTCGGGAATAGGAACGGAGGCTCGGTGATATCCATTTTCGCCGAGAGGTCTAGCACTGCTCGTAATCACGCAGCGATCCTGTGCCGTGACTGCCTGAGAGCGACGCGTCGGCATCGTGAAAGAACAGGGATTTGATAACCTCTTTCTTTCTTGATATGTACGCATGCTCGCAGGCATCTTTCAACTCTTGGAAAAGAAAACGCCTTCAACAGCTGCGATCAAGCAAACGTGTCGGCTGGTCACCGCTACTGCGCGGCGGCTTCAATGAGCTGAAGAATACTTATGTCGGCGTTGGCGACAGGCTTTGATTTCCCTAGGTCCAAGCCGTGTCAGAGACGTGGCGTAGCGTAGCAAGACCACGACGTGGTCGCCTCCCACGTTTTGTCTGTCCCTGTGCTGCAGGCTGCTCAGTAAACCCTGACGCCGCAGATCCGCACACCATTGTCAGCGATCGCAGCATCGCGACTGAACCAGATCTTTAACATCCGCTCGACGAATTGCTTGTCAAGCTCACTCCATGTGTCTAGGCCCATTGCACGGAGGTCGTCGCCATCGAGCCGTATCTCGTCCTCTTCTATACCCTCTTCGGTCGCATCATCCGCTGCCTCCACAATGCTGGCGAGCGGACGCAGAAGGCTTTCTGTGACGCGCCTGAAGTAAGCTACCAGAAGCGTCGCGGCCGCACGCGCAAACTCGGACTCCTTGTCTTCTTGTGTACGTTGATCAGCGGTGCCTGGGAACATGCCTCCGATGTCAGGCATGTCGAAGAGCAGTTCTTCATCAGCCTTGGATTCTTCGTTTTCCCAGGCACTGACATCTCCAGCTGACGCCCACCACATGAAGCCGCGGTATGCCATAGCGGACCATGACGATGGCTCTACCGCCTCGGTATCATCCCGTTGCTGCAATGCCACTTCGCCAATTGCTTCCCTGCTCGTGTCTCGACGCTCGAGCAATGGACGTTGATCGTTCTCGCTCACTGACGGCGACTCGTCAGCGAACATTGTAACAGTCTGGCGCCGAAGTCTTCTCAATTCTCTCCGCAGCAAATTCCATCTTCGCAGGTCCCGCTGAGAGGCCTTGATAACTCTCCCGGAGCTTGTTATGAGCTCCGGCCATGCCTTGCTAGTGGCTGTCTGTGCAGGAAGCTTCACAAGTAGGTCGTAGAGATTCTTCTTGTCGCCAAGTATGTCATCTGTCGAAGTGGCGATCCATCCTCCCACATCTACAGCCCGAGCTGTAAGATCCGGAATGTCGTGTATGCCGACGCTGAAGAGCGGTGAGCCTCGCAGTATTGGTTCCGCTTCTGAAGGCAGAGTTTCCGCGAAAGACTGTGAGATAGTGGACAGAACAGATGTGAGGTAGACTGTATTGGCGTTGTGCTGCACTGATGGACTCCCGAGAAGCAGGATGCGTTGTCTCGCTAGCGCAGCTCGATGGAGCGGGAACAGGAGTGGACCAAAGGTTTCCAACATGGAAGGCACATGTAGTGCAGGGTGGTCTAAGGGCCAGCTCCATTCGGCATGAAAACCCGCCAACGTTGCCTCTGAGGCGAGGCGCTTCCTCCCGAGGCCATTGGCACCAGCGGCGCGACTTGCAACTGGAGACGAAGGTGCTGTCCGATCTGCGTTGTCCGCTCTGTGCTGTTCCCAAAACTCCTCCAAAGGCTCCGTATTTGAGGCCTGCTTCACGACCACCTTTGCAAGTCTTCGCAGCTCTTCTGCATGCGTCCAGCTACGTCCCAGCTGCCCGTGATTCAGTGAAATCAATGCCCCAACGGCAACAAAGCTCGCATTTCGCTGCCGCGCATCGGCCTCCTCTTGCACGAAGGCGGTCACACCGGCATGGTCGCCTTGGATGAAGTATATCAGATCCTCTTTCACGGCGTGCAGTCCGGAGGGTAGGCTTTTGAATTCGACTCCGTCAAGGTCAACATCGTCCACACTGCGTTTCCAGGAGATGGTGTAGCTGTTCGGGATGTTAGCTGGCGCGCCTGCCGGGCATGGAGGGAGGGTTACACACCTACCCAACCTTCTGGTCGAACACTACGAGGAACACGGCCACCACCGGCGGACGCCTCTCTCGTCTGCTCATGGTCAATAGTTCGTTCGAAAGAAGGCGGATGACACGACAGCAACGTGAAGGTCAGTCAGCATATGGTGTTCTGCCTGAGGCACAAACAACCAAGCGCGGGACAGTGCTTGTGTGCTTGGCTCCAACACGTTCTGGCGCAAACCATGTCGCAGACAGCCGTGCGATAAAAACAGATGGCATGGACCTACCGACGTGAGATCGGTGAGAGAGCCTGGAGCTTTCAAGACTTCCTGGCTTCATGGACCCACGCCAGCCTCACCGATCTGCTCGACTTCGGAAGAACGGCCACGCGATGTCTGCTCAGAAGTGCCGTGGACACTGTCATCCAGCTGTGCTGCCTGGCCTCGACCCTACCTACCCGGACACCATCGAGGAACTGAAGGCCCCGCCAGAGTACGAGCATATGCTGCTCACGCCACGCCTGTCAACGTGGATACCTCCCCGTGGGCGTATTGCACGAGAAGGATGCCTTCCAGATTCATGCCGAGCGACTGCATTGTGCAAGCCAAGCTACAAGAGAGCCGCAATGCAAAGCCTCCATTGCCAGCACCGTGTGCTAGCATGGAAGTGTTCACTCTGCCACAGTGACGTGTGAAGTAAACACATACGACATCGTGCGATGAAGAAACGCTGATATCGCAATTCTCGTCAGAGATAGCGAAGTCGGACCAGCACATACCCGCCGAGAACGGACGTGAAGCAAGGACCAGAAGTCACACGGTTCCGCGTCCTAGCCAGACATTCTCTTTTGTCGGCGTGTAGCTGCTGGGAAACGCAGCGAGAATGACAACTAAATGCGGTTCTGGGCTGTTCGACGTTTCGCCGAACATGATCCACACACTTGCTTTGAAACACGGCCGCAATATGGCCGAAGATGATCTTAGGATGCTTCTCCTTGAAGAGGCGTAACCAGTCCATGCGCAATTGTCATGCTATGATAAGCATAGAAAACGCTGCGTAGTGCTGAAGATTCTTCATAAGCGCCATGTTTCATCGCAATCGCCTCAGCACTGGCGATATAAGTGGGCAATGCTGAACAGTAGGTTCCATTTTCCACAACTCCTCTCCTATTACTTGCATAGCATGCATCCAACCACTGCTGGACTCGTCGTTGCCTCCGCAGCTCTTGCTGCGGCAGCACCGTTATCTAACGCCACAACCTCGTACGACTTTGTTGTCGTAGGAGGCGGCACATCCGGTCTGGTCGTTGCCAATCGCCTCAGCGAAGATCCTTCAGTCTCTGTGGCAGTGATCGAAGCAGGAGCGAGCGTTTTCGACAATGAGAACGTTACAGACGTGGCTGGCTACAGCAAAGCATTCGACACGCCTATCGACTGGGCGTACTCAAGCACACCACAGCTCTACGCCGGCAACGAAACGAAAGTCCTACGAGCCGGCAAGGCCCTGGGTGGAACGAGCACTATCAACGGTATGCTTTGTTGATTCCCGAACCGACCACAACTGTCTGACATGCAGCCGCAGGCATGACCTACATGCGAGCCGAGAGAAGTCAAATCGATGCATGGGCCGCTATCGGGAACAACGTCACCTGGAACTCCTTATTGCCATATTACAAAAAGAGCGAGCACTTCCAGATTCCGAACGAAGAACAGGTGCAAGAGGGTGCGCAGTTCAATACAGCCGCACATGGCTTCGTTGGCCCTCTAGCCGTTGGATGGCCCACAGAGATGGTTGGACAAGGATTTCCAGAAATACTGAACAGCACCTTTCAATCTCAAGGACTCAACTGGAATGGTGAACCTAACGCTGGTCACATGCGTGGCTACAACATCTTCCCAAAGACGGTCAATACAACTGCGAATGTACGCGCTGATGCCGCCCGCTCATTCTATTACCCTTTCAGCTCGAGGTCAAACTTGCATATCTACCTCAACTCCTTCGTCGATCGCTTGACCTGGCAAGGGACAACGAATAGCTCGCTTCCGTTTGCGAACGGCGTTGTGCTTAGAGATCCCACTGGCAAAGTACAACGACTCTCGGCTTCAAAAGAGGTCATTCTCTCTGCAGGATCGCTACGATCGCCCCTGATCCTTGAACAATCTGGAGTGGGAAGCCCAACGTAAGTGTCGAAATCATGGACCACATGCCATTATGCGAGCTAACCAACGCAGCATCTTGGAGAAACACGGTATCAAGGTCCAAGTCAACAACCCCAACGTGGGCGAGAATCTCCAGGACCAGACCACAGTCGACACGCAATACACCGCAACTCAAAATTTCACTGGCTCAGGTGGCTTTATTGGCTACTATAACGCCCGAGACGTCTTCGGCAACGACACCGATCGTATTAGCACCGAAGTCAAGGCGTCTCTCCCAGCCTACGCCCACCAAGTCTCGACCGCCTCAAACGGAACAGTCGCGCTCTCAACCCTCGAGAAACTCTTCAACATCCAACACAAGCTCATCTTCAAAGATCTAGCTGTTATCTCCGAAGTCATCGTCGTCGCTCCTGCCGCCGGTAGTTCCACAATCGAATACTGGGGTCTACTCCCCTTCTCGCGCGGGAACATCCACATCTCATCGTCGAATGCTTCCGCGCCCGCTCTGATCAACCCCAACTTCTTCCAATTCGGTTGGGATATTAAGCAACTGATTGGCACTGCACGAGCTGCAAGAGCTGCCGCCAATACTTCGCCTTTCAGCAAGCTGATCTCCGATGAGGTTCTGCCGGGGTATCAGACTGTGCCTCGTGGCGCCAGCGATCAGGTCTGGGGCGAGTGGTTGAAGTCAACCTTCCGGTCGAACTTTCACTACATCTCAACAGCGGCTATGATGCCTCGAGAAATGGGTGGCGTCGTTGATAGTGACCATTTGGTCTACGGCACGGCTAACGTACGAGTTGTGGACGCTTCTGTCATGCCTTTCCAGGTGTCTGGACATCTGACGAGCACATTATACGCGCTAGCGGAGCGGGCGTCAGACAGAATCAAGGCACGATACGCGTAGATGGGAGACAAGTATGATTATTTCGTGATCGGGTATCTTGCATTCGCAACTGTTGTCGTCTACCATACTGTCGTATGAAGCGGGCCGTAAGGCTCTGACAAAGAAATTACTGCATGAACTAACTCCATCTAAACGTCGATCTTGGTCGGCTCGACCCTCTCGTGGCGCTCTGGCGAGTGATCTTCTTCCATCTTCTTCTCCAAACCTTGACCATGCTCTATCTTTTGAGCATCATGGAATTGCGAATGGGTCTTCCAAGCAGGTGTGCCCAGGTACTTGATGCCGCGAGGATCCTCAAACATGGCGGTGACCTCCTCGAGCTGCTTGCCAGCGGTCTCAGGGAAGATGAAGAAGACATGCAAAGTCATGGCCACGCAGAATACGCCAAAGATGATGTAAGTCTGCCACTTGATATTGACAAAAGCCGGGGGCACGAAGTAGCCGAGAGCGAAGTTGAAGGCCCAGTTGCCAGAAGTGGCAAGAGCAACAGCCTTTCCACGAAGATGGTTTGGGAAAAGCTCTGGTGGGTAGACCCAAGAGACAGGTCCCCAGGTTGGTGCGTAGCTGGCCACGAACAGGTACGAGCAAGCAATGACAGCCTTAGATGCGGCGCCAGAGACCTCAACGCTGGCTTCCTTGATGCCGCCGACACCTTCCGGACCTGGATCAGTGCCATATACGGCAAGGAGTCCTGCGTTAGCGAAGAGCCAGGTTGCCATAAGGGTGGAGCCAAGCAGGAGCAGAGGGCGACGTCCAACGCGGTCGATCCAGATCAAGGCAGGCACGGTCATGACTACGTTGATGACATATTGGATCGAGGATGACACCAGCAGGGTGTTTCCTGTTAACCCTGCCATCGCGAAAACATAGGTAATGTAGTACATCATCACATTCATGCCTATTTGGCCGTCAGCGCGTGTTACCGCTGCGTATAATGTGGTGACTTACCTGTGAGTTGAGACCAAATCTGCGTGAAGAGGCCAATATGGGTGCGGTTGATGTATTTTGGCGAGAAGAGGTCAACATAGCGGACGCGGGCGCTGGCTCTCTCGATTTCGATCCACTCCTTGATCTCTTGGAACTCCTGAGCTACCCAGGGACCATTTGGATCACCACGGCCGTGAGTGAGAATGAGGACTTGCTCGCACTCCTCCCAGCGATCCTTTGACGCGAGCCAGCGAGGACTCTCCGGAAGAATAATCATTCCAAAGAACAGGATAATGGCGGGAATCATCTGTAAAGCCCATGGAAGTCGGAAGGCGGCAACGCCGTTGATGAAGGAGCTGCCGTACGAGATGTAGAACATGATCAAGATGCCCCAGCTGTGTGCCGTTAGTAAGCGATACTTGAACCTTGAAATCTTGACAAACACCTACGTGATTGCCCATTGCTGAGCACCGACCAGGCGGCCTCTCTTCGTTGGCGGCGCGATCTCAGTGATGTAGACTGGCACCTGCGCAGAGCAAATCCCGACACAGAAACCGTTGATGATTCGACCCACAATCAACATGGGAATGTTCTGTGCCGCGCAGACGATAATACAGCCTATCACCCAGATAACAGCGCCGATCTGGATAGCGCTCTTGCGGCCGAGACGGTCAGAGATGATACCACTGACCAGACTGGCAAGCCAGGAGCCACCAGCCATGGAGGCGGTGATGCCTCCCTGCACATCGGTTCGTGGTCCAGAACAAGCCAAGTCGTTGTAGGGTGGTCCATTGGGGCCTTGGTTGAAGTAGCAGAGGTACGGCTTCGTGGCGATGATGGCGCTCATGGAACTGATGTCAAAGCCGAAGAGCATGCCTCCAATGATGGAGATTGCGGCGACGAGATACACATCTGGCAGAAGAAGTCAGTCAGGTCTGTTGCAGCAGCTCGAGAAGGCCTCGTAGTGAATGAACTTACTGCCGTACTGCTTCATGATGGGCAGTGGCTATCCAGCGGCGATATTTATTGAGTTCGGGCGACTTCGTCGTCTGTAACTAGTGCGCCGCAAGATTTTGGCAGGTCGGAGGCAAGGGCAAGGTTTGGATGTTGCGGGCAAGCTTTCTTTAATATGGCAAGAAGGACCCTGCCGCAAATGTCGGCTCGTGACCTCGAGCAATGTTTCAGCATTCACCTGTGAAATGCGACAACAGAAGCCGCTTGCCGCGTGCGAATGCGCAGCTGCTCCAATAGGTCCGTCGATACCCACAGCGACAGGAATGGGGAGTGTGCCGGCTCGATAGACGGAAAACGTGCTCCACACAAAAACCGCCTCTCCACATCGCTTCACGTCTCTCCTCCAGAAGAAGGTTCGGTGCCCGAAAGGCTGTTGTGCAGTCCCTACAGCCTACAGCGGCGCATGTTACATCGCGCTTCCTTCGCATGCGAAGTTCCATACGCCAGCGGCTCGCGTTCGACGCGCCTTTCTGCGTTGGCCGATCTCTTCGCAGCATTCACCTACAACGATGTGAAAATTGAGGCTCTGCGTGTCCAAATCGAGTGGATCCACGGCATCCATGTCAAACTTGCGAAGACACATCTGCCAAGAGAGCCATGTCTTGCTTGTCGGCGACTGATGGCGGAAAAGCCTTGCATAAGGCTTCATCAAGCCCGAAAGTACCCACACGAGGCTCCATATTCGATCACAGCATAACGTGGGCAGATCGGAGGCACAGATAGGGTATGCATTCCTTCGGTTCGAGCATGGCAAAACCGGTTCCGCGCTGTGCACGCTTCTCTGTTCTTGCTTGTGCACCACTTCTGGAGAGGATTTGAAGACCACATTACGACCGCCATGCCGGTCATCCGCGCGCCTGGCTGCTGATCTGTGGTGTGATATGCTTCGGAACATACCTCCCAGTCGCAATTTTCTGGAGGAAGTGGTCTCCAGTCTCCAGGTCTCCTCCGCTCCCCACTGATGGATTCGGCCCTTTAACACGTTGCTTGACATCTCGACTCTCCGCATGCTGTGCCATGGGGCTTCAGCTGGACTCAGAACGTGCGATGTCTTCGCGAACACACCTCGATGACGACCAAATAAGCTACCTACCGCTACCCATGCCACTGCATTGGCGCGCTCGTCAGGCCAAGCCAAGCGAGCTGACCGGGACGCCTCAAAAGCTTGAGAGATCACCACAATGCGCCACACAGCAACAGCCTGGTTATTGCAACTTCGTGTTTCTTCCACAACGCTGATTTGCCAGGTGCGCTGCATCGCTACCGATACTATTTGAGCTGCACGGCACCGAGAACCTTAGATCTGCAAAGTGTGACGATGAGGAGAGCACGGCAAGAACAGCATGCGAATTTCGTCGGGTGTCCACTCTCCACATTCCCGACAACAGCACAGGGTGTGTCGGATCGTATCCGAGCAGCAACTCCTTACGGACGAGAATGCCAACAGATATTTGAATGATGCACTATTTCTTCACCAACAGGATTGGCCTGCCTCTGCCACTACAGCTGGTGCCCGGAGTTCAGTTGCTACAAAGCGGCAGTCCTCGTCTCGGCGAGAGAGTAGTGTGACTGTCTTGGCACCGTTCCCAGCTGTGGCATCTGCAGCGGGCTTGCGACTACATAATGAGGTCCAAGCATACGCCATTCCATCAGCAGACATGGCAAAAGAAGTCTTCACTGTCCGCCTCGGACAGCATTCGCGTGGAAGGCATTTACAGTCGATCCGGGAGATCTCTCGGTGCCGTATTCTCACAGTTTTCAGTCTTCCACTTACTGGGCCTTCTGTTGTTTCTTCCACAGGTCGTCGGCGTCTGGATGGACCTTGGGCTCTTCGATGTACGCCCTCCCTTCCGCTTTCTTCCTGAAGTCCACACCAAACCGTCTATCCCGATCCTCCACCAGTTTGGCGATATCAGTCTGATCGTTGCTTGTAAAGCTGGTCATGAGCTGCGGCATGCCCAGTGGCACCTTGTCGCCTCTGTCCACTTGCCAGAGCTGGAAGACTTTGCCGTAGAGGTGCACAACTTCTTCCATCTCGGCGTTTTCAGCCTTCTCCCAGGCAGCGAGAGGCATGGCGGAAGAGGCTGGCATAATAAGCATGCCGCTCTTGACCTCGAAGACGTGAGAATGCCATAGCTTCCTCTCCTCTGGATCTAACGTCTCATAGATGCGTGGCGATACCATATACTCGACTCCGATGAGGCGAGCATTGGGGCCCGGAGAATCGTAGAGGATGCATTGCCTCACATCTTCATTTACGTGAGCACAATAGTGGTTGGCTTCTGATGTCCGAGTGGGCTCGTTCACGTAAACGTGGAAGGCGTTGCTGGACTCGTCAGACTGGCTCGGTCAGGTAAACTCATGGGTGAGCGCTTACAGATGAGCACACAGACGCTTCGTAGGTTCGAAGTTTTGCACCATTGATGCTCCTGTCTCAAGGATATTCTCTTTCGTCGACTCGGGCTCGCCAGCGGCGTGATTTGTTACCGGTAAGCTATCCATGTTGTCGAACTTTTGGTCAGAAGCCATCGCGTCCGGTCGAATGTTTTTCGAGAAGCAGTTCTTGACTCGAATCTGGAAACGCGGCAAGAATTTGATCAGAAAGTATACAAACCTCAGCATCACATGCATCACAGCGCATGATGTCACGATTCATCACACAGCACTGTACATCCATTTCGATCTTCAGATGCTGATGAGGGCAGACTCGCTGAGGGGAGCATGAGTGACCTTGCGAAGCATCTGTATGCCAAAGACATCACGGTATACCCCGAACGCCAAACTACCCCAGAGTCAGAGTGAAGGTTATGGCGCGGTCCACGCGGAGACGTTGTTCCTGCGGCTCTGCGGCCAGGCCAAACCTGGGCGACTGTGCAGGACCGACCGGAAGCCGTCAACTTTGCTCCAACTCATCGCAGAACATCCGCAAACACTTTCTGCAACCTTTGCAGACTCGCCGAGCGATGTTTCGATGAAATATGCTCAAGGTAGGTCACGAGCGTGGCGCGACACGCGTTTATTGGGCAGCGCCTTCTCAACACGGACGTGGCCGATGGCAAGTCTTGTTCCTTCTTCGGCAAGAAAACGCGCAAGGGCCCGCTCAAGTCCTCCCTGCTTTGCGTAACATTGGTCTTCTCTCGCACACTATCACGCGACATCCCCGAATGCGCCAACATCCTCACAGCCATTTGCCTATTCTCCTTGCACACAAGCCGCATACATCGTTACAGAAAAGCATGCGTTCATGCATGACCCTCGCTAGCCTCGCATAAGTACACTTCCGATCGACTATGAACTTCAACCGGCCCAAGACGGGCACCGCACCCACGGTTCGAAAGACAATCGTTCGCAAGCCCATCACACAGACTGTCAGGCCTGTCCAAACAAGCAGCAGCAGCGGACAACCGGCACCAGTACGGGTGCACGACCCTAATCGATTCAAACCAACAAACACACCCGTCGTCAGAGCAAAGCCTGCGAACCCCGCGAAACGAGCTGTTGCACACTCGAGAGGAGTGAAGAGGAAGAGCGCTACTCCCGATCGAGTTGTCTGGAGCGACGATGACGACGATAGCAGCGACGGCAGCGATTCCGACGTCTCGAGGAAGAGGATAAAGAGCAGTGTCAGCTCATTAGACAGCCACGGGCCTAGAAGACCGCTGCTCTCGGAGCAATCGTTCAAGGAAGGAGCAACACTGTCCATCGTACATGGTGCTGATGCTACATCGGGCAGATACGCTGGGAACTTCAAGAATCCATGGGGAGAGGACGAGTTTGCAACGTGTAGGCTACAGTACCCAAGTAGAGGGCAACGGGAAAAGTTCCAACTTAAGTGGCCTAGGACAGACAAGAAAGAGGACTACAAGCCGATGGAGGACATCATCGAGTCTATCGATACAGTCTGTCAGCATTACCTGCCCGAAGAGCTGTCTGCGAAGTACACAAACCCAGAGACGGGATATCGGCGACGCTTTAATTTGGCGTGGCAGAAAGAAGACGTCGCGGAGTTTGTGGACATTGTCAGCGAATACAACAAGATGTTGAAGGCGCTCGTCGATAATGGCACGATCGAGACCGTACTTCGAAGTAGGAGCCATCTACCCTTGGACTGGGTGCAGCGGATACTGGACCAGACCTACTCGAGGACGGTATCTCCAATGGTCGAGAGACTTGTTAAGTACGAGGCCTTCAGCGAAAACGTCTACGGCGAACTCCTCCCCCGCTTCTGCAGCGACATCTTCAAAAAGACCAAGCTCACGCATGAGATGAAGTTCGTGGACCTTGGGTCTGGAGTTGGCAATGTCGTCTTGCAGGCTGCACTCGAGATCGGCTGCGACAGTACCGGTATCGAGGTCATGCCCAATCCTTGCGAAGCGGCCGAGCTACAGGAGAGGGAATTTCCGGGCAGGACCAAGCTCTGGGGTCTTGCAGCTGGCAAAATTCGATTACTACAAGGCGACTTTCTCGAGCATCCGGAAGTGCCGAACATCCTTAAGGAAGCTGATGTGGTGCTCGTCAACAATCAGGCTTTCTCATCAGACTTGAATAGCAAACTGCTCATGAAATTTCTGGACCTGAAGGAAGGGTGTCAAGTGGTCAGTCTGAAGCCATTTGTACCGGATGGACACAAGATGTCAGCGCGTAACATTTACGATCCTGTCAACCTTTTTGTTCAGCAGAAGTTTGAGTACTTTTCCGACAGTGTTAGCTGGGGTGCAGCGCATGGAAATTGGTACATTGCAAGGAAGGATCCCGGGCCAATGAACAATTTCAGAAGGCAGTACGGATTGTAGGACGATGCGACAGACGATGAAAGCGCATCCATTTTATGGAAAAGTGACATTGGACATGATACCCAGTAGAGAAAGTCGCGTTCTTGCATTCTGCTGTAGCGCTTGAATTCCTGTACCAAAAGAGATATTATACGATAGCATGATGAATTGACGCATTGCGTACGCAACATCAGATTCATTTTGCTGGTCTACAATGTATGTTCATGAAGCGTTGAAATGTGCGCTCCACATCAAGTCATGTCTCCGCAAAGTAAGCAGCCGAAACAGACAAGCGATGGAGCTGTCCCCGTCTCGTAAGACGAGACCGTTCTTAATATTGCCAATGCTGTCCACACCTCCTGCGCCTTGGGGTCGACCTCACGGCCTATAGTGGCGGGAGGCTCTAGCTAAATCATGGCGTGTCTTGTTGACGAGGGATTGATGAAAATCTGCATACTGTACCGTGAAGGTCTGTCGCGAGCTCGACAGCTGGTCGGGCTGCGCCCGTGGCACCGTGAGCGATGTATTGCTCATATTCATGGCTGGGCCGGACGCGGTGTGTCGCACTGCTGTCGCATGGCGAGAATTGTGGTCGAGAAGGAAGAAAGAGAAGTGAGAGCTTGAAGACAAAGAAATTCTCAGGCGAGCGACGCGTTGTCTTGGCCGCTCTGACCCGCCGCCGCCGCCGCCGCCGATGCTCCGACTTCACGTCGACTTGCGACAAGAGCTGTGAAAGCATTTGTTCGCCATGGTAAGTAATAGCCTTGAACTTCGCAACATGTGGTTTCCCATCTAACAGACGCGTAGCCGCCCAAGCGCAAAGCGCCCGCAGCGTCTTCGTCCACCACGAAAACTCCCGCGAAAAGGCGCTCGAAACTCGCCAAAGAGAACGACATCACCGCAGAAGAAGAAGCCGAGATTCAAGAAGCTTTCGCGCTCTTCTGTAGTACCTCCGACTCTGAAACTCCCACGATTCGCACGATCGATATTCGTCGCTGCCTCATCGCGCTCAATGCCCCACCGGCTTCGAACGAAGACCTGCAAGAGCTCATCGACATCGCGGACGCAGATGGCGAAGGCGCGATCGATTATGAGCACTTCTTGCCCGTGGCGGCGTTGCAGATGAATAGGGCGAAGAATGAGCGAGATGAAGAGGAGCAGAACGAGGAGGTCGAGAAGGCTTATGCGCTATTTACACGCGGTGAGGAGAGGGAGATTACGATTGCGGATTTGAGACGCGTCGCGAAGGAGTTGAGGGAGGATGTTCCCGAGAGTGTCCTAAGGGATATGGTGAGGGAGGCGAAGGGTGGGCCGCTCGGTGCTGTGGGTAAGGAGGAGTTTGAGAATGTGATGCGCCGGGCGGGGGTTTTCAGTTGAAGATGAGGAGGGGGCGTGCGTGCTTTGCATGTCGAAGTGAAGGATGTCGCATGACAATGGCAGCACAAGCGGAATCTGTGCATTGCTTCTGTGTCTGTGTGCTCGGGAAACAGAGTTGGCGTTTAGTGGATATACCCGGTATGTCTTTTCGGATTCACTCTACATCTCCAATTACGTGCGATCTTACGTTTCGGCAGCGTCGACAGGTCACGCAGCTGCCACCTATGTCAAACACTACTGTGTGCTGTCCAAGGATTGCGTTTCTACGCGCTTCCATGTGGTGCTTGGAACCTTTGTGAGGCCTCAAGGTATATCAAGCACGGACGCGCCAAACCTTAAATGGTACATCTGCTAAACACTCCAGCTCAAGCATTGCATTTGCATCTCTAGCAGTAAGAAGCCCAGAGGACAGTTTGAATCGACCTCAAGGCTCTTCTGGCGTTGCAGGAATTGCACATCAACATGTCTCCGGGTTTGATACTCCATCCAAGATGCACCCTGGACCACTTTCAGTCTTCGCGTCCTGATGTCCTGATATTCGCTCTACCAGTGGATCGATGCAAAGTTTTCACAGTTACTATAGTTACTGCTGGCGTAAGAGACAATGTATTCGCTCTGGGCTGCTTCTTTCCCAAGATAGCGACATTGCCGCAGGGAACAGTGGTACTGTGGTAGGTGTTCTCTCTGTTGTGGCCTCAATTCTGCATCCATATCTACCTGCTCCCTCTGCAGTTTCTCTTCTCCCTTTTCCTCACAGCTTTCACAGACCACAAATCTCTGAAAGTTGTTTCGAGACCACAGCTCACGCTCACGCTCACGCTCACGCAAGCCTACTTCACACACAAGACAGACAAGACATCTCTGCTGGTACACGACAGCACAGCCACTGAGTGTCCAGACGACCAAGAGATTCGAGGAATCGATTCTGAGAAGCAGATCGATTCACAAGACCATCTCCATTTCTGCTGAAAGAAGTTCACAGAAATGTCCTGCGGAACCACCTCTGTTGGCATGAAACGGGGTCGGAAGGACGGAGATGCGGAGGATTCCCGCCAGGTGAAGAGGCCTCGGACGGAAGCGGAGGAGGAGGAGAGGAGGATGGATCGGGAGCTGTTTGGCGAGCTCTCCGATGATAAGGTGGACGATGCGGCTGGGGAGGATGTCGCAGGAGACGAGGAGGGGAAGGAAAGGGGAAGAGCGGAGGGGAAGGAAAGGGAGGAGGGAAAGGAGGGGAGGAGAGATCGCGAGTTGGTCGGCGAGCTCTCCGAGGATAAGGTGGACGATGCGGCTGGGGAGGACGTCGCAGGAGACGAGGAGGGGAAGGAAAGGGGGAGAGCGGATGGGAAGGAAAGGGAGGGTGAGGAGGATTTGCGTGGAGAGCGTCTCTCCGAGCAGAAGGAGGACGCTGCTCTCAAGGAGGGCTCTGCGGGAGGAAGGATGGATTCGTTGTCGGCGGAGAAGAAGTCGGGTGGAGATGTCCATCAACTTCACGAGGCCTTTCTCGGAAAGAATCGCAAGGAGCCAAGGAAGTGGATGGCCGGCGGGCTTGCCCTTCCCAAGGGATTTTTTCCGGAGAATGACGGGTTGGGCACTTGGGAGATCGCACTTCCCAAGAAGGTTCTCCGCCAGCAGAAGGAGGACCACGCCGCCGCCAGTGTCGCTCTCCAGGAGCCGGACGAGGGCGAAGGGGGAGAGGAGGAGATGTTGGAGATGGGAAGGACAAGGGAAGAGAGGGAGGCCGAAGGTGCCCATCCCAGCGCGGAGGAGTTGGCTCAGCTTGCATTGGAAGAGCAGGAAGCCAAGGAGTGGGAGGCCGAAGAGGCAGCTGCGTCGGCTTTTTCTGTCGAGGGCGGCCTTCCAACGCCACCGACCAGCCAACCGCAGTCTGACGCGGAAGAGACTGCGCCGCAGAGCCATGCATCTGAGGGAAGCGCACCAGCTTCTCCTGACGACGACGACGACGACGACGATGACTCTGCGCCTGGTCGCAAGCGCAAGGGCAAGAAGGGGAAGAACGGGGCCGAGGTGACCGCTGCCGCGATTCAGAACACGATCGCCGCCACCTCCGTCTTCACGGGTAGGAAGAGACGATGCTGGGAGTCTTGCGTACAAGCTCCCTCTCTCTCCGATCGACAACCCGCGTCGACGGCATCCGAGGTCACGACGACTCAGACCTCTCTCCCTCCAGTTACTGGAGAAAGCTCCGCACCAATAGACCTGACCGCCCCGACCAAACGGGAGCGCAAGGCTCTCCTCAAGCGTCAGCATGAGGAGAGAAAGGCTATTCGGGAGCGAGAGTTTGCGGAGAAGTATGCCGTGCCCATCCCCGTGGACGACGACGACGCCCCTGCTCCCGCTCCGTCCCAGGAGGAGATTGCTGCCAAGTATGGTAGTATCCCGACTCTCAGGGAGCAGGCGGGTCACGAGGCCGAGGCGTATAGCGATCCAAAGGGGCATGTGGCGGAGAAGAGGGCGAAGAAGGCGGCCAACATGGCCAGGTGGAGGGCAAGTCAGAAGAAACATTAGGTCACATATTGTAAGAACAGACTGCTTTCTCTGACATCGTGAAATCTCTTGTGCTGTCATGTGTCCATCTCCTAACCTCAGACACATCTGACGATAACTGGAAGCAGGCCATTTGTTCCTTGTATCTCCGTTGCTCAGATGAGCTCAATGCCGTTGCGTATCGTAGCGATCTCGAAACTTCTGGGCTTCGAAGGGCGGAAGCAGTAATTCATCCTCTTGCCATCTCTGTCAATCGATCAAATTGAATGGCGCTACAATTCCGTCTATGCCAGGTGATAGAATCGGCAAGATTTTGGAAAGCAGGGAATTCTTGTCACTATTCTCCGTATCTTGAGGTAATTTGCATGCCATCAAGTCTCCAAATCAACAGCTCGAGCGCTTGGTGCGTATTCCAGAGTCAGTATCCTGTGCGTTCCTATTTCTCCAAGAAAACAATTACAGCAACGCCAACGAGCTTCCCTCTACTTCAGATAAATTCTCGTTGTCATTGCCGAAGCTGCCTCATGTGAATGCAATTGCTGCAAGTCATATTGTTGTCTCTGCCGATTGATCAAAGCTCGTGGCATTGCGTCTGAAACTTACACAAATTATGCATTCGGCGGTCTATGGGAGACCGTATGCTCAGCCGCTTTCTCTCCGTTCAGCGAGCGCTTTGCACACCACCACAGGTCCAGATGTAGCGCAGTGGTACTTTTTGCTTACTTCAGAGTTTCTGCTCGGACAGTAAGCATCTCCGCTCGTTGGATGTTCTGCATGCCATTACAAGTTCAGATGCAGCTCAAAAGCGCTTTCTGCACACTGCAGAGAAGGCATTTTCACCTGTGCTCTCTCCGTTGTTTGAGTAATTTTCATGCCACCACATGTCCAAACACAGCGCGAAAGCGTTGTCGCATGAATTGAGAGTCGCTGTACTCGCACGTAGTAGCTCTGTCCAACCGTCACTGTGCAGGCCGCCATGGATCGCGAATCCTCTGGTTCACGATTTGAGCTCACATCGGAAGCCCACAGTCATCGTCTGTTGTTATTCTATTCATCTATCTTAGGCGTAGCATCATACATGTTCGTTCTAAGTCTACTCATGACCAATAGGCTTTCCCGCCAAAACAAACGACATCGGCGCAACAGCACCAAGCAGTCCCGAAGCCTTACCAACGACATGCGGATCGGGTCCGATGAAAGTGTTCGGGAAGCCGGGGTCGAAGTCTAGCACACTTTCCAGCTCCTCGATCTCCTGCTGCGACAGCTTGATTTCGAGCGACTTGATATTCTGTTGCAGATGTTCCACCTTGCGACCACCGACAATCGGGAAGACGTTCGGCGCCTTAGCCATGACATAGGCCAGAGCTATCACGGATGGAGTCTCCAGGCCGTGAGCGTTGGCCACCTTCTCGAGAGCGGCCGAGATCTTTTCCTGGGTTTCATTTTGTTCACCACCCATGAGGCTGCGCAAGCCTTCGTTGTTCTTCTTACGCTCCTCGAGCTGTGCCTTGGTCTGGAACTTGCCGCCGCCAATAACGTCCTGCAAATTCGATTGTTAGCGAATGTACGAGGATGCCTAAAGCGTTTGCGAGTGGAACTTACCCATGGAGCCAGGGCCATGCCATAATGGCGTGCCATTGGTAGAATTTCTCGCTCAAAGTCTCGGACCATAATATTCCATCTACCCTGGTAGATAGAGAACTGTGTCTTTCCATGGGACTTGGCATACTCATTCGCGGCAGACACGACCCAGGCCGGGCTGTCTGAGATTCCGAGGTAGAGGACCTTGCCTGACTTGACAACTGCATCGAGTGAATCCATGATTTCTGAACGACGTTAGTCCAAAGCACTTCAGAGTAGATCTCGTCTATATTTCACTCACCCTCGATGCTGGTAGTCCAGTCCCTACAAAGCCAGCTCAGTCAGCGAACCACGTCTCAGGGTCTCGAAGGGCCTCAATTACTCACCACCAGTGCAGATACAGAATATCAATATAATCCGTCTGCAACTTCCTCAAACTATCCCTCAAACTCATATGCAAACTCCTCTTGTGGTTTCCAGCATGATTCACAGTCTTTCCCTTGCCATCCTTCTCAACGCGATAACCAGTGGTGAACTTGGTCGCAATCACCATATAATCCCTGTTCTTCTTCTTGGCCATCCACTCGCCAATCCACTCTTCCGATTGCTCGTTCTGGTAGTTGTTGGCTGTGTCGATGAAGTTTCCGCCCGCGGCTTCAAAAGCGTCGAGCAGCTTGAAGCTGTCTTCTTTGGACATGCTGCCCATGAAGTCGTTCCAGGCTTCGCCAATGGACATGGCGCCGAGCTGGAGAGGGGAGACGCGGACGCCGGCGGTGGAGGAGAGGACGCGGTAGCGGCCTAGTGGGGTGGCCGGCTCAGGCGCTGGCTCGAACAAGAAGGACATGTTTGCGATGTTGGTGGGTGTTTTTGCTTCTGTTCGTGGTTGCGAAGTGAATTGGTCTCTCAATGGATAGAGAAGTTGTGGTCAATGGAAATAGAGCGGAAAGGAAGCAGCGAAGATAGTTGTACCTGAGCTACAGCAAGAGCTATTCGGTCATAGAGCAGCTTAAGTCCTACGCAAAGTCCGTGATGGAAGTGAGCTAGTGAAGCGTTGTGGTGCGGTGTTGATGTCACGAAAGAAGTATGATCTCAAATCGAGCAGAGCGGCCGTGTCTCCGGTAAACTCCACGCTGACTAACTACGCGGCCGCGGCCGCTGTTGTCCGCGTCTTGGCATGGAAACACCGCTCCACCGTCCGCTGCTTCCACAAGGCTTTGAAGGCGTCCATCGACGTTGCAAGGCATCGGATCACGTTCAACATTGAGCTGAAGACGACTCCGTGGCCAAGTTGCGCATGCCCGCCTATGTCGCGGTCCAGGCTCGAAGCAACGACTGGGACCCAGCAGCAAGCTCGATACCGGGACGATATGGAGCCAGATCACGATTCAAGGCAACATGGCGCTAGAAAGCGGAACTATTTATTCATTCACATCAGGTCATAATCTATCATATCAAGTCCATTGTCCGCCTAAACCCGGACGACCATCTCGCCATCAAGAGCCTCATTAACCTGGGCAGTCTTGACACCCTTTCCAGCATCATACTGCCACTCATCATCTTTGCAGGTCTTCGTCTTCGTGCTTCCCTTGTAGTACGAAGGAGCCTTTCCTCCACCAGAGCCACCACCAAGCACAGTCACAGTAGTGACTAGAGCATCAGTAGTATAACCAAAAGTACCACCAATCTTCAGCTCCCCATTCTCATACTCGAAGGTGATCTCCGAAGTAGCAGCCTGCACAAGACTGTCACCATCATCCAGATACAGCGACCCACTCGCCTTTCCATCACGACCTGGAGCGACGAGGATCTCGAATGGCGACTTTCTGGTCTCAGTCGTGGTGTAACCAGCCTTTTGCCTCACAGGCAAAATGCTACCACCCTTGACGTGGAGCGGGATCTCGGTGAATCCGACGTCATTCAAGTTCACCACTGCACCTGCACCTTCGACAACTTCCCAGGATCCCCAGGTATAGAATCGGTCATCTGGAAGATAAATGCTCACGCTTGTGGCATTCTCCTCTGTCACTGGCGAGACGAGCAAAGAGTCCCCGTAGAAGAACTGCAACTGGTTGCCGAAGGTATTTTCGTCCTCAGGATACAAGAACCAGAGCGGGTTGAGGACTGGAGTACCGTCCTTGGACTGCTTGTGGAAACCAGTGTAGATGTAGTCCAGCAGTCGGTATCTGATATCCAGTGCGTGCCTGGCAGCCTCGGCAACAGTATCCCACAGATAGAATTCCTGAGGAATCGACGTATCGCCATTGTGGTTTCGCATGAAGGTGTAGAAAGCACCAAGGGTGACCCATCGTGCACAAAGCGTCTCAGTCGTGTTGGCGCCAAAACCGCAAATGTCTGATCCGACCATGGGGACTTGGAACAAGGATGCAAAATTGAGCATGCCTTGGATCGAGTTGCGGTACTGGTCCCAGTTACTCAGGTTGTCTCCGAGCCATTTTCCTACGCTGCGGCCGGCACCTGCGAAAGTGGATCGCGTAATGACGAGAGGACGACGTTCTGGACGACGGGCGAGCATAGCTGTGCGAGAAGCTTCGCTCATCTGGGTTCCGTAGAGGTTGTGGACATCGAGCTCGACGTGGCCGTCGTAGTGCACGATGTCAGTGTCGAGAGTAAAGTTCGAAAGGCCACCGATGTCCTCCACAGTGTTGGCGTTGTCAATACGATATGGCGGTGCGAGGAAGTTGCGGTTGGGGTAACCAATCAACTCTGCGCCAGATGGGGAAGTGGAAGCTTGACGCTTCACAGGCTGAGCGACTTGCGCGTTTGCCGAAACAGATCGCTTCTTTGCATCGTTGGGGTTCGAGTCTGGTGCGAGCCACGGTGGAGCATACGCCAAATCATCAGGGGGATAATCTTGCGCACCAGGCTGGAACTCAGCTGGGAAGCCAGGAATTGGTCGTGGCTGCGAGCGGAGAGCTGGACGAGTAGGAGGGAAACCACGCTCTTCTTGAGTCTCCTCTGGATTGTCGCCGTAGTAGTTGAAGTTGGCTGCCTCGTTCATGTCGATCCACAGACCATCGATGTCGACTCCAGTGTCTCTATCGAAGAACGCTAGGAACTCTTCATTCCACCATTGTTGCACTTCTGGGTGGAACCAATCTGGGAACGCCGTAACACCAGGCCAGACGACACCTTTGTAAATGCTGCCGTTCTTGTAAACGAAGTAGCCATTCTCAGCAGCAGTGGTGAATGTGGTGTAAGTCAAGTTATCATACTTCTGCTCTTGGTATGCGACAGCAGGGTCGACCATGACAATGTAGTGTTGATCATTCTCATGCAGATAGTCGACAATGTCCCGAACACGCGGGATTGGGAAGCGGTCCGGATCCGTTGTCATGATGTATCTGGCATACATGTAGTCTGGGGGCAGCAGGTCAGTACACTTTCATCGCTTTCTGGAGGAAAGATTACTCACCAATATCAGTCCACATCGTCTCCAACGGAATATTCGCCTTGGAATAGTTCGCCACCACCTCCGCCACTCCGTAAAAGTCACGATATCCGTATCGGCACTGATGTAGACCAAAACCCCAGTATGGCATTTCTGCCGGCAGACCTGCTATCTCGGCATACTGCTTGCTGACTTCTGTGGGTGTAGGTCCAGCAACGAAGAACAGATCCAGAATACCAGATATCAAGTTATACTCCAGATACTGCTGTCCAGTCGAGTTGGACTTGTCAATTTTGACATCCATACCCGAGCTGGAGTGGAGATAGACACCATGTGTGCCATTTGCTCCGCGGTGGTCGAAGTACACTGGGTGGTTTCCGTAGAGGTTTGTGCCTTCGGGAATGCCGTAGCTGTCTCGAGACCACAGTGTGCGAGTGTTGTTCGTGGTGTTTAGACGGAAATTATCGGAGTGCTCGCCGAGACCGTAAAGGTTTGGGTTCTCAGGCAATGCTGTGCGCAAGCGGAGGTATTCATCTTGGAAGATGAGTGATTCGGCTGACGAGTCGAAGAGGACATCGTTTGTCGACTTTCGGATCACGCGGAAGCTGAAGGGTGATTCCTCATACGCGAACGCCAGCTCAGCATCGTCTGCAGAGACAGAGGCATTGTTGCTTGGGTATGGAAAGACGGATTCTGGAACTGTGTATGCAATCGCAGGCTCATCTTGAATCTTTACATGAAGTCGCTTTGCTGTGGCGTTGTCAGTGGCTTAAATCCCGTTAAGAGCTTAAAGAGCTTAACTCACCAGTATCATAATTGACAGTGAGCTTCAAATTCTGAATATCCTCTCCATAGCTATTGCAAGCCGGTCCAGCAAGAGACAAATCCGCCGTCAACCCAGTACCTGTCGTTTGCACATTGCTCGCCGAATATCCAGGACATGAAGATCCATCAGTGTTAGCATCGGACTGTCTCACAACAACAGCTCTGCCAGAGACAGTAGCTGCCAAAACAGCACCCGTCAAAGCAATTCCACCCAACATGATGCGAGGATGTTTCTTCCCAAAATGAAGCGGATGCCTGATGACACTATATAAGCCCTTGCCTCCGCTCGCAATTAGCGAATCCATCATGATGGAACCCGCATCCACTTCACTCTCAATGCGAGCCCGCCAAGCCTGTGACACCAAGTTATGCGCGCGATGCAACGCTTTTTCGGCACATAAGCAATGAGCATAAGGCCGGACGTGCCGCTCATTCGTAGCGAAAAGCGCTTAGTCAATTGGCCCAAAGCAAGAAGAAGGACTTGATGAGGAGGTGCGGGTCGGTGATGCTGACTTCGAAGGCTGGAGTGCAGGGAAGCGCCCAGCAAAGTCAAATGCTGCCAAGAGAGGAGATCTTGCATGGAAGCGTTGTAGTGGACGGAGGTACTCCACATTGCATGTACTTGGCAGCGACATTGTATCGCATCAACACCCCGAAAATACTCCCGATGTTGTTTGATGGGGTGACTGTTGAGGAATGAAGATGGGGAAAGCTGGAGTCGAGTGTGGAGTTTCGGTCGGTCTCTTGTCGGTCATGGTAAGACGATCACTAGATTCATGCTGTGGCTGGCAAATGAAGGGTTTCGAATAAGGTTACACCTGTGTCGCCATTGATTGGGCCTGTTCAAGGTCAATTCTGCAGCTGTCAGCAAGAGAGACAGAGGACCAAGACACTGGATGTGAAAAATCAACGGCCGACATCGCTCGAAGACCGCGAGAGAGCGACAACATGGCTCACATTGCCCACGCAAGCAAGGCAGCTCGAAGAATCGAGTCTATCGCTGATATGTCTGTTTGTACGTCTGCCAGGTCCTCTGCTCCAGAGTCCAGTTGCGTCTATGTAGGAATAGCTCGTTGAATCGCTCACCTCGCGTACACATCACGATGGCACGCCCTCGTAGTCCCAGCCATCATCGCCACGTCTTCGTCGCCGCTTCGATGTTTGCCTTTTTCCAGCGCACTTGATCAATATAGTCAACCCCGTAAGCACGAAGACGATGACGCCTCCAACTACAGGCACGACAATTCTCCGCGACTGTTCTTCTTGAGGGCCATCATAAGGACAAGTCATATTTTGTCCGATGACCCAGCAAGCTTTCACGTCGAGAGCGTTGAAGTTTAGCCAAAGGAGCTCGCCCACAACATCGCTATCAGGTTCTGCGCGATACCTCCGCCATGTTGAAAGCAAATACTCATTCTCGAGCGCAGTACGAGGAGCATCAAAGTTGTGGTCCTCTTTGCATGCCAGTTCCACTCGCTCGTATGGAGCGGCGGAATCGCTCACTTGCCAGGCGTATCGTTCATTCCCAACGCGACACGCGCCATACCGGGACTCACTACAGTCCGAGGCTCTCCATGTGCCGGATGTGGCATTGAGTGCGGCACAGCTGAAATCATTGATATCCTCGCCAGTGGAATTTACTGGCTCGCCTGGGCCCCACGACCAGACCGTGTTATTTGCGAATTCTTGATAAGGCCGGAACTCGCGGTCGGCAGAAGAATTTCCCAGAGTGGCATTGAGAATCGGAGAGATGCCGCATCTGGTGAGATTTCGTGCTCTCTCGAAGTATGTGTATAACTGGTCGGACGGCACTGTTTCACCGCTGCCCACGGTCGACAATACGAAGGATGAATTTGCTTCAGCTAGGACGGTCTGCTCAGGATTGTAGAAACAGCCCGTAGCCACAGTACCTCCGCTGGTGAATGTGACATTACGATTAGATTCCAGATACTGGGCGGGAAATATCGTAGAACTGTCTCCAGTGAAGTTGTAGTTAGACATTTGAGGGTCGACAGTGCCGAAGCCTACAAGCAAGCGCTTCGAATAGCCAGGCACCTCAAGATAGTTCTCGCCAGGCCAGCCATCAGGAGTGTATGGAGTATTGCCTCTTTCTTCAACGCGGAAATACTCCGAGATTGGCTCTGAAACTCCAGGTGTTGTGAACCACGAACTCGTGTTTAGATCATTTCGCTGATTGAGCAGCTCCCGAGGGGAATATATGTATGAAGACACATTGCTGTTGATAATGGAGCTTAGCAGGGACCCGCCCTCGGGCAGATTATCGTCCTCAGGCTGTTCAGCAGGGCCGTCAGGATTCGAAGCCGATGCAGCAGCGTGCACATTGAGTGTAAGGAACAGGGTTGTCGCGCCGATATTAGTGTCTGTATTGACCTGGAACTCGTCAGCTGCAGATTTGTAAGTAGAGCCTTGTAGTTTCGTACAATGTGCGCAGAAATGATGCTGACAAGAAGAGCAAAGTCTGTAGAGGTTGTGCAGGAGTAGGAACCAGCTTGTATGAGTGTTCCATCTCCTACATCTGCGTCTGTCGGCTCAACATTACCACTTATCGAAGACGAAGTCGGATTGGCGAGCAGCGTAGCCGTGGCCGATATGCTGTCGGATGCTGTCACGGTCGTCGCAGGTGGAGGGGACGGATTCAGTGCCTCATCGTTCTGTCTTTGCTGAAGCAACAATGGTACATCTCTTCCGGGGCCATCATCCCCAGCAACGAGTCTTCGGGACAATCCCGCAGAGGTGGTGGCTGCCAAGCTAGTGGAAGAAGTAAGCGACTCGTCACTGCCTCCCAGCTCAACCGGGCATAGACTCCACGTCGATCTGCTCGCATCCCAGTATACATCAGCCTCTATCCGACGAAAGCCAGACACAAGCAGGTTAGAAAGGCATTTCGCAGCAGTCGACTCCTCGTAGCGTCTGTTCCCGAAACACGCGGCGGAAAGAGCAACACCCGGATGCGTGACAAAGTTGACCGGCACACGCAGGGACAAGTCGCGCTGCGACTGTGACGATGTTACTATTAGCAGAAGCACTTTGCAGAATAATGCCGAGTCAATGGCAATACATATGTAATAACATACAAGCTGCACCACGAATGTGCTATTAATGGCAGGATCGGGCGTGTAGAGTAGTGCCGACATTGACTCGGAACGTAGCGGGATCTAGCCTCGTGAGACCAGTCATTGTTTGCTTGCAGATGCGATGCGATCAGATGGAGAACCCCATTTTGGGCGATGGAGCTTCACGTGCGCGTGTCGCAAAGAACAGGTCTCTGAGCATCACAAGTGATGTCGAAACGGAGAGTAAACTCAAAAGGGAAAGCCCAAGTCTTGGCATGGAGCGACTCGCGTCGCAGAGTCTGAGACGCTGAAGCTGAAGTTTGCTCTCAGACGCTCTGCACGACTCCGTTCTGCCGAGAGCGCGTGGTTTACGAGGATGCAAGAATAGCATCAAGTGCCGACAGGAGACCTGAGCGTGGGCAATGACAGCGCCACTCTGAGCGGGCCTCACCGGATGGGACAGAGACTTTGACCCAAGGCATCGGGTGTAGGGGGACAATTGTCACTTGGAGAGTGGACTGAGGAAGTTAAGATAAGTCGCCTTCAATTTTTGGTTCCCAATATCTAGTACAGCTGTACATTACGAACTGAGCATGGCAGTTCTCCAGCCGCGCAAACAAGACTCCCAACCTGAACTCTTCGCTGGAACGCTATCACAAAAAGCTCTGTATCCACAAGGTCATAGGGTATCGTCAAACGCCCGTCCTAAGCAGTATAATTATGTACATTAAGGGTGCCTGTGCAAGAGAAGCTGTGGAAAAAGGTCTGTCGTTCAATGTGTGAGGTTGGAGAGGCTCATCTTGTCTTTGGGTGAGTCCTCAGGAGAGTGGCCGGAGATGATGGGTGTAGCCATGCCGGAGTCGATGTGGCCGTAATACTTGTGCTGGTCATATTTGGCGTGGGCCATGTTGTGGTGATGGTCCATTGGCGTTGAGGGGATGTGCCCTTGCATGCCGGGGTACGCCGAGTGCCGACGCGGTGGTTGCTGGTTGGCCATCAAGAAGCTCTGCTGCATCTGCTGAGTCTGTTGCATTGGCGGTGAGTGTCTGGGCTGCGAAGGAAGATATGCCGTAGGTGCTGGCAGTCCGGAGGACTGTGGCATGAATGCTTCCTGCAGCATCGGTGTGTGCTTGCGCATGTCTCCGAATGACTCCATCGTCATGAAGTCGGTGTCTTGGGCGAAGGTGCCAGGCACACCTAAACGAAGCATTGGTGCAGAAGAGCGGCGTTCTTCGCGCGACCCTGCGAGTGGAGGAAGCTCAATGGGGTTGGGTGATGGACCGTGGCGTGGAGAGCGGTTGTCGAGAGACGAGCAATCTGAAATCAGTGACGGGGCGCCGTCCGCTGACATTTGGGAATATGCTGACGGCGAAGGCAGGGGAGCTTCGACCATTCTGCCGAACGTTGCCACCGCAGTGGGAAAGTGTGCGTATTGCTGTGGGTGTGCGTGGCCCGGATTGCCCATGTACTGCTGCTGTGGGAAGAACTGCTGCTGCGTCCAGGCTTGTGGGAGTGGTTGTTGCACTGGAGCAGTCGGCATATTGTGCATGTTGGGGTGTGCGTGAGGATGGTGGTGTCGAATCTCGAACTCTGCCTGTCGTTGTTGTTGGTTGCGGCGACGGCGGTTCATGCCACCATTCCACCAGTTCTTGACGGCGTTGTCACTTCGTCCTCGCAGGCGACGCGCGATCTCTGCCCAACGCTTGCCCATCTCGGCCACCATCTGCTCGATGAGGACGCCTTCTTCAGGCGTGATTGGGTCGTGGTTCAAGTTCGGCTTCAGGTTCTGGTGAAATCTCTCGCGACATTGCTTTGGGGATCGGGTCTGAATGGTGCTGGATATGCGGACCCAATTCGACGCGCCATATTGGTCCACAAGGTGAAGCAGCAGGTTGTCTTCGGCCTGCGACCAAGGGCCACGCTTGTGCTGTGGCATTGTGAAGAGGTTGTGAAGGAGTAGTCGTTGTTGTTCAGTTGCGTTGTGGGAGAAGCTGTTCAATGTCAGTTCAGCGAACGGCGAGGAAGAGGGAGATGTTGTAAGAAGACGATGCAGGCGTTGCACTGACCTTTCAAACGTGCAGTGAACTGGCGAACTGGCCACCGTTGGGTGTTGTGACAGCGACGAGCAACAGATGTTCTGACGTTGGGTGTTTCGAGAGCTGGGCTCCAGTGGAAGTATGTATAAAGATTGACGCCAGTAGTGGAAAGTCTTATGCGAGACTGAATTAGGCACAATAGGACGTGTGATGCGGGTTGACAATGTTAATAGGGTTTCGCTCTGCCGCTAGTGTCGTCGATCAACGGCCGAAGTCTAAATGATGCTTCGCGAGCGTTGTGGTGGATCAACTGAGGGGCGCTGCTTCACACACTGACGATGCTTGCAAACATCTGGGTGCGTATCGTCGCGGGAGGGCGTTTCAAATGAACGTTGTGAGGCGGTGGTGAAGACGGGAGTACAAAGATCGCGATGGACAAATTCCCATAGCGACAGCGCGGTACCAACCACGGTCGGGGCAATGGTGATGTTCTTCATCCAAAGGCGAGGACCCAGATTCCATGCAGCTGGCGTAACGTCGCAGCACGAGCAGGGGCGACCATGCATGCGTTATGCAGCCACTTGCCAGGGGCACGATCGGCACCCACACTTGACATGGAGACGACCATAAAGCCGAATGGTGTCCAGGGTACGCGATTGCGCTGCGAGCGTTCCAACGCTGAAGCTGAATTGCGACTGATGTCGGTCTCACTCGCACCAAGCTGTGAGATGGATGGCAATTCCATTGTGCGGCAACGATGTAGAGATTAGGCGTGCATTCGACCGAACGACGCCCGGGCATAGCAGCACCGCTATGGTCGTGGCCTGAGTCTGCCGTGGCTGCTGGCATCAGATTGACCGTACGTCGTCCTGCACCTGTGCGTTGCCCACATGTCGCGCAAAAAGTGCACGGGCAGGCTCCAAACCTCCACCAGGTCTTCTTGTGAAGCATTTTTAGACATTGATAGTGCTATGTCAGTGGCAGATGTCAGTAGCCGTGTTTCAGATGATTGTGGCCTGCCAGGACAGCGTACGCATCGCTTCGGCTTTTGCAGCCAGTTCCTCATTCGCAACAAGCCGAGGAATCGCAGAGCCGGACAGCCTGAACCAGGAAAGTCCATCGCAGCCCACTTTTCTGCTCGGAGGCGGCTCCTGTTGCCAGAGAGCCATGGCCTGGGACATTGCAGACCAAGATTCAGCGTGAGTGCTACATTATTACGATGTGTAGAAGTGCTAGCCGTCGAGGCGAGCGTCATGGTGGTCGTCTCAATCCTGGCCGATCGCTCATTCTACTTCGAGCCGTGAGTAGTGGTGCGAGTGGGAAAATATAGCATTTGGAATTCGGGGTGAGGATGGCTGCGTGGGTGCAGGGCTGGTGGTTTGATTGGGATGCCTGCAGCGTCTGCCGACAAGCCTGATGCAGGCCCCACGTCCAAGTGAGCAGGGAGCTCCGAGGACGATGGCGGTGGGCGGAAGTGCAGTTGCGGGTCTGGTCTGCGTCTGCGGCTTCGCGACGAGCTGATGTCGAGGCAGCGGCGGCACGGGACCAGGGTGTCCTCGCTGAGACACATGGAGGGCGGCGACGAGAATATCCTCAAGCTCCAACCTTGACGATTAATTCGCCGAAGACAATCGCACGCGGTCGCCAACCACAGCACGTTTGCGATGCGGCGCCTGACTCTTCGCCCGCAGCTGGAGGCGAGCCCTTGCAGCGCGGACAGAGGGCGGCGAGTCGTCGTCGGCGGTGCCAGGCCAGGCGTCGCAGCAGCAGCAGCAGCATCAACCACAATCGACGTCGACCCCTGGCGCGCAACGCTAACTACTGGCGGCAGATCGCCTGCGCAGCCAGATCCGCCGGGACCGCTGTGCGCTCCCGCTGCCTCGCACGCACGCTTAGTTAGCGAGAAGAGTCTCCAGCTCGTTGGTGAGATGGCGTCACATCCAGTTGCACAGCAGCCCGCTCCGCCCTCCGCCCTCGCTGGCGCACGCGCCTGTTACACAGCATCGTACCCGCGGACCGCTCCTCGACCATCCACAGTTCGATCATGTCCGCGATGATGGCGGTGGTGGAGGGTGCCAAGCGGGCGAGATGAGTTGCAGCCACTCTGTCTGCCACATCGACGACTTGGGCGGCGCGTCATGATGATACTAGTCGCGGCGTGCAGCAGGTGCTATATGCGGCGCGGCCATCGTCAACTGCGGCCGCTAGCATCTGATGGTGCATGCGTGCCTGCGGCGGGACGTTATATCACACCAGCCCAACGCGCCATCAGCGCCGTTTGTGGCATGGCCACGCGACTGCACCGCGTCCACACTGGGAATCTGCAGCCCCGCTACACACGCCCAGCGCGCCATCACGCGCGATTTCTGGCGACGACGACTCCAATCTGGCATGGACTGCTCGGCGACGCGCGAAGTCCGCTCCCGCATTGGGAAACAACCACTATTGCCTCCGCCGTATGCGATGGGCCTGGTGGAACGTAGGCGAGCTCTCGTCTCACGTCACCGCACTGGGACGCCCTCTCCCCCTGACTGATGCGCACACAAAGTCAATAATGTGCCCGCCTGGGGCACCTCTTGCTACGCCGCAAGCTTTCGAGAGCTCTGTCTCATCAAGTTTGCCGTCGCTTCACAGCTCCCACTTGAGATCGGATGTCTTGATCGGCCGGTACCGTCCCGCCCAGCGCCATCGACACACCATCGTGCGCCCTGTGAATCTACCCATCAGGCGGGATGGGAAAACACTCCGCTCTCCCCAGGCCCTAATTGTCATCGGAAAGCTCCATACCCTGTCGCAGGAAAGGCCTTCGTACGTGCTGTGGACAGCAGTGCTGCAGTGGCCCGGATGCATCTACGTTGCGTCGGTCGCGCACTGACGCGGGTCCGTTGTGGAAAGTAGTGTGACAGCATCTGCCATCACTGCCCATGCACGGCACATTGAGCATCGATCCGGATGTGCTGAGACAGAGCACAATGTTGCAGATGCTCTTTCAAGCAGAACAAGTCGCAAGTCTCATGCACAGCCTTTGCCTCCGGCTCAACAGGCTGCGCAATTGTGAAAGATCAGCCAGCACGATTGACAGGGTGCTCAACGTCTTTCGCCTGCGGTACGCTCGCTGAGGGATATGAACTTCAAGACGTTGGCCGTTGGCCTGGAATTGCGCAACCAACTCGTGTTCGCAGCTGTCGACACATCTCTATCGTCCTGCAACGTCTCTGGAAAACGTCAAGGGCTTTGTAGGTTGATGCTGTCAGTGTCAACAACTACGACGACAGTCATTGTCGTTCATGAAAGCTCTCGAGGTTCAGTTTGATATGTGTCTCAGCGCGACCTCGAGCACGACTGCCCCTCTGGTCAGCTCACTCCTGAAGCGACAGATTTCGCCCCGGATTTTCCGCTCTCCATGAGATATCACCCGGCTCAATTGATACATGTCTCAGTGGCGCGATTGCGCAACCTTTTCTCCGATGTATAGCTCTTCACGGAGAATTCAAGACAACGCTTAACCTTGATACAAACCTTCTCCATCCTCCGGTCTCGCCCTGTTGTTACATACTGCGACCAACGTCCAACGTCGAAAACAACGAAACGGGATGCAACTTCTCATGCCATGCAATGAAAACATTACAATACGTCATGTCGATACTCCAGATTTCTCCTGAAGATGACAGGCGACTCGCGCCCTTTCGACCCAAGGTTCCTCGAGCTGTCGACAACGCTCGACTGTTCCTTCAGTCCAGCCACCTACACCGGTACGGTACATAACGACAACAAACATCCTCTTTCGCGTCGCACTCCCACTCTACAATAACAACAAACAAACCTCTTCGACGATGCTACAACGTACGGCACCTTTGCCCCACGATCCCGCGCAATCACACCACCCGTTTAGCAGCAGTTGGTCACCACGGCATAACACTGGACGCAATTTTCTTCGTTGCCAGCTGAACGCATCTCTGGCAACACCAGTATCGTTCATGACCGTCATCATCAACCGGACGAGCGGCGAACACGAGATCCACTGATCTTTGCAACGCAGAGAAGTTCGGCCAAAGCAAATGAAGCTCACCACTCCAACACCTCGTTCCAAACACTCGCCAAGCAACCTCCAAACGGTACGCATCACGCAGCAATCCCACTTTCCAGCACCCACATCATCAATACCACAACCACGAAAACGACTCCTCAGATCTCGATCGCGTGCGTCTCGCATGGACTTGGCGTAAACAAATCCCACTGCCTCGGGATCCGCAATCTTCGCACCGCAGAGGCTGCAGATGCCAGACATGGGGCGGAACCACCAACTCCTTCCTTCCGGCGGAGGTGGCTTCCGTCCGGCGGTCAGCAAATGAGCAGATGAAGAAATCGTACAAGAAATTGAAAACAGAATACGAAGGATTCTGCAGCCACAAAGGTGAGTCTCTGGTAAAAACTAAGCCTGTCGTGACCAATGGTAGTAGGTACGAAGATCAACATTCTTGGATTGTAGGATGAAGCGTTTAGACGTGTAGGCAGAGAGTGAGGAGGTAGGATTCGAGGTCGGAGAATTTGTCTTGCTCTGGTCGATGGCTTCGTTAACAGAGAGAAAATAGATATGCATATTCTTGTATCTGTTATTGTTGTTGTTGTCTATGCTTGGTGGCGCAAGGGAACATGTCCTCCTCCTGCCACTTCCCTCCTCTCGAACTTCAATTCTCCTGACAATGTGAATGGTGAACACATAGCAAGAAGTTGGGAATCTTGCTTCACAATTCATGTCATGATACGCAGAAAGTCAAACAGGAAACCACAAAATCCACCTCCATGCATGCTTGCATACAAATCCCACTCAAACAGACCGCTCCCTCACAACACCGCAAGAACTCCGCTTATGCAACAAATCAATTGGTCACTCCCTTCCCTGCCATCGCGGCGCTCCTTCCTCTTGACTTTCCCTCTTCACATCACTCACTCCAAGCGGTCTCGCAAATCTCCGTCTATTCTTCCCCCTCGGAACCTGGTCAAGCCAGATATCACCTCCCTCACCCGCAACCCATCTCCTCCAAGCCTCTTCGTAAGCATCTTCCAAATCACTGACCCATCTCTTCGTATCGAACAATGCACTCGTCCATCTCGCCTCATACAACAATTTCCTCAATTCCATAATTCGACCTTCACCTCTTCCGTCGCATCGTCCATGAGAAGAGGAGATCAAATATTTGAAGCCTTTGCCTAAAGCTACAGCTTTCTCTTCGTAATCTTCTTCGTTCTTCGCGATGAGTTCCTTTTCTGCGCGGCGACCTTCTTCGTTTTTGGGGAGGGCGCCTTTGAGAATGCTGGCTGCCATGCGACTGCACATTTTATATGGGTAGCGGGGAAGAGTGAGGAGAGGGGTGCCGCTCCAGAGGACATCAGCTGCTGTGGTATGCGCATTGCATTCGGCCGTGTCGAGGACGAGGTCGCATACCCGAGCACGGGAAATGTGGAGATGCTTGGGGGCAACGTCGGTGAAGATGACGCGTGAAGCGACTGCTTTGCCGGCCCATAGTTTTGCTGTGGCGAGGAGGTGCGATTCGCCGAGGTCTGGGAAGCGGAGGAGCCAGAGGATGGAGTTGGGTACACGAGCGAGGATTCGTAGCCAGGTGCGGAAGGTCGTCGGTTCGATCTTGTAGAGCTGGTTGAAGTTGCCGAAGATGATGATGTCGTCTGCCAGTTGCGGGAAGAGTTCTTTGCGCATCTGCCAGCGCCGCCGTTGTTCTTCGGGCCAACTGAGTTGCCTCTCGTTGGCGTCAGGGGCGCTTTGTTTGTGATCGCAGCAGAAGAACGTGTCCCGCGAATATATGATATTCTCACCATATACCCAGTCTTCGTTCTCCCCGGCACTATTCTCATCCTGAATTTTGTCTTCAATATCGACATTCCTCCTCCACGGACGCAAGGTATCGAGTGGCACTGCCGTCTCATCAGCGAGGAGATAATCACACCATTCAGCACCCATAGTGCCCGCAAAGCCCATGAAAGACATCTGAATAGGCGCAGGCCTGGCTGCAAAGACCTCGTTGCGCGCACCTCGAGTATAGCCATTGAGATTGACGAGGATGTGAATCTGGTCTTCGATAATCTGTTTGACGAGCCTCTCCGCTCCCCAGGTACTGGCATCATGGAAGACTGGGGCCTCGGCCTCGATTTGTCGACGATGTACGGAGTTATCACTGGCAGTCGTAGCATAACAATATGCGCGAACGCGCTCAGTGTCGTGCATCCCGAACACGGACTGCATAAGATGCGCCAGAGGATGGTTATTGAAGTCGGATGAGACGTAGCCAACCCGCAGTGTAGGGGAGGGCGGCGATGGGGGTGGGAACACCTGCTTCGGAAGCCAGGGCGCACGCATCGTCGAAACGGAGATACGCAAGCCGTTGCGCTGCGAGATCAGGCGGATCTGCTTGGCAGACATTGGGCAAGTGAAGGTGTGAAACGGCAAGACCGTCGGGGCCGTAGGAACGAACAGGGCCGCAGGTAGCTGGGGTCGGTTGTATGCCGCAGAGGGCCGCCTGACCTTCTTGACGTAGAGGTCGTGATAGAACTGCCACATCAGACGTCGCGTGGCACGTTCAACGAGTCGGGTGATTCGGGCTCCCTCCCACTTCTTCCCGGCCCAGCTTGTGAGAGTCTTCCGCATGTGCTCTTCACGGTCTCTCCGGTCTTCTGCAGATTGTTCAAAGTCGGGGAACTGCCGGACCATGTAGTCGATGAGTGTGGTATTCAGCGTCCCTGTGCCCCAAGTCTCCCCTTCGACCAGCTGCCGTTCAACGATATCGAGCACCCGCTTGATCCAGCCAGAGCTCGAAGCGCCATGTTGCCGCGCATCGAGTAACATGCCCTCTGCATCGACATGCCAACGGTCGCGCTTGCCGCCATCCTCAGCTATGCCGCCTCGCGCCTGCCACCCGCACACGGAGTTCAGAGCGTTAGCGAGGCCGCACACCGCCTCTGCGAATTCAGGATTGACCTCGACAGCTCGCTTGTAGTATCCTATCGCGTCGCTGATTCTACCTTTGTCTTTGACAGCATTAGCTAGATTGGCGAGTGCAATGTCGAACTTTCCGTCGCATGTCACGGCGTGCTCGTACATGCCAATAGCTGCATCGAGCTGGCCAATGTCTTTGAGCAGACTCCCCAAATTTGTGTACAGGTGGGCATGCTGACTGTCCAATTGCAAGCCGTAATTGTAGTATTGCAAGGCCAAAGCGATACCACTGCCCGGCACAACTCCTGGGATGTCGGTACGTTGGCGTGGACCAAGCACTGCTGCAGGCGTAGCAGATTGCTGAACGCTTGCAAGTAAGATGCCAACATTGTTCGCAGTCGATGGACTGGGCTGCAAAGATAGTGACAAGTAATACAACGCAAGGATATCTCGTACCCCATGATTCAGGGGAACCACTCCGGCCGACCGACTGGCGTTAGACATGCCGTCTTGGAAGATCTTGGCCAGCGATAGCAGCGAATTGCTCGTGGTCGAGATGGCTGCCTTTCTGGCTAAGCTGTTCGATGAGCTCAGCACATGTTGTAGTCCGGGCAGCTCGGAAGCGCCTGGAAAGCATAGTCTTGCGGTCGAGAGTGCCTGCTCCGGAGATAGCAGAATCGGCTCTGTGGTCGATACGCGTGGTGACTGAGAATGATCGCGAAACGTGACGGCGGACACAACCTTGAGAATATGCCTCACCAGACTTTGGATGCCATCAAATTGGCGGCCTGTTGCAATGAGCACAGCATCCTCAAAAGCCTTGGCTGCGCCAGCATTGTTTCCGAGTCCGTACAACATGTTGCCTTTGGCGTGGATGAGCGCCAGAATTCGGCCATTGTCGCAACCTGGAATAGCAAAGCCGCTGGACCCGAATCCTGGCTCATTGTCCTGTCCATCTAGCACAAACGGGTCTTCGTCAGGATCAAAGTCATAGGATACTCGATCAGACTGCTCTGAAAGTGTTGGTGATTTGCTGGTAATCGAAGCCGAGCGCTCGCTCTGACGGTCCGCCGATTTGCGGTTTTCCTCAGACGGAGGTCCAGGCAGCTTCAAGGACCGCTCCACATACTCGATGACCTTGATCGCGTCTCTGCTGCGCTGTTCCGAACACAATAATCCAATCAAATGCTCCACTGCTTCAAAATGGTTAGGGGCCACCCTTATGACCTTCTGCCAGTGCTGTTCGGCTTCAACTCGCTGACCCAATGCTAGCAACGATGCAGCAAGGTTCGACCTCGCTTCCAAGTGCTTTGAATCGTTTTCCAGGACTCGCATGAACCAAATTTGTGCTTTCTTATAGTTGCCAAGTCCATACGCCAGACAGCCACCAAGTTGCACCCCATCCGTCCATTGCCAGCGAGTCGCTCGGCATGCTGCTGTCACATGGTGGAGAGCCACTTTCGCCCGGAGAGTCGCGGCATCCTCAGAATACGAGATCGAGGCGATCGAGGATCCAGTGGACCGGCGCAGCGTATGTGAAGTTCTGCGCGATAGTGCCTCTGGCTGCGACGGCGAATGAAGACTATATGACGAATCGTGCGAATTGTGTCGAGAAAGAAATCGCGGACCATCGCTAGCCCGTCGTGATCTTCCTGGAGGAGCCTGATCCACGGGCGACCTTGCCCTCGGCGTGATACTGTCGTCTTCATTCGGATCCGGCGTGCTCTCAGGCTGTGCACTGCGCAGGGGAGGGTCCTCATCATCGCTGGCGTGGACTTGGTCGGCTTCAATTGTATCTTTCGCCAATGCAGATGGTCCAGACGCAGATGGTTTTGGTGGCTTCGGGAAGAAGCTCGGCCGCGATGGAGGTTGTTGCTGTTGACCTTGCGCATTCCGGACCTGTTGTTGCTGTCGTCTAGTTTGATGAATGTGGCTCAACAACTCCCGATATTGCTGTAATGCCCATCGAAATATGTCTTCGCGCTGACGGGCATCCGGGTTCGTGTTCGGTCGATCGAGGTCAAAGGGTGGTATGGGTGCGGATGGGCTCTGGGTGGAGGCTTGCATAGCCATACCATGCCTATTGTTATTAATTGGATAGCTCGATGTGTGGCCGACTCCGAGGGGCACATGGCGTGCAGCTGTGGAATGCAAAGGTGGTGGGGCATAAGGACGCATACTTGTCGAAGCAGACCACAGGCCCTGGTTCGACTGCAGCTGCTGCTGTTGCCATAGATCCGACTGGTAGCGGAGCTGTGAGTTCGGCGTTGAGCCCATGTAAGTCCCAGCTGCATGTGGATGGTGGTAAAAGTGTGGGTTCTTCACAGCGGCTGCGATATACGGTACATAGCTCCCATCGTGGAAATAGTATGGTCCATACAAGCCTGAGCCTTGGGGACCAGGTGCGGTTGGACCCAGATACTGAAAGGATGGCTGGATCACGCTGGGAATAGTCTGGTTGTAGTAAGGATGGATCCCTTGGTGGATGGGCATCTGATTGAGCATTGAGTCCATCACGGGAAACGGACTATGCGGTTGCTGCTGAACATGACTCGGCTGAGGCCAGGAGGGCAGCACGGGGGAGGCATGCCATGATCTGAGGCCAGCATTCTGTTGTTGCTGCTGGTGTTGCAAAAACGTACGCTTCTCGCTGTTGTAAAGTCCCGTTGTGTTGCCTTCGCTGAGCAGTTGGTGCTTGTTGGGCTGAATGGGTTCTGCTCCGGATGCATCGTAGCCGGCGTGCAACGTGCCTGAAGGTGTTTTCCTCCGCAATTCATATTCTGTCTCCCCCCTCTGATTATGATGTATCGGCAAAGCATATCGCTGGGTCAGGTACGGCATAGAGCCCCCTGCAGGGTGGTAGTTCGAAGTCGAAGTTCGACCAGATATACGTGCCGAAGAAGGGCTGATATGAGAAAGACTAGCATCAACGCTCATTGTGACGCAGCTGGAGGCCTTCTCTGCGCGCCTTGTAGCGCTGCAAAGACCTGCTGCTGGCTCACGGATGAGAATGTGTGCCTATGCCCTTGCGATTGGTGTGCCGGATAGCTCGCATCTTCCATGAATCGCAGCAGCCCAAACCACCTTCTGTCCTACGCTGGCGTGATAACGATGGTCGCAAGGAGCTCTTCTCCACGCGGACGGGTCGTCGACGGTGTCAGAGCCCTAGTCAGTGATCCCCGTGGTATTGTGGTCACGAAAACATGCAGGCCTGCGCACTCCCGCCTTGCTTCACGTCCCCGGCGGGCAGATGCGGCCAGCGCTGGCCTGAAACTGCTGCAGCAATTCGCCGGCAAGCGGTTGATGCTGCACGGCGGCTGTGTCTCACAACGACCGTCTTTTTCAGCACATTCTCCAGAGCAGCTAGCCTCCGCGCTCTACTATCCGTGTGCTGTATGCCGGGCAAGGTGTCATCTGCCTCGTTCGTCGGGTTCACGATTCTCCCAGTCCCTGGCTCTTGCCTCGTCGTCGGTGATGTGCTCGCGTGAATCGAGAAGGCGTATCCAAAAGCAATCGCGGACGGACGAGCGTGTGGTGAAGAGGAAGAGAGTGGCAGTCACGTCGTCCTTCACGAGCAGTTGGTGTCTAGCATGGCGCAGGGAATGCACCAATCGCACCTGCTGCTGGAGGATGCCGCGCGAACCTTCACCTTGGGAATCCACCACTGCTGCACGCTAGAGGCGCTTTCCTGACAGACCTGTGCCACTGGCCGCAGCCATTTTGATGGATCCGGGCGGCGCAGACGCGGCCATCAGCAGCGCGAAACATGCTGCCTGCCCTGCGACACTCCACTCGCTTGGGCGCGGTGGTGCGTGGCGCTGGCCGCTCCAGCGACTCGCATCGCTTGTCCTCCTCCTCCAGCCTATCGCCGGGCCCCTCTGCGCAGCGATCCCAGTCCGATCACACGCTGCGCACGGCACCAACCGCTCGGCCGGCGCGGCTGCGTACAGATCTTCAGCATCTCCTACGGTACCTCTGTACAATAATAATCATGAGAACAGCAGTGCGGCTTCCAGCATGCCTACACTCACCACCATGCAACGCGAAAACAGCCCAGCAAAGGCTGCCGATTGCCGCGCTGCATTCGTGGTGCAGCCGGCTCGAAATCCCAGCCCAGCATGCTGACACGTCTCCACTCCCGACTCCTCAAGTGGATTCGACAACGACGCACCTGGCCTGGAGAATCCTGGGCCGACCCATATTGAGCGCGGTGCAGTGCAGTAGTGCTGCCATCGACTGGGACGCCATGCTGTCAAGACTTCGTGTACATCCAAGGTGTACCTGAGGTGACGCCTTCCACATGCAGGCAAGAGCCAAATTGACACGAGGACGATCGACATGCCACCACGCGAGATCTGAGCACCATATGTATCGGATTGTCCATGTAGCAGGACAGACGGGTGCGAATGTGAGTACTCAGTGACTAGCGCCGCTCCGCTGACGTGACTACTGGGTCGTTGCCGGAATTTCTCGAGGTCACAAAGCTATGTTTGACAATCCGCCTTAGGTGAGTCGCACCCTTTGCTGCGGGACGCCATGCTGTGATCAACATTTTTAGCGTACATGAAGCATGCCAACACCTAGGGCGGACCGGGATCGGCTGCGACAGTCTTCACGCATCCAACGCTTGATCACCAACAACGAGACCGACAGGAGACAAGCCGAACCTGAAATAACGAACGAGAACAGCAAGGAAGGGAAGAGAAGAGGTATCCCATGCATTATGCAACAGCCCAAAGCACCTCGGAGAGCAAAAAAGCTTGCTCCAGCCACATATCCAGCCGTGTGCTCACTATGCACCTTTACGAACAAGATCTGCGACACTCCGCATGCAATCAAGCGACCTTTGTGCTTCGCTGCTGAACACAACATACCCTCACAAACGCCGTGCTCGAGCTTATGCAGTCCACTCTAACGCCACAATCTGCTGGCAGCCATTAGCACCATCTCCCTCTTTAACCAGTCAGAAACGATTCGCAATTGCTTCTTGCCAGTATCCGCTCACTTTCTTATCTCAGAGACTCGCTCTCGATGCTACGCCATGCATGTTTCCGATCCTGCTTTCGGCTTCTCTCAGCCCTTTCTGCCACTCGCCGGCTCTCCTGTCATACAAGCCCTGCACCCTTGCGTCTTTCTGAGCCAGGATCTCGGCGAGGGCCATTGCGTCTTCAATTGACTGGTTCGCGCCCATGCCGCCTAGGATTGGTTCAGCATGGATTGCATCACCAATCAACACGATGCCTTCCTCAGCGGGCTGGCCGAGTTTCGTCGTGTCGACGTGAAGGGATCGCATAAGCCAGTTGAGTAGTCTGTCCTTCTTCATCGCCTCCGGCTCGAATATCAGCTTCAACGGTCCAGATAGCTGGTCTTGCAAGGCTTTCACTTCGGCGAAAAGCTCGTCTGGAACATCCTTCGCCTCTGCCTTATCTCGCTGCGGACGGTACAGTGCATCCTCGCCTGACCTCTTCGCTGGCCGCGAAAATACATAGTTGATGCTCGCCTCGTCATCGCTCACGCTGTTCAGTGAGATCTGCAGAAGCGTGGTTCCTTCATTCCCTACTCTCTTCTCCACCACATTTCCGCCTTCGAAGCCGGGCGCAAAGTCCCTCTCCCATTCTTCTCGACTCACGCGTCGTTTGCCATTGTACGTCGCGTATGGCAAAGTCGTTAGACCAGCCTCCGGGAGGATCTTCCCTCGCACAATAGAATGCGGCCCATCGGCTCCTACTACGTAGGTACTCGCATGCCGACTGTGATTCTTGAACTCCAGCTCGACAGCTCCAGGCAGAGCTTCCAAATTCGTTAACTCGTGGTCCCACTTCACTTCCAGTTCTTCTGCGAGCAAAGCTTCGAGTCGGTTCTTGTTCGCTTTGAAGCAGTCTTTCTCTCCTTGGCCGCGAATGCTTCCTGTCCCTCCGATAAGGTGGCTGTCTACAGCGACCTTTTTCCGAAATGTCGCTTCGTCCAATTGGAGTACTTGAAGCAGTGGTAGATAGGACTTGGAATACAATGTGACGCCATAATTATTCCTGTTCACGGATTTCCTCGCTTTCTCGAAGATGCTGGTTTTGATGCCTTTCTGATGCAGGCATCGTCCTAAAGTGAGCCCGGCGAGACCGGCGCCGATGACGGAAATGCGATGGCCTTTGGGCATGTTGGCTGGAGTTTCATCGGCCATGCATCATGTTTTTCAGTTGCCTGTAGACTCGTCTTCTACTCTGGATCGCTTCTGTGGTATTCGCTCTGGTGATGCAGACTGTTTGGCTGGCTGGAGTGGCTGGGATGCGTTGTGTATGTTTGTGATAAGAGTGGAGTTGGAGCTGTGCCGTGGGCGAATGGAAGGAAGGACCGAATGACGACTTGAAAGTTGAAAGCCCGCATGCGCCACATTTCATGGCGCAGAATCAAGCGAGATGCGCGGACGATATTTCCTTCCTCACCTTGAACAGAACATCGACTTATATTTTCGGAGTGGCGTCGAACACGGTCATACGGTCATTTGTGCGGTGGTCTTGCTTCACGCTACTGACTTACGTGTAGAAATTGCGGCGGTTGAGCTCGGTGATCACGAGCATTCAAGTTCACAACTCCATTTCACTCACCTCAGTGCCATCATCTCACGCTCTGTGCCAGATAACCGCACCATCTCATGCTTGCGCGCCGTGGCAAGTTCACTTCTCCTGGACATTGCGCGCGAAGTAGCATTTGGCCGGGACAGCTCTCACGAAGGCGAGAATCGACCTCCTCCTTGCTGCGTATAAGGATCAACGGACAAACTTCATCGGCGGCACTCGTACTTTCAGACACAAGTACTGCAGCCATAGACTTATGTTGCCGTCATCTACCGATGTGGTAGAAAGCGACGATGCTTATCGACTTCTGCGAGAAGAGTTGAGCCCACGCGATATGCGACAGCGACCCCAATGCAAGAAGCATCCTATCGAATCGAAGAATGGATCGCCGTCTACTACCACGTTCTCACTGTTGAAAGTATCGACTCAGCACATCTGTACAGGATGAAGGCGTTCTGCAGTCGCAAGCTGCGAGGTGACTTTCCTGGGCTGTCTTGAAATTTATACTTTCGTGCCTACCAGCACCTTTGCCCGACCGAGTATTGTTCCAGGTAGGTTCGCTAAGGACGGGAGCCCACCCCGGGATTCGCACAGTATTCACGCAGTAAGAGCACTCGGATTGGACGATCAGTCGCATATGACTTGGGACCCAGTGTCTGCGAATGTTGGAACTCCGAACCAATTTTCGTGACTACGCTGGCTCGATTCCGAGTATATAGTCTACGACTATTCCCTAAATCCAGCATTCCAAAGACATCAAAGCCAGCAGGCGTAGCTCACTTACAACCACTTCACGTCGCAACACCTCTGCGAAAGCTGTACTTACAAGGACACGATGGCATACTGCGGTGATCAATACTCCAATGATCGAGCGTCACGCTGGACGTATGCTCAAAAATTAAGGACGCCGCACGTGATCGAAATCAGGACGGCTCCCAAACCTGCGAAGACGCCTGACACGAGAGCACAACCCGCTCCCACTCTTCTCCAAGTCTACTCGCAAGTCGGACGCAACGAGAATCCACGCGCCATTCTTGGCTTGAAACCCACCTCTGATGAGCGAGATGTTACGGTCGCCTTCCGGAAATTGGCCTTACTTCTACATCCAGACAAATGTGTCGACGAGAAGAAAATGGTGCTACACCAAGCACTTTTCATCAAAATCGATGCAGCCAAGGATGCGATCCTCGACTCCAAATACAAAGCCACAGTGGAGGACGAACCGGAGGAGACGAGCACCCAACCCACCCGGAGTGCCCCCAGAAACCCGATGCCAGAGGAAAAGCAAATGCCACGGGAAAAACCAAAAAGAGGATGCCCGCCCGGGTGCTGCTGTGGTGGCCAATTCAATAGATCTCGTTGGATAGACGACGACCCTCAAGAAGCTTGGAACTCCATGAGATCACCCGCAGAGGAAAAGGAGTATTTCGCAGCTCTCAAACTTGTGGTTCGCGCCCCAAATTGGATCGCGCCTAATGGTAGAGTGATGAAGAACGCAAAGAGGGATGCGCTTCGGCTCAAGACTCCCATACATCCGGATTACGACTGGGAAGCATTTCTGGCTATTCGAAAGAAGGTTCGTGAGCATTTGGCGTTCACGGAGGAGAAGAAGAAGGAGACCAAACGAGGTGTGCGGGAGTCGAAGAGGCTGAATTTCTGGTTGGATGATGATGCTTCGTATGTGAAGGATGAGGAGAAGGAGCTGAATGTGGAGCATGAGTACATTCTCGAGGAGGATGAGATTCCGAATTTTGTTACGTTCAACTTGGGGGATTGGATTCCGGGTTTGTGAGTTGGAACATCTTTAAAGATAGTACGCGTTTCTCTTTTTGCATAGAGGTTCCATCGCGCTCGTACATAACTTTAGCGAGTATGATGATTTGGAGAAACCGCCAGAAAGCACAACTTGCTCCCGGGATATAGAGGCTGCACTGCCAACATACATAGCTCTGGCGAATACGTTGATTCACAGCAATTGCCAGAGAGCACCAGTGTCTCCGTCCGAATACAGACATCGCTGCTCACGAGCTTAGCCCTGACCGAGTTTTTGATATCGAGCGATTGCCAGAAAGTACGCCTTTCTCTGTCCCAATAAAGGTCTCAGTGCCAACATGCTTAGCCCCGGCCCGAGTTGTGATCTGGGTCAATTGCCAGAGAGCATACCATTCTCCAGGCGAATGCAAGCATCGCTGCTGACGAACTTCCCCCATGGCAAGGATGACTGCATAAACAGCTTTAATTTCCACGCCGCCGACAAATCTTTTACTTCACCACCTTCGCCACAGCGAAGCAGTATTTCATCGGCGACTGTCGACAGTAGCAACCTTGAACTTCTTTTCTTATTACCTATATCACTAGGCCATCATGGCCGACGAGCTTGGCGACTACACGCCACGTTCGGTCTATCCGCCATTGACCGTCCAAGAGCAGTTGGCCTGGTACTTGGCCGAGTGTCCTATCAAGACGAACAAGATGATCTCAATCCTTCTCAACATTACACCCGCCGAGGTCACCCATCTGCAAGGAAAAGTCCGTGCCCAATTGTGCCTCCTCACTCCTGTCAAGGCTACAGAAGACTTGCAGTGGCAAGATGATGATGGCGATATCACTGTGAACACGGGTCATCGGCTTCTTAGATGGCAGCTCAACTTCAGCAAAGCGACAGCGAAGAGACTGGCGCTTGCGGCAGTCGCGTCTGGCGTCCAATCGGCCATGCCCGACTACTTTGGCATGGATTAGTTAGGGCAGTCGCCAGAGAGCACAAGTCTTTCCGTTCACATACAGGCTGCGCTGCCCATGTGCCCAACCCCGCCCAATACTGTGCGGCAGAGATGTCCTCTGAGACACATATGAAGTGATGGACAGTCCAACGTTCTCTGAAAGCAGGCCAAGGTCTTTGCTCACCGGGGTGACGAAGGTGCACGACTGTGTGATGGAATGCTCCTTGAAATTGCGAAAATTGGAGATCGGTATTTTGTATAAATGAGTGAATTGTTCAAATCGTTGGCTAGCTATTCAGCAGCGGCCCGTTGGACTCTCTCTGGCTTTCTAGTTGCTGACGACTAGCGTTGGCAAGTCATCAGCATGTGGGCAGACTATATGAGATCAGTGGCATCAATACGCGTTTCAAAGAAGATTGCGAGCCATATGTAGGCACGGCCTTCTGGCGATGTCGGATCAACACTGGTCGAGTCGTTACACGCAAGATGTGATTAGCATGTGATCTGGTATGTCACCTCGTCGGATGGACTTCCCCGTCAATGGAATAGACAGCGCAGTGAGTAAGAGGTAGGAACTCTCTTGCGAAAGCCCTGGAGATCAATCTCCCTCACACTAAATAGGGATCGAAAAAATGATGTGTAATCGTCCCAGAGTGTCGGTGAGGGGTGCGCAAATGACCTACTGAAAATAAAAGTGGAAGTGAGTGATGCTTGACTGGGAAAGCGGAGCCAAGTCGAAGTATTGGCTGTGCAGCAGCCATCTTTTCAAAATCGAAAAGTATCCAGTCACCGCTGGGTGACACCTACGCCTTGAACGCCGCCAGCCCCAGATGCTATTCGTGACTTCAGAGGCATCGTGCCACAGAAACATTTCTTTTGAATCGAGGGTATCTGCAACTCTACTTTTGTCGAAGGCAAACGCTTACTCCTCTGGGATTTCGATCTCGCCGGCCTTGATGTCGTCTGAAATGGCCTTTGGCGAGCGGCCGTCAACCTGGCAGCCAGTGGAGAAAGCAGTGCCGAGAATCTCCAAAACGGTACCCTTCAGGTCCTTGGCCATGGACTTGTGGCGCATAGTCTTGGCGATGTTGATGATCTCATCGAGAGGGATGGACTTGGTGTGCTTGATGTTCTTCTCCTTCTTGCGGTCTCGCGGTGGCTCCTTGAGGGCCTTGATGACGAGCGACGAAGCGGATGGGACGACCGAGACGGCGGCTTGACGGTTCTTGATGGTCAAGCGAACGGTGACACGGAGACCTTTCTGAGATGATTGTCAGAAGGAAAATTCGGACTCGAGTTCGGAAATGTGGATGCTTACCCAGTCACCGGTGGCCTTTGCGATATCTTCTCCAACCTTCTTTGGCGAGAGACCGAGAGGACCAATCTTTGGGGCAAGAGCGGACGAAGCACCAACCTCACCACCAGTGGCGCGGAGGTGGATAATCTTCTCCTCGTTGGGGTCGAACTTTGGTGCTGAGAGGAATTGTGAGCGCGCGCATTGGCGATGGAGCGGTTTTCAGCCGGCGACGGCTGTAGCCAGTACTGAACACAGCTGATACTTACCCATGGCTAGTGAGTAAGGTGGTCTAGCGGTTGGTTCAGGGTCGGAAGGACGAAGATGGTCGTGGTGGACAAAGTCGAGTTTGTCTGAAGAGCGGAAGTGGTTTGGGCGCAGAGCTCGCGAGAGAATTGAGTGGGTGCCAAGGCTCGGGGGTCGGAGCGGCGAAAGTCGGCCCCGGCCCCGGCGCAGTGAGGGCTCGGCAGCGCTGGGCGTGGGAGATTCTGCTGACCTTGATCGCGTGGCTGATCATTGGATTGTATCACACGTCTGGACAAGGCACCCTGTGGTTTCTGGCGTTGTCGCTGTGCTGGCAGCAGACCTCTTGTCGTCGACTCCCAGCACTTGGCGTTTCGGCACGAGATGCGAATGATGCTCTCGAACTGGACGAGAAGAGTAAAGTGTGGAGCCAGCGTAGCCGGCGGTTGATCGAGTCGAGTCTCTTTCCCTCGTTGCGGGCTAAAGTAAACAATTGTGCGAGCAGCACTGCCATTGTGCAGCCATGGCCTCCAACAACACTCCGTCCGCGCCAGGCTCGAGCGGGAGTTCGAGCAAGGCATCAACAACTGCAGACAGCAGACCTCGAAGTCCTGGCAGTCCAACGAGCCCGGGCACGTCGTCACGAATGAGCTTCCAGCAACACCGTCCGAACCAGCCCTCGCAGCTTCGCGTCTCACACATGCCGTCGACCTCGCCTGACGATCAGCGTTCCCAGCAAGGCTCCGATGCCCCAGGCATTCAACCCCAAGACCACGAACCTACGGCCATCACCAACACCGAAGCAACACGACAGGAAGGAGCCATTGGGGGTTCAGAAGAGACGCCCAATGCGGCGACGGCACTGCTGGAGCGATATAACCGGGACAGTGAGCAGACAGCGCGTCCGAGACGAGCGCGAGGATACGGCAGTTTTGCGAGCACCTACGCCGAGACCTTGAACAGCTTCGAGCAGAGCCGACCAGGACTCGGCGCCCGCTATGAAACATCAGACGACTTCAACAACCAGACGCGTGGCGGGATTGTTGAGCATCTTCCTGATGCTGTCTCTGAAGGCCTGCTGGGCAAGCCGAAAGCACATGGAGTTACCAGTTGGTTACGCGAACGAGCAGGCATAAAAGAGAAACGAATGATGTCCGTCTTGCTAACTCCGCTTCAATCTCTAGCCCCATAAGCTGGACTGACGGCGTTTGTTTCGCAGTATGCTGATAACTCGGTAGGTACATTAACTACTACGTTCCATTTACAAACTGGATTCAACAATACAGATGGCAATTTCTGCGCGGGGATCTAATCGCAGCGATCACTATGGCCTCCTTCTACGTTCCAATGGCACTGTCGTATGCCAGCAACTTGAGCCACATGCCGCCGATCAATGGTCTCTACGCTTTCGTCTTCAACCCTTTCATCTACGCAATTCTTGGCACATGCTCGCAAATGGTAGTCGGACCCGAAGCAGCTGGCTCATTGCTGACGGGAAGCGTGGTGGTCGAGGCCATTAAGAAAGGCCATATTCGCGACGATGACGGCATGAAAGCCGCTCAGGTTGGCGGCATGGTTACTGGCATTGCGGGGGCTTTCATTCTAATTGCTGGCATTTTGCGACTTGGTTTTCTGGACAGCGTTCTGTCACGCCCTTTCCTGCGTGGCTTCATTAGCAGCATCGGTCTTGTCATCTTTATCAACCAGCTTTTGCCCGAGATGGGCCTAGACAAAGCAGCAGAGAACTCTGTACGCGCACATGGTTCGCCTCTCGACACACTCATGTTCATCAAGGATCATCGGCACGAAATCCACAAGTTCACTGCCGGAATCAGCTTTGGCGCCGTTGCAATCATTCTGTTCATGCGAGAACTCAAGCGCCGCCTGCAACCACTTCCTAAGCTCAACTGGGTGGTTTTCATTCCAGACCGGTGCATTGTCGTTGTGCTGTCTGCCGTTCTAGCGTGGCGCTACGACTGGCAATCGAAGGGCCTGGACATTCTTGGAGATATCAGACCACCATCTGGCCTTCCAATATTCCAGCCTCACTGGCCCTTCGCACAAGAAAATTTCAAGCACGTCAACGATGCCTTCGAAACCGCTTTCATCGTTGCACTCCTTGGCTTCTTCGAAAGTTGTGTCGCAGCGAAGAGTCTTGGCAGTGGTAATGTGAAGACAGAAGTCGTGCACAAGACGCGAAAAGATGGAACAGTGGAAGAGGTGGAGGAAAGTGATGGTATTCGCGGCATCACTGTGTCTTCAAATCGCGAACTCGTTGCACTGGGCGTGGCAAACATCATTGGAGGAGCCTTCATGGCCATTCCAGCGTTTGGTGGCTACGGCCGAAGCAAGATCAACGTCAGCACTGGAGGCAAGACGCCAATGAGCAGCGTCTTTTTGTCTCTGATCACAGTCTTGTGCACCGTGTTCCTTCTACCATATTTTTACTATATTCCAGTAAGTTTATATATCACATCTGATTTGAGCAGGCTAACAGACTTGATAGAGAGGCGTCCTCTGCGCCATGATCACGGTCGTCTCCATCTCCCTCCTCGAAGAAGCTCCGCACGACATCATCTTCTTCTGGCAAATTGGCGGCTACATTGAACTCTTCCTCATGCTCCTTGTCTTCCTCACCACTTTCTTCTGGTCTCTCCGCGGCGGAATTATCGTCGGCATTATATTCTCCCTGATCCGTCTCATGAAACACGCCACTCGACCACGCGTCCAGATTCTTGGCCGTGTCCCTGGGACCCATGAATTCGAGAATGCAGAGCTCCTCGCTCAAGAAGGCCGCATCGAAATGGTACCCAACAGTCTCATCGTCAAAATCCCCGAACCTCTCACGTTCGCCAACACTGGCTCCTTGAAAGACCGCTTAAAACGACTTGAAGACTATGGAACGAATTACGCACACCCTGCTCTTCCTACCATGAGGAGTAAAGAAAATAACAAGAACATCATCTTCCACATACATGGTGTCACGGGAATGGACTACGCCGCCGCGCAAGTGCTAGTAGAAATCGTCAAAGAATACAAAGATCGAGGGCATGGTGTGTATTTCTGCCGCATTCCTCCGAAAAAGTCCAAAGTCTGGAAATTGTTCGAAAAGGCTGGCATTGTCGATTTATGTGGAGGAGAACATAATTTCTTCCGAACGGTGGACGAAGCACTACGAGCAGCGGAGAAGAGAGGGATGGGGACGTTCCGGGAATACCTTGAAGAGGAAGAAAGAGCTATCGGGAGTGCTTCTGGGAGAGATTTTCGCTCCGCGGCGCCTGTCGGGCTGGAAGAGGGTGCGAACACCACGTCTGCTGTTGAGGGAAATGATAACAGCGAGGTGGCGAATCTGATTGATCGGACTTTGACGCCGCCTCTAGACGATGCGGCGAGTTTTATGCAGGGGATGAGTGGGATGTCGAGACAGCATGGAGAGGCGGATGTTGAGGGAGGATTCAGTAGAGGGTGAAGGGTCGACATGACATGATGGCATCATATATTTTCTGACTTGAAATGTACACGTAGAGAGCGATGTGTACAAATGAATGCTTTATGAAGGCTACGGCAATATTTGAGTTTTAGATTCTCTTCGTCTGCTCCAACAGGGGCCGATATAAACGTGTGAAACTTTGCACGACTCTTTGTTGATCGATCTTTTTTCATTCAAGAATCTCTACATTGAAGTTACAGTCATCTCGTCTGGAGCATCATCTAAATTTTCATCTGTAGTCGTGGTTCTGTCTCTTCTCGTCACGCTTCCTTTTCATCTAGAATAGCGAACATTCTCTACAATTCCAACCGCTTCTGTACAATCTCCTAAAACGAAACGCCTTCGCTATCTGTCGATTTTGGTTTCAAACCGCTCTAGCTATGAAGCCGTGAAAATTCATTTTCCAGCACGGTACTGCGAGTAAATAGCATTCGCACGCTGGCTCTGTCCAGAAGTGAACTCGTACATGCAGCGGTCGTAGCTGTAGTCCATGAAGTTGTGGATGCTGTCTGCGCCGGCGGCGTTGCTTTACGAAGGCGTTAGCATGAATTCTTTTACCTGGCTCTTCAAAGGACGGGGACTTACGGGCAAGAATCTTGCGAAGCAGGGCAGCCGCTTGTGGCGGTCTTCTGGATAGGAGTGTCGGAGACCTGGTCGCCGGAGCCAGTGCAGGCGGAACCTTGGAAGACGTGGTAGAGGCCGAACCACTGGATTATCGATCAGTGACAAATTCCCATAGAAATATGACAATTCTTTTGTAGAGAGAAAACTTACGTGACCAGTCTCGTGCACAGCAGTGTAACCCTCGTCGTAGTTGGTGGCATCACCGCCTGGCAGACTTCCAGCAAGGTTAATGCATCCGTCGAGAATCTTGTCCGAAGAGGTTGGGCTTGCGAGAGGGAAGTAGCAGAATCCCAAGAGACCTCCACCGAGGTCGGAGAGGAAGTAGAGGTTAAGGTCGCTGTAGGAGCCTTGACGGAGGGTTTGCTTCATTTGGCGTTCGGCGGAACTGCCTTGGGAGGCGGCGGCCCAGGCATTGTTGACGGTGATGTCGATTGCTTGAGTGTTGAAGGAGATGCCGAGACTGTCAATAGGGTAGAGAGGTTAGTTTAGGCCCTGAAGTTTCGACCCAGAAGAGGGTAGAGTGAACGACTTACGGAGCATATGCTTCGTTCATGACGCTCATCTGTTGCTGTGCTTGGGCTTTTGTGTATTGTCCAGATTTCGCCGATGTCGTGACAATGTGGACGTAAGTGTTGACAGACACGGCCTGGGCAACAACGCGTTGAAGGTCTGCAGCGAAGAAGGCATCGTTCATCTCAGCCACGTGCGTAGAGTTGGGTTGTGCTGTTCCGCAGCGAACATATTCGGCTGTAGCAACGCTGGCAGCGGCCACGAGGGCCAAGATCGAAGAGAACATCTCGGAGAGAAGAAGGATGACAGTGGTCCCTGTGACGTGGAGCTTCTAGAACGTAGCAGTATCGAATCCAAGTGAATGAATCGAAAGAATAGAAGACCTTGATGGATTCTTCACATGTAATGGAGCGAAGGAGTAGACATACTTTATACCAGACCTACCTCTAACAATTCCATACCAACACGGCTCACAACCCCAATTGAGATTCCACACTACTGCAATACCACACTTCGAGCATCACGCGGAAACGGGGTCGAAAATCGCACACGAGTCCCTAACCGGCAGGCGCTGTAGAGATCTTCCGCCGACCCAGTAGGATGGTAGAGAGAAGGGACAGCCTCGTATGTAATAATCTCCCATTCTGCTATCACAAAGCGGGCGCAGGCCATACAAGGCAGGCGATCATCTATCCGCCACAAAGGCAGCCAAGGCCAGAAGGCTTGAGCCAGAAGGTGCCGTGTCTGCAGCCACTGGAAGGAGCTTGTTTCCGCCTTGCAAGCCGTGCGGTGCAGACAGTAGGTACGGGTGTGTTCCAGGTAGGAATGACTTGATGACTTGCCACAGTAGGTGTAGTCGAGTGGGCATCTAAGCGAGAGAGTGCAGCGGCTAGAGGCAGCGAGAAGCGGCTTGGCAAGTGGGTATGTTGCCTTTGCTACGTGCGAGGCTTGAGATAAAGCGGCAGGTCGGTTCGTCGGAGCTCTCGGGGTGGACTTGGTTGGATGGTGGAATTGCCGCCCACGAGGGCAATTTGATGTATCTTTGATGAGCTAGTGGATACATTGGTTGTCTTGCAGGTCATATGCGAGCATGTTCAGGGCAGATCTGCGGTGTGTGAGTTGATAGCGGGAGTCTGGAGGCGAAAGCCGATCCCCTTCAGCTCTGCTCTCCGCCCGAGGATGATGGGGAGAAGCGAGTAATGGGGAAACCGCAGCTGACAATCCTATCGTTGTGACACTTGCAAAAACTCGTTCGGTACCGCCACACTCCAGAAACAAACCTCATCATGACCGGATCCAGGAGGGCGATTGTATGAAATAGGTTGCGTCGCACGAGATAAGCCACGCGCCAGAGACACGCGTGAAACACACGTTCTTGCGGTGGTACTCCGAACCTGTCAAATAAAGTGCAGTCGCACAAGAGAAGGAACAAATTGCATATTCCTTCATCCATTATTGCCGATAAGCATGTACAGGCCACAAAGCCCTGTCCTGTCCGTCCAAAGCTTCGAGATGAAGATGGCGTTCTGCACGCTGCAAGTCCGTCCAAACCCTCCTCGAATGAAGAACCAGAAAAGCTCTCTTGCCAAGCATAGCCAAGACGCGCAGATCTTCATCCTTGTCGATCTTTGAACATCAGATTGCAACTCTGTCCGGCTGGAAACTCCGCAAAAGGCAGGTGTCGGTGACATATCTCTGCAAACACCCCACAGAAGATGTGCAGTGTGCATTAGTCCGAAGATACCAGCTCGCTTGCTTCGCTTTTGCTTCGCACTTCTTCGATGATCTTGTACGAGACAAGTTGCTGGAAAACAAGCTGTGGCAAGCAAGTGCCAATCTCCGTGTAAACTTTGGTCAAGAGCGAAGCGCTACCTTTGCGAGGAAACGATTTTCGATACGAGACGTGATAAGCAAGTCGTTTCTTGGAAAGCGTGACTGGCTGGAAATTTTCCGAAGTCTTTGGTGCTTCTTGGAACGTGGTCCGAAGCATGGCAGAGATTCGATTCGAGAGTCCGAGGTTGAAGGCGCGAACAGCAAAAAAGAACTGAAAACATCCCACCTTATGAGCTCTCGTCGCGACCTTGCTCCCACGCCTACCTCCTTTCGAGAGACATAAAGCCTTGGCTACGCTATGCAAGGCAGAGAGCTTGACACGGCCGCAAACAAGTGTTCTCATTCTCAAGGGACAGGAAAAGAGACTTATCCGATTCACGCACGACTCCGCCATCTGCAAGTCTCTTCTCGTATCGCATGTAAAATGCTACAGCATCGCAAGTCGCCGTGGTTCCTGATATGGAAGGTAAGAAATCGCGGGAATTAATGCTGCAAAGTGATACCAATTGCCATAGTCCTGAGCTACGGCTATACAGCCTACTCGTAATCAGAAGTATCCCTACGTCGTAGACGAATTCGCCGTGTCGTCCTGGTTATCAACGCCGAAAACCGTTGGCGCCTCGTCGCTGTAGTACCATCGCTTACCGCTCTCGAAACGCTATCATCTAAAGCATCAAAAACGTGAGCCAAGATGCTATACAAGAAAGCGGCATGTTACCGCTGTTTCCAATTCGATCCCAAACGCCACAAAAATATCATGGTCAAGAATGCTTGTCACCTTCTACGTTGCCTCTCTGGTCGGGAGCGGGCTGATCGCGAGGCGAGAAGGCCTCCCGCATGCGTGAAAACATCCCACCACTGCGCTCCGCTCGAGGACTTGCACTTCTTCGGTTCTCTGCCGTGTTCGTGGTTCCGCTCGCACTGGCGCCAGAAGAATCCTGGCGGGGAAAAGGATATTCACCGGGTACGCGTGCTCGTTGATAGTCTGGACTGTGCATGTCGTGCAGAGGAGCTTGACCTGGCTCGCGAGGGCGGCTGCCAGTACTCTCGCCTTCTTTGGGCGTGATACCTTGCCGACAGTGCGGGCATGTGTCGTGTTCGATAAGCCAGGCCTTGATACAGTCATGATGAAACCAATGATGGCACGGCAGCTCAGTTACCTCGGATCCCAACTCGGCCTCGTCCATGCAGATAGAGCAATCAGCTTTGCCGCCATCGCCAAAGTCCTTCTCTGTGATTTTGCGTCTGGGCAAAGATTCGATCGCTTCTTCCGATGCGGGAGGGGGAGCATTTCCAGCTTGGTGTTGCTCCATTAGTTGTGTGATGATCCTGTCAAGCCCTTCCTGAGTGTAGACGTGATCGCCGGCAACACCGCCAGGTGGGAGACCAAGTAGATGGAAGAGGCCACCAAAGCCTATAGGTCCGCCCATCTGCTGTCCGCCCATCGGCGCACCCATACCGGGTGGGGCCATGCCGAACATGATGCCTCCGGCTTGATGGTGAGGATGAGGGTGTTGCCCATGAGGATGCTGTCCGTGCATCGGAACCCCAATGTTCGCGAACATCTGAGCCATCATACGCTCGATGTGTTCGGGTTGACCCTGCAAAGGCTGCGGTGCGTTCGCGTCACGCGGGCCGAAGCCACTTCGTGTGGATGTGGTGATTGTGTAGGAGAAGCCGGGACCGGAGCCATGCCGCGTGGTCGTGCTACCGCCCATTTGTGGTGACTGTGGCGCTTCTCCACGAGGGCTTTCTGGTCCAGGAGATCTCTGTTGACCTGGTTGTTGTTGGGGCTGCTGATGCGGATTCTGTCCTTGCTGCCCGCCCAGTATTCCCTGGAGAGCGGGGCCCAACGCCTGCCCTATTAATCCAAACAGTCCTGCGCCCTGCCCACCTGGAGCCTGCTGTCCGGGCTGTAGTGTGATATTACGCTGGAAAGTGCCATGATATTGCCCCGGGCCATTGTTGCGCCACTGAAAATCATCGATGTCGTCTTCGTCTGGGTCCGGTGCAAAGGCGCCGAATGGCCCTGGATTGGGCGCGTCCTCACGAGGGTCATTGTTCGCTTCTATCACTTCCACGAAATCGCCTTGACACTCCGGGCATACCAAGCCATGCTCGTCACGATACCACTCGTTCTCGCACTGATGGCAGAATACGAACTCTCGCTCGCGGGGTTGCTGTTGTTGCTGATTGCTGGACATGATTACGGATATGCGGAATAGGTGGTGGCGGGAAAGGAGCTGCCGCTCCGCAGGTGTAGCGTCGTCGCAGAGGTGGTGGGCGAGGTGTGCGGTGCCGAGGAGTGCGCGTGTGCTCGTTGATGATGTGTTCGGCGTGGCTTTGTCAGTAAGCGGCAACTACGAGCTGGTCGCTGCCGGCCTTTGTGTCGCTTCGTCGGGAAAGGCGCGGGCGCTGAATTTCTGAAGGCGCAACGGGGACGGATCGTGTCGAACGTCCAGCTGCAATTCTCCGTATGTCTGGCAAGATGCGCGCGGTGGCAGCTGAATGTCTGCCTCTCGTGACGATCTGGAGCAAGCAAGATTATTGGGAGTGACGTATTGCACGGACGCAAAGCCACGCACCAGCCACGTGAGCGGGATTAGTAAAGGATGGATGCCGCGGGGGTGAGGCGCAGACAGCGAGCGACCTTTTACTTCCTTTGCTCAGGGACGGTGACAAAAGAGTGCGAACAGCAAGATGCGAAGTGAAAAGCGACTACAATGGTCTCGCAATGCATCCAGCACGGCAGCATGACTCCTCTGCCCACTCAAGTGATGGAGCTTGCGATGACTGTATGCCAGCGCCTGGGAAGATTCCAGAAAGCCTGCTGGCTGTGCTGGACACAAGGAGCAAGGCTGCGGCACTGCCAAAACCTAACCAACCCGCCTCAAGACAACATGTACACATTCCTCAGGCTCAATTCTGTGTGAAAAAGGCGGCACTGCAACCCAGCATCTACCCTGTGTGAGGAACATCTCCTGGCTGACGGCTTCCGTCAATCCATCACGCATAATCCTACTGACCATGAGATGCTGATCGACGCCCTGAGCTTTTGGAAGAAATTATGCAGATTTTATGACAGAAAGCTGAATCATCCGAAGGCCACGGGTGATCTTGCTTCCAGCATACCACCGAATCTGACGGCTTACAACGACATTTGTGGCCTCCATCTCACAGGCTCTCTTCTCACGGAGCCGCAACGGACGTCGCTTCATTATCCGAGGAGATTGGCGATGACACTTTCCAATCCTTGTCGCTTTATTCTATCAAGCACCTTCAGGAGCGAACTGGAATTCTTGCTAACCAAGCGACCCGCCACAGAATCACCACGAGCTGACTCGGTCGACTTCTGCGCATCTCAATGATCTATGCTGGATCAGAGTGGTTCGTGGCTGGTATTTACTTGGAGACCACGATCATCGAATGCTCAGACCAGCAGTCAGTGCTCTACATCACAGGCGGTTTGCTCGCACACAAGCGCTCTCCGTGTTCCCTGTTCTGAAGCTCGCGACGGATAATACCAGGCAGCCGAGACGTTGTTCTTGTGCAGCACCGCAGGCTGTCAGTCTCATCATTCATTCTGTTGGCGGCGTTGGGTACCGCCGTGGGCTGCTAGTCACTATCGACTCGTATGCGGGCTGTGCTCGACAATTTGGACCATTTGATCCCTGGCCAGGCCAGATCTTTTTGTTCGGTTCTTACTGCACTTGACTCCGTGACCTTGCGTTCTATATGGCTTGATTCGTTCTTGCCGATTCTCCTCCCTCGGGCCCGAACGCGTGGCCGGCTTTGCATCCGAGGATCTGGTTATCCTTGGTCTAAAAGTATATGTATGCCCTGTGGCGTTGTTGGCGACACTAGCACCACTTCACTTTCCTTGGGCCAAGGCTTGGCATAGAAGGGCAACATCAAATTTCGTATACCAGATTCGGCTCCGTGGCTGGATGTATTACTCAGCGGCGTAGATGGCGCCGAGACATCAAGCGAAGTGTTCTGCCAGGGCAGCGACGGTGAAGGCGGCACATAAGTCAACGCGATGGGTGCCGACAACGCCTCTGGATACGCCGGGGCTCTTTTCATGTGTAGAACTGCACAAGGGCTTCTTTATGCCATAGCCTCTACAGCAGCGATGAGTGCTTGAATCTGCTCAACGCATAGAGCTGATTGTTCGGTCTGTCCGAGCGGATCGATGCCCTAACTACGCTGCTCATCGAGGCTCACTTGCCTTGCTCGACGAACAGAAAGCGTACCGTCAGGTCTTTGATCAGAGACTTCTCAACAACTCTGCACCCTACTGAAGAGTGAGAACGTAGCAACAGTCACCGTGTCTTTGGCAACCCAAATTCCTCCGCACCAATGAGTATAGAAGCTGAGATTGCGGCTGATGAGCCGTCAACAATCCCTTTGCCAGTGCTCACCATCTCAAACCCCGAAAGCGACAACACGACTCTGCTACTGAGCCCAACGACACTAGCCCTCGGGAATTTCACCATCACGGGAGACCCGAGTACGAATGTCAAGCAGGGCAAAGCCACATTGAAAGCTCTGAAGAATCTGCAAATCAATGCTACTGCTGCAGCTTCATGTGGAACCCTCGGAGTTTCACGGGCCCACCTATCATATGCACGCTGGACGGCACGTAGAACTACTGTGGTGTACAGAAATGTCAAAAACAGCTATCGCAACGTGTAATTTCAATCCCGGTGACCGTCCCAAGCGTCCCTTCCTGCAACCGCACGGCGACCCCGACGCGCTTTGAGCAACAGGAGGCTCAGTCGTTAGTACGCTCCCTACTGGTCAGAGGCACAGCAGGCTACAGCCGCCTGCATGTTCAGCGCACGCAAGTGCATGCAATGTACCCATGGGCGCGAAGTCGTGTACCGCCTTGTTGACCGCTGGGGTATTTTTATGGAGTCCTACAGCCTTGCTTGCTGGCCTCACAACTCTATCACCCTCCCTTATGACTACTAGGGCCACACCGACGGGCGTCACTAAGACAACTTCGACCGAGGCAGTCTCCTGACCAATATGACGCTTACGGCAATTCTTCTTAGCTGCAGGCGCACTGAAACTTTTGCAGGTGATGATGAGGTCTATGCCTCTTGTGACGGTCAGGGAGACCTGCTGGTCACGTTGATGCCTTTGACCACTACGACTCTGCAGAGACGGTGGCGAGTATACCAAGTGAGATGAGGAGTGCTTTGTCGACTTCGACGCTCGTTGTCTTTGGTCTACCTATGAGCCAAGTGAGTTCCGTTGGCAGATGATGAGGCATCACATGAGTTCTGAACTGTCGCGTCAAGTACCATTCGACCAAAAATTCCTTCTCATTTGACTTGACTTCCTGTGCAGATGTCCTTGCGAACGCCAATCGAACTGGCAGAATTGCAGCGTGCATAAAATTGTGCGGCAGATCGTGCCATTCGATCGGTGAAATCCGAGCCGTCGGTGTCGTTAGCGCTCAGCTTGCATAGCCGCACAGCACATCTTGCTGAAGTATCACTTATCGCCAGTCGGACCTCCTACCGACTCGTACGAAGGATGGTACGAGTGCTTTCGGTAGAGAAGGGCAAGAGGGCAGACCGACTCACGTGGCGACCAAGAGTACCGTCAAGAAGAAATGGCAGCGTTGTGTAGCGAGTGGCTCTCTCACTGCTTTCCATATGCAGATAGGACGAAAAGCCTCGTCTAAAGTCTCCATTGCTCCGACTCAATAGCTGTGGCAGGGGCCGGGCAAGGCCGATAGCCTGGTATCCGGCGTCTCGCCTCGTGGCTTAGATCGTACGTGCGTTTTGCGTGCAGCGTTGCGTGCGCCATTTCCACGTGGCGACAGCGTGCGCGTCCTCGCTACCGATATCAACTTGTCACGTCTGCATGACAACGATTCTTGGAGTCAGGCCATCAGAGCTCGTCTGGTGCTAGCAGCGACTTGGTATAGTCTTGGAAGGAAAAGTTGGAGAAAATCTATTGGTTATACCGATAAAGCTGAGGTTACGCCTCGCCAAGAAGAGGCTTAGAGGCGTTAGTACACTTGCTCAAAAGGGGAAGAAGCGAGGAGAACGTGGCTATCCTGGCGATTTTAAGCGCGATGTTGAATTGAGTTTGGTCAGCCCGCACCGCAACGTTGGTCGAGGGCGCAATTGGCGGTAGCCAAGGCTTGGATTTTAAGCCACATTGATGTTTTCGCTGATAGAGGCGAGGAAGGCGGATGCGTGGTCTGACAAGTGGAGTCGAGTCGATTCTGACCAGAGTGCAGCCCGGTCGCGAGGGCGCTGCGTGGCCATTGACGAGGAAACAAGAGAGCTTTGCGGCAAAGTCGAAGCTGATTCTATGCAGATCTTACCGCAAACAGGTCTGCTGCGGATGCGTTCAACGTCTTTCCGACATTCCAAGTTCTGGGATCTTTCCTGTTCGGGTGTGCGCAGCCAGATCCGTCTTGGGAAGGAAGCGAGATGGCCCACAGGCTCCGAATCGTGCTCCAGGTCGGCTCGGCAGGGAATTCCTGCACTGCATTGCAGGAGATGCTCCCAAGACCGACGACAAGTCCTTGTCGCTTGGCATACCGGCGTCGAGACATAGGTCTTTCGCTTTGTGTTTTCGGAAGCGAACACAAGTCAGCCATAACCGCAAGGTGTGCAGCCACGCTGAGTAGGACAGCATGGCTGCCATGTTGGGAAAGTGGACGATCAACGGTCAGCCTCGTGGCAGGCGTATATAGAACACTGAAAGATCTGCTTTTCAGTTTACCATCATCAGCAACGCCGACATTAACAGGCCCCAAGAACAACCCCTGACATTGATCACCATTCACAACACCATCACACCTCAACAACCATGAAGTTCACCATTCTTTCTCTCCTCCCAGCCCTCGCGCTCGCAACACCCGTCAGTCAGCCCAACGCAGAAGGTTCCTGTCTGATCGAAGGTGTTCGTGGCGCCGTTAGGGGAAACCTGGAAAACAGTGCGACAGTCCGCTTCCTGAACGAACGAGGCGTCAATACCGTGGAAGCCTGCCGAGCTCTGTGCCATTCTGCCGGCAACGCGCAATGCAAAGCATTCATCGTTGTAGACTCTGGAATGGGCACGTGCAAGTTGTACAACACTACTCTGTCCGTCAGACCAGACGCGACGTTCTCATCGACCTACTACCAGCTTCCTGCGGGTATCGTGGGCGGAACACCGCACAACAACCCACCTTGGTGAGATAACTTCCTGCGCAGTAGAAGCTCTCAACACTGCTCCAGAGCAATGATACTGCTGAGACACATACTGATGCAATGTCTTCATAGGCTGGTCAATGAGGTTGACACCTCAAAGACCAAAGGAAATTACGTGGGTTGCCGCGAGTATTGTCTTGAGGATCCCAGATGCAAGGGCTTCGCATTCAAGGATGGATCAAACTGCCGTAAATATGCAGTGTCGATCCAAGACCGAGTTGGAACCGGCCCAAGCAGCGGAGTGTACAATCACCACTACGTGGATTGCCGCTTTGGCGACCTGCCACCCAGGACCTAGAGTCATGCCTCAGGATGCTTCGAGTCGGTGGAGAGTGTGCTTCGATGCAATCACGAGCAATGATCAACGGTATACGGCCTCGACACGTAGACGTAGTGGGAATGAAATGCTTTGCTTAGCGACACATGTGTTCCTTGTCTGGCGGAAGATCAATCCTGTGAATGTCGTTGCTGATGTTTGATGTTGCACTGGGGGTCTGATACCATAGCCGCTGTCGACTGCTCTGTGCTTGGGCATCGTCTCCGTCTCGTTCTACCGCCGGGAATGGTTGTTGACGATGAAGGAGAGACGAAGAGAAGGGGCAGATGTGATGGTGAAGGAGCTCCACTCGGCAACTTCGGGCGGCCACGTGCCGAAGAGCCTCCAACGGGGCCCGAGCTTCGTTGCTCACGACCATCAGATCGTGTTTCAGAAGCGTGTTGCAGGGCAGACGAGCCGTCGTACAGAGCATCGTCGCCATTGGGCAACACGAGCGCCCACACATATGTAGGTGGACGCGCTGGAAGCTGGCCGACACGTGGTGAAGAAAAGGAATTCCTCGCCGGGTGCGTCGGCTCGCTCATGATCGCTGTCAATCAGCCGCGCATCATCTTGCAGCTCCTCGCAGTGAATGTGCACTGATCGATAGCAAAACATCCATCTCTCTCCTCTTCCTGCAGTCAACGGCCGCTCCACTCTCTCGCGGCACTGCCAGCACATACCGACACCTGTTTCGCTCTTCACTCGCGCCCATATTCCCGCCGTCTTGCCCGCTGCCGCTGCCTGCATGCATACGTCCTCCCGCTCCGCCACGATTATCCCCGCGGACCACACGAGCACACGACCCACGAACACCGATACCGCATTCCACGACCTCACGAATTGACACGAGACTATGAACGCCGCAATCTTCACTGTAGAGCGCGTCACTGAACTACGCGCACCCGAAGTGCACTGATGGATAGAGCGCATTCGTATTCGACATGCCTGTGCCGACCCTGTCCTTCTTGCTGGGGCTAGTAGTCGTCGGCTATCTCTTCACGTTCGTCGTCTTTGCCGTTCTGCGCATCGTCACTGGTGTCTCCATACAGCGGGTGGGTTATTCGGGCTTCCGACGCATCGCCTTCTCTCCGCGGAATGGCCTCAAGATCAACATTCGCGGCATTGGTCTGTCTGTTCACCGCCCGACATTCGCCCTGCCAACATGGTGCAGCTTGGTCATTACGGAGTTAGTGGTCACGGTAGATTTGAGAGCATTGGATGAGACTCGACGGAGACATGGCGCCGAAGGAGAGAAGAAAGAACGGCCTAAGACGCCGGTAGACCAGCAGGATGCAGATGGGCATGGTAAGCTGTGGAGGCAGCTGACGGAAGTCAAAGAGAAGATCAAGAGGCTGCATCGACAAATTGGGTGGCTGAGGCTGTTTGATCTGATCGCAACAGCAGTGACGCTGAACGTCGTGGGAGTCGGATCTGTCCGGATGGAGCGCTTGACCATGTCGGTGGACACGAGATCGCAGACAGTGGACCGGAGCAGGCTATTCCAGCACCACAAGCACCGACCGGATACGCAATGTCCTGCCGAGTGGAAGGCTTTGATCAGGAGCGTGCTGTTCACTCCGGAAGGCCGAGACTCTACTGAGGTGCTCGACTACTGCACGGTGAACATACACGGAATGCTACATCGTGACCGGGAGGGTCTGCGTGATGCGTCTATCGCACTCAAGCTTGGACGTGTAAACGTGCCGTACGATGACATCGAGCATGCCAAGCGGTTGGCGGATCTGCTTCGCGGCAGATATGCTCAACCACAAGGCGACAGGCGCGGCTCGAGCGATCACCTGGCAGCTGTTGTGGGTGAATTGGACGATCCTGGGAGTCGCGACAATCACATCGTGCGCGCTGTGTCCGATTCCCGAGCTTTCATCGCCTCCGTACTTCGAGGGATTCAGGAAGTGCAGTTCGCCGTAGGTTTCGTCGGCCTGTCTAAGAAGTTGTCCATCAAAGCCCACGGCGACAGAAACGTCTATTTCAACTTCGCAATGAAGGAACTGGGCTTCGATATTCTGCGGTTGGATCCTAAGAGTCCAGCGCACAGGATGTACTTCTCAACCAAGGATGTCGCACATCAAGGTCTCCTGACAGGCATCGCAATTGCTGCGGGCATTGACGATGGTCTTGAACACCCGGAACGCATGCTATATGTGCCTATGATCACTGCAACAGTCAAGACAACGCTCCCTTCGCGTACCATTCAAGCTACCAGAGATGACGGGCCTACTGATCGCAATACTAATATGCTTTACGCCAACTTTGTCTGCACCTCTCCTTCAGTGGATTTGGACCCGAAGCATTTGCCACTGGTCCGTGAGATATTGAAACGAAGATCCAGACGCCCTCAACACGATCAACCTTCGTCGACACATCACCACATGATATCCCAGCTGTTGCCCAAGGCACATGTCAAGTTCTCTGTGCAGGAGCCAGTTCTCCGTATATCGCTACCTCCCATGGACAAAGCTAATGCCGAAGAGGGCGATTTTGACCTGCTGATATCCTCTGTATCCTCTGTTGCATGGGAGTGCGAGTCATCACATGCGACCGATGGTCGCCTGCATTATAGCTTGAACTCCTACTATCGCCATTCCAGACACAAGCTATACTACCAGAGTGCAGCTGGAGACAGACACGATCTTCTGCAGAGCGACTTTGTGGAAGTACAGGTAGACGTCAATGCCATTCCAGACGTTTCGGTCATTGCTTCCGGGCGAGCACAATCGTACACTGTCTTTCTGGTCCGCCCGGACATATGCGAAGGCGTGCGCCAAGTCGTCCAACAACTCCGGCGGAATGTACTCGCGAGCAATCCCACTGGCAGCAAAGCACAAGCAAGTTTTTTGCGTCGGGCGCCAAACTGGCTGCAACAATTCAAATTCGAAGGTTCTGACTTTGGTTTGGAGCTTGCGGGAGTTGACGAGCAAGTCTCGAAGGATTCGCGTGGTTTTGGCCTACAGCTGGAATCGTGGGCGATAGAGTACAAATCCCAACGAGACGATGCGTCGGTGACCTCGGACCCAACCGATCGTCGAAAATCAATCATCAGGACACCTAACAAGGACAAATCATCAAAGCATGGCGAGCATCATTCACATCGCAAGCGCTATCACAGCTATGCTGATGGCCGTCGGCTCACATTTCATATACAAAATCTCGAGGGTCTTATTGTCGATTCCATCGAAAACTCAGAATCCGAGTCTTTCCTATCGGTGCCGCGATTCGAGGTTGCCTTTTCTACATCGACGGATGCCCAGGGGCCCATATTCCATGTCAATTCTTTCGCAAAGAGTATCCTGTTGCAATACTCTCTATACAACCACTTCGCCATTGGCGTTGCTGCCACCGTGATTAAGAAGACTTTCTTGGATCGCGGGGAGGACAAGCCGCCCATCCCAGGTCTTAGTCGAGCACAAAGTGGAGGTCTGTCTGTGGCTGACCCTCAACTTGTAGAGCTTGCCGGTCGCGAGATCACTGCGATCGATTTTAAAGCAAGCTTGCTTCAGATAAAAGCGAAGACACCCGCCGACCCTCCAATGATGTTACAAATCTGCTACCTCGAATGTGGCCGGCATCGATGGTCTTCGCCTTTTCTGCGCACTAAAAACGCACGGCTATATGTCAAGGCTCCCGCGACAAGGACTGCGTGGAGTCGCGTTGTCATCGTCAAAATACTTCGCCTCGATCTGCGCGATGTGCGGCGGAAAGTTGGCAAGAACACGTTGAGCGAGAAGTCCATCGATGTCGCATCTGAAGCCATCAGGATATCCATACCGCATTCACTCGAAGTGCACGCAATATTTGACAACATCACGAACATTGTGAAGACATCAAAGCAGATGCAACACCATTTCCGGACAGGTACGAATGACTACATCCTCGCCAAGGAGCCCGAAGGCCCCAAGCACGTTCCTCGGATCACCGTGCGCAGTCAGATCTTCCTGTTTGATATCGAAGATAGCCTTTTCGAATCCAAACTCGGGGCTATCTATCGCGCAGGGCTGCTAGAGCAAAAGCAGAGGCTTGCCCGGGAGGAAGCGTTCGAGCTGAAGAAGAAACGTCTATCTCGAAGCAAGCAGAAAGGATCGTCGAGGCTTCGAGCACAGTCTGCTCAGATCGGACATTCTTCGCGCTCGAGGTCTCGCAACCGGCAACCCAATCCTCCCAAGCGCAGTCAAAGCATAGAGGGCGAGAGACTTAGTCCTAGAGATAGCTATCGCCACAGGCGTGGCCGCAGCATGCGCTACGACGCAGAGGGAAAATGCGGCATCAGCGAGTCCGCTGCTGTCTCGATCGACAAAGCACGGGAGAAGCTGGACATCTACAACGCGCAGTCGTGGAAAGCTCGCATTGATCGCGTAAAGACCTTCCAGAGCCATGCTATCAAGGAGATTCGCAAACTGTTCGGCGTGTCGGATGACATTGACGATGTGGACCAGAGTGAGCCTATCCTTTCATGGAGTAGGCGGCCGGGTCTGGCAGTGGTCGCAATCACGGATCTGGGCATTACCGTCGATAAGCCGACCTTTCCCATTGAGGAGTACTCGAAATTCCTCCATAGTGTCGGCAAGGGCATGCCACGAAACATGGAATATGGTCTTTTGATCCCCATGAATGTGCACCTCACGATGGGCGAGGCACGCGTACAGCTGCGCGACTACCCCTTGCCTATGCTTCACATCCCAACATTGGCGGCTGGTCAGTCCGCTCGACTACCCGCGATGTCAGTACGAACAGATTTTGTGATCGCCGAAGAATTTCGTGATGTCGAGTCGCAGCGCAGTGTCACTGTGCAGGTCGTGCCTCCCGACAAAATGCAGGCCGGCGCAAAGGGCTTTTCCATTGATGTTCAACGCACCATTTCCGCTGTCAAGACGTATTCTGACATCAAAATTGAGATCAATACAAGCAATCCGACAAAAATATCTTGGTCAACATCGTATCAGCCTGCCATTCAAGACACGATGCAGGTCATTGAGAATTTCACGAAGCCGCCAGTCGATCCCTCAGATCGCGTTGGCTTCTGGGACAAGATACGCCTGTCCTTCCACTCTCGAATTAATGTTGCCTGGAAAGGTGATGGCGATGTCCACTTCCTCATCAAGGGGTCTAGGGATCCTTACGTTGTTACTGGCCAAGGCGCTGGTTTGGTAATGGTTTGGCGGGACAATGTCAATTGGAACATTGCCCAGCACAGCGATCCTCGCAAGTTCTTCACCGTCGACAGCGGCGAGTACATTCTCGCTGTGCCTGACTTCTCCAACTACGCTCGTCATTCGCAAGAGCTGGAGAATCTTGACGATGGTAGCACATCGAGCTCGAGCATCACGAAGAACAACGCCCACTTCAAGAAGGTCGTCATGAAGCTTTCAGGCAAGGTCACATGGCTTGCCGGACTCATGTTTGAGCGCGACGTTGGAGACGGCAAACGAAGCTTCAAGTTCAAACCGCACTACGATGTTGTGCTGAAACATCCAGATTTTGCTAAGAACGGCCCGAATGGCGAAGAGTATGATGCCTTCCGCGATTTCAGGAGCCACCACATCCACATGTCGATCGCTGTCTCTGCGCCCCATGATCGAGATTGGTCAGTCAACAACCTCAAGCCGTCGAACAACTACAATTCGGTCCATCTCACCCCTCGCTTCTTTTCTCACTTCTACAGCTGGTGGTCAATGTTCTCTGGCGTCATGTCCTTGCCAATCAAGCAAGGACCGCTGTGGGGCATCCAAGAGAAGAAGAGTAAGAAGTTCGGTCGTCATATGGCCACGATCAAGTACAACTTGCTGCTGTCGCCATTGTTCATCAGCCATGTCTACAAACACAAAGACGCCGAAGACTACGCATCGCAGTCCGTCTCTGCTACTGGACTCAAGATGCGACTGGACAGTTTCATGTTGGATCTGCATCAAAGGCGAGAGTATTTCGATCTGAAAGGTAAAGAGGGCGCTCGCGCCAAGACAACAAGTGGTATGCGCATCAACTCGGCACAGCTCGACTTCATCTCGGCCGATTTGCGTGCTCTGTCTGCTGCCATAGTAGGCACCAGAGCAGAAGACATCGAAAAGGCCAATGACGAAACGCTTGCCTCGCTCCACGGGCAAGTGCCTTTGGTGGACATGTCGAAGTTCGATATCCCAGACAATGATTTCTCCTGGATCGATATGGATGATTTTGTAGAGCTGGACTGGATCCTCCCCGCCGAGGCTGACCCAGAAACAAAGATCTTACCTTTGGGGTACGCCCCGCGATTCACTTATTTCCGGCAAACAGACCACAACGGCACCATTGCCGGGGATCCATCGCGGACGAGTCCATTTGGCGAAGAGCCAACTCATTACTGTGTCATGTCGCAGAAAAACGATCCACGACGCGTCCAGGCCGAACTCATCGAGCGTCGACTGACGTTGATCAAAGAAAAGCAAGAACAGAACACAAGGACACTGGGCGAGCAAGAAGTTTTGTTGGTACGGGAGAGTTCCCAAAACAAGGAGGCGGTGGAAGCATTACAAGCGAAAGTAGACGCCTTGAGGAATCACACGAAGTCCTTAGAAGGCAAACACCAATTCCTTCAAAACATTCTCGACGAACTTCTTCAACGACTGAATGACGAAGATCCTTCGGCAGTTCCTGATCTGGAAACCAGCGAGAAGTTCTTCGAAGCGCATGAAAATCCTTACGCCAACACTTCTGATCCTGCGCACGTCGACGGAGCTCCCCTAGCGGACTACACTAGCGATTTCAACAACCGCTTCATCGTGCACAATGCGCAGATTAAATGGAACAATTCGCTCAGGAACATTATCTTGCGCTATATTCATCAGAATGGTCAAAGGCGTGGTTTTGTATACTACATGTCACGCCGCGCAGTCAAATTCATTCTGGACGTGCTCGAAGAGCGGAAGAATGGCGACAGTCCATCGACACCAAAGCGGCAGAAGTCGTACGCCACACAGTACAGAGTCATGTCGCCGGACGCGGATGACGATGAGACCGTCCAGGACCGCATCGACGAGCTGCTTCGCGATGGTCGTAGTTTTGTCGACGCTGACGAGGCGGACAAGCTCGATCGATGGACGACCAATGGTACTGGTGGACCAATGGATGACATTGCTATGGAGTTTGCTGCGCTCAACACGTATCATTTCCGCCTGATCGCTCCGCAAGTCCAGCTGCAAAGCGAAAAGAACCCCAAATCGGCTGTACTCGTCACGGCTAAGGGAATGCAGTTGAAAGTCATCCAAATCATGGAGAAGGACAAAATCGACGACGACGTCAGTGGTCTGGTACAACGACGCTTCAATGCTGCCGCAGACAGTGTGCAGATGTTTGTTACAAGTACCAAGAACTTCTCTACCGAATACTTGCACTTCTACTCTGCCAATCGATATGGTGTCAAAGCTGGTACATATTGGCCTCCGTGGGCTCCGATGGAAATCATGTTCGAATTCCAAACAAATCCTTACGGATTCAATCGCGTTGTGCATAGGACGTCAGCAAGCTTGCGATACGACAAGTACAACCAACTGCGTCTCAAATACAACGATGACATCTCTGGTGGCGAGCCAACCACAGCTGAGAGTGCAGAAGAGGCCGAAACCCGCATGGATCACGTTTGGCTGGAGTTCCCACAGTTCCGCGCCATATGCGACTCGACGCAGTACTTCGCAATGTACGTGATCGCCATGGATCTTCTGCTATACAATGAGCCTCTTGAGAAGACTAGAAGCGAACGACTTGAGAAGATCATGTTGGCGTCCGACTTCAGTGATTTGACCGGCGCCCCTGAGATGGTGCAAATGCTGCAAGAACGTATCAGGCAACTTGAGGAGATCAAGATGCACTTCCAGGTCAATGAGAAATTCCTCGATCGCCAAGGCTGGAAGGACAGAATTAAGCTGGATCAAGAGCTAGCCAGTTGTGAAGACGAGCTTTTCTTCATGATGAAAGCTATTACCACTTCTCAGCAACATGTCGAGGAGCGCAGAGAGCCGGAGAATAGTAGCGGCTTCATGCACATCCACATCGCATCTCGCGAGATCGCATGGCACCTGATTCAAGAAATGGGCGAATCGCTCATCGAATTGCAGCTCAAGGATGCTAGCTTCGATCGGACTGACAATTATGATGGGTCGAACTACAATAGCGTGGAGATCACTCGCATCAATGGCTACAATCTGCTGAAGGATGCGATCTATCCTGAGATCATATCACCCTTCACGGACGAGGGCAAGGGCGGTCGCAGGCTGCGCGACGGCAAAATGCTACGTGTTCAATGGCTGATGCTTGAAGCTATTGCCGGCATACCTGTTGTGGACTACTTTGAAGTCGATCTGGTGCCGCTGAGATTGCAGATAGAGCGAGATGTCGCCAAGAGGATATTCGAGTACATCTTTCCCGGCGTGGGAGGTAGTGCCTTCGACGGAGGCTTCTCGCCATTCATGGTCAAGAACATGCTGCCTGCGGAAGATGGAAAGGACGAGGAGGCTGAGCGGGAGACTACTCCACAGTCATCATTCGAGTCAACAATCACGGACCACGTTGATATGCAAAGCGATCCCAACGGCCCAGGCTCTCTGGATGCACGATTGAAGCCTACTTTGACCTTGACCAAGCACAAGAAGACAAAGTCCGAGACCAAGGGTCTAGGCATCTCCAACGCCAATCATCACGGCCTGCATGCTCTGACGATCTTCCAACACTCCGACAAATCCACTCGAAGCAGTCCCGGTGCGAGATCTCCTGCATCTCGCAGCGCTCTGTCACAATCGAACCTCACGCCAGCACGAACGCCTAGTCAGCGCTCATTGTCCACGATGCATAGTACTGCCGATAGCGACGACCGTGACAGCAAGTATGAGAAGAGCAAGCGACTCGCAGCGGCATACCAGAAAGCCAGTGAAGACAAGAAGAAGAAAGAAAAGGAGAAGGAAAAGGACGGCCCTACTGATGATCTGACGCAGATGATGAGCAGAGCTTCGAACTACATGACACTTGCTTATGTCAAGATCCCAAGCATGGTCCTTTGCTTGTCGTACAAAGGCCAAGGGAAGCGTAATATCGAAGACGTGCACGATTTGGTCTTCAAGTTGCCAACACTCGAATATCGCAACAAGACATGGTCAAATCTCGATCTGGCCATGCAGCTCAAGAAGGATGTTGTTCGAGCGCTGATTAGTCATGCTGGAGCGATCGTCGGCAACAAGTTCAGTCACCACAAGCCAAACAAGCAAGTCACATCGAAGCTGAGAGAGCTGGCGAACAGAAGCACGTTCATGAGTGCCAACAGCAGCCAGGCCGCGTGGGCTGGTGGACAAAGTGGGACAGTCGACTGGACAACAACAACGAGCTCCGAGACAAGCAGCTTCATGGAAAACAGTATGGCAGATGCATCTGGTCGACCGTACAGTGCGAGACCTGCAAGCAGCCATGTCGCTCGGAGCATGAGCTACTCTTCCTACGACGACTCCAGTCCTGAACTGCGCTTCTCCGAGGACGGCGCCAGAAGCTTCATGACCAACGGCGAGAATGGATCATCTATCAAACCGCCGCCCTCGCAGCACGGAAATAATGCGTCGCCAAAGTCACTACCAGGTCTGCGACTCTCGCCACCGAGCGCGACCAATACAGATGACTCGCGCAATCGTGCAGTCTCCATCACGAGACATCTGACTGGTCTGAGTGATCGCCTGAAGCAAAAATCTTCGACTTCAACGAGCTCGAATAGCCAGAGTCACAATAGTCTTCCTGTCGCTGCAGCCGAGCCCTCAGCTGAAGACGTCGAAGAGTCGAAGAGAAAGCGGAATTTGCTTCTGGGACCGCAGAAGTTACTGGGGAGGTTGAGAGATTAGAGATGAGGAGAACCGGGGAAGTTTTCTTTTATGCATAGCGCGGGTTGTTTCTTTCATGAGCGGAGACTCTTGTCTGGTTGGACATGCTGATACCCGCGACTTTCGCTTCGCTCTGATTGTTTTTGAGTTACTTCTAGGGATAGGATCTGGTCTTTGGCATGGGAAGAAGGTTGGAGGGAACAGCACCTGAGGCGTTTTCGACGTTTTGCTTCTTCCACGAAAAAGCCTGATTGTGGTTTGTATGGCTGCATCGAAGCGACAGGGAACTTGTGTATAGGTCAGAGTCTAGATAAATACTAAGAATGTTTCACATTGCATAATATTAGTGTGGTTCTTGACTGAATAGAAAGATCATGCCGCCTCCACGTGACCTCGCTTGACTGGCAAGCTCAACCTCACATTGAAGCTCACGCATTGAGCTTTGAGCTACACCACAACACATCCATCTGATAGACATGACGCACTCCAAGCATACCTCATCAACTGTCCAAGCTCTTTACCAAGTCTTCGTCCTCCCAGCTCTCTCGAAACCAGCCGCACGGCAAGCCCTCCTCCACTACCCACGCCATCAACCGTACTCTCGATCACCCACCCAACAATTCTCCACCTCCACCCGCCGTCTAGCAAAAACACGCGCCGCAGAAGAACGCTCCCAAAAATGGAACGAAGAAATCACCGCCAAAATGATCCAACTCATCGACCCAGAAACGAATAAACTCCTCGAACCCATGACGCGTTTCGACGTGCTCAAAACCCTCGATACCAAAACCCATCGTCTCGTCCAACTCGTTCCCGACGAACCCAGGAATCCAGATTTCATTCCCAAATGTAAAATCCTGAATAAGAAAGACATGTACGAATCAGAAAAGAAAGCGAAAGAACTTGCGAAAGAGAAGAAGAGGGTACAGAAAGTTGTGAGTGGAGAAGGGTTAAAGACTTTGGAAATTAATTGGGCGATTGATCAGAAGAATGATTTGATGCATAGATTGGAGAAATTGAAAGGGTTTTTGGCGGAGGGGAGGAGAGTGGAGGTTGTTTGTGCGGCGAAGAAGAGGGGGAGGAAGGCGAGTAGGGAGGAGTGTGAGGGGGTGGTGGAGAAGATTTTGGCGGCGGTGGAGAGTGTGGAGGGGGCGAGGCAGAGGGAGGAGATGAAAGGGAAGTTGGGAGGATTTTGTCAGTGGACTTTTCAGGGGAGGCCTTTGACGAATGCGGCTGCGAATGCGACTGCGACTGCGACTGGGGTTGGGAAAGAGGTGGGTGGCGGGAATGGGAAGGGAGAGGAGGTTGCGGTGGAGGTTGAGAAGACTTGAAGTGAATATGATGAGAGGAATGGAAGATGACAGAGGGATCGACAGACTGGGGAGGGACAGTGCCTTGTGTGCAAGATCGGTTTCGATCATTCGAACGAGTGCTGTCGCGAAGCAGGACACTCAGGGCATGACTAGATGTGTGGCTACCTGGGGTCGCTTCTGCGCTGTGCACCAGAAAGAATGTCTGTTGCGTCAGACAGCCCAACGCCACAGCATAGTGGACGGGATTCAGCATCGGCAAGTGGTTCAAGAGAACAAGCCTGGCCAACGGTAGACCAGGCTCCCGTTGGGCGAGACCGGATTCTGAATATTCAACACGAGGGTCCTAAGCGCGCATACTCCATCCGTGTCTGGACTAAGGAGTGCGACCCTGCCAGGAGTATGACGCTCGGGATCTCCCCTTTTCGATCTCTAGAACTGCATTGCACTTCTCGGCCAGATGATAGACCGATCTCGCGAGCGACCTTTGACGTGATCAGACATTTCGTCGCATCTCAAGTTGAAAGATCATGAGAACGTACACAGCTCTGCGTGCCCTGTATACATCATGAAGCATATTGAAGTACATTATTCAACTCAGCTCAAACTAAGGGCACGATCCCCAGCTTCGACTTCCTCATCGTACAATTCTGGCATCTGCATCACCAGCTTCTCGCTGGGTCTCAAGTCACTCTCATGCTCTTCAAACAATTGCTCGAGCGCCGCTTTCTCGACAATTAGTCTCCCTCCTTCCAGCAAATCCTTCACGTCAACCCATTCCGCTTCAATGGCCCTTGCATGTCTGTGCATCTTGCCTTTCTCCAGCGCGGCAAAGAGGCCTTCTCGTCGTTCTAGTGTCAAGAACAATGATTTGCCATACTTCTTCTCATCGTGATTCCCGAGCCCATTCCACTTTAGCACATCAGTCATGTATCTTTCCAAGCTGTTCTCGTGCACGCGAGTCACATCGATTTTGTCCTCGGCAACGATCAATTCTCCCTTCTTGTACCGATAACTCAACGCTGTCCTCCAAGCGCGATCGTACACTTTCTTTGGCAAGTCCGTACTGAAGTCTCGTGGTTTGGGTCCAAATGCTACACCTCCTCCCTTGAGCATGGGAGATTTCTTATCGCCTAATCGCGCGCTTCCTGTGCCCTTTTGTGGTCGCACTTTGCGGTTGGAGCCGTGGACTTCGGATCTCCATTTTGTGCTCGCCGTTCCGCGGCGTGAGGCATCGGCTTCGAAGATTACGGCGCGGTGGAGGATGTCTTTGCGGATGGGCAGAAGAAGATGTGTGCCTGGGTAGGAAATGAATGAGGTCGGTTCGAGGGAGGGGAACTTGTAGATGGTGCATTGGGCCTTCTTTTGGAAGGGGTTCGGTGGTGCTTGATAGGCTTTCTGCCATGATAGAGGTATTGTGACATCGTCGCTTAAGGATTCGGGTGGAGGCACGGTAAATGTGTCTTTAAGCATATCGCGCGACATTTGCGGTGCCGTGTGTGGACTCTGCGACTCGGCGTAGGCTTCGACGATGGTATCTTCCGGAGCTGCGAGAGGCTCCTGGGATGCCGTGGCCATAGATCGGGCGAAGCATCGCGTGGGCTGTTCATATAACCGGAACCCATTGACGAGGTGCTTCGCCGGTACCGCCGCTCGTTTTGATGCCATTGTCGGGGCGGTGTTGTGGTGTAGACGAGTGGTAAAGGTTGTCGTCCATCTGGTTCACGTCGACACTCCCGAGCTTCTCCGCAATTTCATCCACCTCGACCAGCTCCATCTCGTCCACCACCGATCGGCTTCACATACTCACCCCATCATGGCATTGGAGCGGAGTGCTCGCCCAATGGCGCAATGCCTTCGATGTACGCGCCATGAACGATTATTATTACCCATCCGGTCCTTCAGTACTTCGACGCCATGCCAGGATGCCGAAACGGAGCAGATCAAGCCCGCGCGAGAACTGGACCCATTAACCGTTTCGACGCCTCGTCTCGAACGAAAGCTGCAACGAGAGCAGGGCAAGATGCCCATAGGATCACGACGGCGAAGACGAGCAATAGCGAGCAGCGCCAACGTTCCATTCGAACAGCTCCCCTATCAATGTTTCCAGGAGGCTCGCAAGTTCCTGCAGGAAGACAGGGCGGAGAAGCTGGACATGATTGCGAGGTATCGACAACGAATCGAGAAACTGTCAAATTCTGTGCCCGTGACCGAGACCGAGATTGCGTTCAAGGAGAAGTCGCTCCATGATATGAGGCGGAAACTAGAGGCCACAAAGATTCTGGCTGATATCAACGATCCTATGGTCAAGAAGCGCTTCGAGGATGGACAAGGTGAGATGCGAAGCTGCCAAACTCCAGGAGCAAGTGCTGACAGTACTACAAGGTGACATGAATAAGCCCATCTATCGTCATCTGGCCGACAAGAAATGGCGCTCCTACGAACGCGATTTACTCATACAACGTATCGAGACGATGTACATCGTTCCGGATGTGCTCCCAGAAATTGACCCCATCGTGTCAACGAAACTGACATTTGCCAACCCAAACAACCCTCGAAAGATCCGGAACGTACAACATGGCGAAATTGTTGACACACGGATATCCGAACACGCACCCGTCCTCGACATACAATCGTTCGAGCGCGGCGAGAAACTCGTCACAATCGCTGTCGTGAACCCGGATGTGCCTAATGTTGAGATCGACGGCTTCGACAACCGCTGCCACTTTCTCGCCTGCAACGTCCCAATATCTCCAACTCAAACCACCGTTGATCTGGGCAAGCTTCGCTCAGAAGACCAGGTCATTCTTCCCTGGCTACCGGCATACTCTCAAGCTGGTCTCCCATACCAACGCATGTCAATCGTCATCCTCGAACAACCCGCCTCCACCGATCCCACGCAGAACTTCATTGACTCTCCTGTCAAGGTCTGCAAGAAATTTGATCTTGCCGAAGTCAAGAGTTTGCGGGATGGAAGGTTTGCGAGGAGAGAAGATTTCCCATTGAGAGCGCTGAGGAAGGACCTGCAGTTGAAGGCCATTGGACTGGAGCTGTTCAGGACAGTATGGGACGAGGGAACTGCCGGTGTGATGCGAAGAGCGGGAATTGTGGGCGATGATGTGGAGTTCAAGAGGAAGAGAGTGGAGCCGCTTCCGTATAAGAGACTGAAGGAAGAGAGGTATAGATAGGCGGGCTGAAAGGGTGAGATGTTGACTGTGACATGATATCATGGATCAGTGGGGATAGAAGTACTACGGAGAGTACAACGGCACTCAGAAGTGTATAGTGAGTGCTCAAATGTATGAAAAGCGTTAAGTTGAGATCCATGTCCTCATCGCATATTGTACAATTCCTTTCAAAGGTGTCTATGCTACATGTGAGTCTTGCAGTGTGGACTGCCAACACCCAGACCATCATTCCCGGTTTTTATGCAGTTTCGCTAGGTCGCTCCTGTCACCCAATAACCGCTTGCAGCATTCCTCCAAGCCCAGCACTGCCATCATTTGTCCTATCCCGGGTCCAGGCATTCCGTAACTCAATTTCTCTCGCAAGTACCGCATCAGTGCTTTGTTGTACGCCTTTCTTGTTCCGGTTGATTCCTCGACTAAGTCTTTGCCGAACTTGAGGTGGGTTGCTATCGACGTGTTGATACGATCGTGGACTAGCGTTGAGAAGTGGGCAATGTGCGCGTCTAATGTGTCGTTTGAGACATGCCGCCCACCGGAGTTCTCGCTCGGGGCAGAATGCAGAGGCGTAGATAGTGCGTGCTCGATCACTTGAGAAAGATCCGAGGCTGTAATCGTAAGGTTGTCGTCTTGGTGGTAGTGCTCTGGAGATTCTGGAACTAGAGTAGAATCGTAGGAGAAGAAGTACTGGTTTCGAGTGAGGAATCGTTGCGGGGTTTGATATGATTTGGAGTCGATAAGGAGAATGTCTCGGATGTAGGTTCTCAGATCTGGATACAATTTGCCCTCGCCAATGTGCTGTTGCAAGAAGGGTGTGTTCGTTGGTGCTTCTTTCTCAATGGCGGAGATTATGTCTTCGATGGGAGTGATGTCGTTAGCTGCACGAGCTTGTTCGATCCTACGAGCAACGTGTTGCTTTTGTAGGAACCAGAGCTTTTCCATGCGGACTATGGTGTTGCCTTTTGTGAACTTGAGGTCAAAGTCTCGGATCAACTCTTGCATCTCTAACACATCGTTGCGGCCAGGATTGCTCCAGCCGAGCAGGGCGAGGAAGTTGGTAAGGACTTCTGGTAGTATCCCATTCTGCTCTCGCATGCCTTTCACGTCTAGTACGAGACCTGTGTCGCTTCGTTTGGAGAGCTTGGCTTTGTTCTCATCTACAAGCAACCCAACGTGTGCGAATGTAGGAGGTGTCCAACCGAACGCGATGTATAGATCGTAGTGCAGTGGCGTGCTGGCCATCCACTCGGTGCCCCGAATAACATGCGTGATCTTCATCAGGTGGTCATCGACAACATTCGCGAAGTGGTATGTAGGTGTGCCGTCAGATTTCACCAGGATTGTATCCGCAGCGTCGATGCCAGAATCATCTTCAGCGTTCTGCCCCGCACTTGGCGATCGCTTGAGTCGTTGGATCTTGCCATATATCAAGTCCGTATAGACACGCTTGTGCACATCAATGGGCTGCTTGAGGCGTATCGTGTATGCCTCGTGTTTGCTCTCGGCTTTGTCTTGTGCTTGTCCTGCCGACAACGAGGAACAGTCTTGGTAGCAGCCACTGGTAACATATGCGGCTTTGCTGCCCTGTGACCCTGTGGTCTGAGGCGTACAGAAGCATCGGTATGCACTTCCAGAGTCTAGAAGACTGCGAGCATGTTCTTGGTAGATGTGATTTCTCTCGGACTGTTTGTAGGGGCCATACGCGCCGCCAACTTGTGGGCCTTCATCCCATTGCAGGCCAGCCCACTGCAAATCGTCACACAGCCTTTGCTCAGCATCCGGGACTAGTCTCTTTTGGTCCGTATCTTCTATTCGCAGCAGGAATTGACCCTGAGTACGTTTGGCGAGAAGATAGCTGAACAGTGCTGTTCGCAGTCCTCCTATGTGCATGTATCCGGTAGGGGATGGGGCAAAACGCGTCCTGGCTGGAGTGTCAGGCAGCCTGCCTCCCTGTCTGCCATGATTTGTCGAAGCATGTCTTCTAGTGGCATTCTGGAAATTGCTTGGGACGCGTTGTTGCGATGGAATCACTTCTTGACTCGGTTTCGTTCTTGCCGGTGCGGAAAAGGCCTTTCTTGATGGCCGTGCTTGGCGGCTCTGGCAACTTGCGCAGACCCAGCCGACGACTGGTGGCGTGGCATGTCTGCGCCGGCTCGATAATAACATCAGATGCCGAATTCGACCGAATCCCAATGAACGATGTGGTGACTGTCACATGCATGACGGGAGTGAATGGTCGGCGTTCGCGGTTTCCAGCTCCGGCCCGATGCTTGCTGAATCAGCTGTTTGTGTCGAGTGAATCTTTTTGGAAGCGATCTCTGCTACTTTGCACATCGCCGACACCTCTCCTTTCTTGCCCTGGAACTCCTTTGATTCTGGTCGCGTACACTGCCATTCTCCCTAGAAACACGGAAAACTCTAGCAGACACTCGGATAGTCGACAATACGCGCAAAGATGAGCGCAGAAGAGATCGATCTCTACGGTAGGCACCCGGCCATCCCATGGCGCAAGGCGATGGCTGACATAAGTAAACAGAGATCCTAGGGATTTCAAAAGGTGCCAGTAAAGCGGAGATCAAGAAGGCGTATCACAAGGTAAGCACCACCCCACAATGAGGGTCTATAACCATCAGCCAACATTGTCGCCCCGCTAGGCCGCGCTGTCATCACATCCCGACAAAGTTCCCGAGGACCAGCGAGAAGAGGCAGACGTCAAGTTCAAAGCCGTCTCGCAAGCCTACGAAATCCTGAGCGATGACGATACTCGAGCGATGTACGATCAGCACGGCATGGCCGCCTTCGAGAAGGGCCAAGGCGGAGGTGGGGCAGGACCTGACCTCGACGATATTCTAGCACAGATGTTCGGTATGGGTGGTGGTATGGGTGGCATGGGCGGTGATCCATTCGGAGGTATGGGTGGAGGCCCGCCAGGACAGCGCCGAAAGAGACCAAAGGGCAGGAACGAGATGCAGCAGTACGAGGTCACACTGGAGGAGTTGTACAAGGGCAAGACGACAAAGTTTGCCAGCACGAAGAATGTCATCTGCAATAACTGCGAGGGCAGTGGAGGCAGAGAAGGCAAGAAGCCAAAGACGTGCGACACTTGCAAGGGCCGCGGCGTGCAGACACGACTGCAGCCAGTGGGACCCGGCATGGTAACGCAGGCGACAGTCGAATGCTCAACGTGCAGTGGCCGAGGGCAGTTCTTTGCGGATAAGGACAAGTGCAAGAAGTGCAAAGGCGCTCGCACAATCAAGCAGAAGAAAATCCTGGAGCTCTACATCCCTCGAGGGTCACGAGAAGGAGAACACATTATTCTGTCAGGCGAGGCAGATCAGGATCCGAACGACGAAGAGCCTGGAGATATCATATTCGAACTGGTCGAGGAGCAGCACAAGACCTTCAACCGAGCAGGCGCAGACTTGCACGCGGAACTGGAAATCAGTCTGGCTGAGGCTTTGACGGGCGTCGATCGCGTTGTGATCACCCATCTCGACGGCCGGGGACTGCATCTGAAGGTGCAGCAACCAAATGGCAAAGTTCTGCGACCAGACGAGGTTCTCAAGATCGAGGGCGAGGGCATGCCTATGAAGCGGTCGGACCACAAGGGTGATCTCTACCTCTCGCTCAAGATTATCTTTCCTGAGGATGGCTGGCTCAAAGACCCGGCTGCCGTGGATCGTGTCAAAGCTGTGCTGCCTCAACCAACTGCTAATCCTGCTGGTGGATTCGCAGATGTGAAGCCTGGGCAGACCCCGGAGATCATTGACGAGATCCATGACTTCGAAGTCGTCGACTCTCTGGATGGCTTTGGTGCTGGTTCAGATGACCCACGAGCAGCAGGTGCGGAGTGGGAAGACGACGATGACAGGCCGCAAGGAGCACAATGCGCGCAACAGTAGTTGCTGTTTCATTCCGCGATGGGCTATAAGGCCTCCTGCAAAGTTTGCATAGCGTTCGGCGTTCTTTGGGCGATTCCAGGGTGATGTGTGAGCAGGGTCGCAGGTGGCCTGGCTATGAGACGTACGCTGACTCTCAGCTCGTGTAGTATAGAGTGCACATATGACGACCTAGCATTTTGGCTACAGGCCTGGATAGGGAAGCCCAGGGGCGCAAAAGCAGCAATCCAAGAACGAGAAGTAACATTCCAGAGTCTCCTTACTTTGCTGCGAAGTCCGGTCGTAGCTCGAGCTACGCACGCGATGCTGCATGGCACCTCGTGGTCCGGAAGACGACGATCGATGAGCATCGCAGCAGCAGATGGCAGAGGGCCATTCAATCGTGCATGGTACCAGAAGACATTACCCTATACAAGCAAGCCCACCCGTCGTCCAGGCAGCTCCTCTCCCAAGAAAGAAAAACCAAAACATCCAGCTCTAAAGCCTTGGCGCACGTCTTGCTTTGACGTTCTACGTTCTATCCTGTCCTCCCCCTCCCATCTCGATCCTCCACAAAAGTCCCCCCAATGCAGGCAATCGTACTTCGACACCGATGTCATGGCGCAACGCTTTCAAAGCTACCAGCAGAGCCGCCTCCTTGGCTACATGATAAAAAAGCTGAGTCCAAGATGCTTGACGACGCCCGCCCAGCATTTGGGGAGCTTCTGGCGGTAGATGGCGTGTCGATCTGCGCCACTTTAAGGGAAGCGCGGACGTCACAAGAAACTCAGGTCTGCTGCAAGATGAGATTTGAATGCTCGGGGAGTCGGACCTGTGGACACTTGCTGTTGATTTGAGTCGCGCGGTGTGTGATGGAAGCACGTACACGACGAGCAGCAGCCCACTACGTGTCTCCCTCTTCCCGCGGACGCGGATTACACAAAAAGCATCGTCGTCGTTTTGCTCGGCGTCGCTGATCGATCTGAGTATTTAGGTAAGTGGAGTGCATGTCTGTTGTGCTGTTCTTCGAGGTGTTCGGATCAACAATTTATCTCACTGCAAGTCCTATTCTTCGTCGCCATCATCAATATGTTGGTCTCTCTGCTCGCTCTCGTGGCTACCGTCAGCGCTGTCGCTCTCCCCGAGCCAGCTGCTCTCGAAGAACGTCAAACATGCCGAATCGCTACTTCGGCTGAACTGTCCGCTGCCAGAGCAGCCTTTCTACGAGAAGGAATTATTCCTCCAACTCCAGCTCAATTCGACCCAGCAGAGGCGCAATTGATTCCAGAGTTCAACCCTGTCTCTGCTTTGGCGGTGTCTTATGGCAACAAGGCCGTCAACTTCGGCAACAACTTCTCCACTGTTGGTGAGTACAACCAAATGATGTGAAACGAACGATAGCCAATATCAGAGAACTGACACACTTCCGCAGAAACTATCCCCAGCCCAAACTTCAGCTTCACAAGAGAACCCAATTTCGGTATGTCTTGCCAACCAACCACCTACCAATCATCCACTAACTGTACCAGACCCCGCCACAACAAAATACACCCTCATCATGGCCGACCCAGACGCACCCAACTCCGAAACCCCAATCCTGGCTCCCTTTCTCCATCTCATCGTCTCCGACGTCCAACCCGACTTCATTCCAACTCAGCGCCGCAAGATCGTAGCACCCTACATGTTCCCAACTCCACTCTCCGTCGCACCTCACCACTATACTTTCCTTATCTACCGCCAACCACCGAACTATGTCCCACCAGCTCAGCTCCAGAACCTGCCGGGTCTGAGAGCCCGCTTCCCACTGGTTGATTATGTTCGCAACAATGGATTGATCGGACCTATCGCGGGTAACTTTTACAACGAGGGACTGGGAAATGTTTTGGACATTGGTGTTTAGAGCGATCAGAAGCGTTGACAGTACCGCGAGCATGATTCTTCAATTTTGCATGGCTCATGATGATGTACAGCATTGTTCTTATGACGAGATCTCGATGATCCTAAAATCTATTCAGCTCAAAACCTGCGAGATTTCGTCTTTCACTTCCTTGACGGTCTGTAGTGATTGCCACACTCTTGAGTCTCGACCTCCAGTGAAAACTGATTATGTACGGCAGACGACTGGCCTGCTAGCATACTGTTCTAACAAATAGAGATTACTGTACAGTATTATGCATCGTGTTCTGTCTTCCTGCCATGCTACGCCCAAGGGTATTGTGCTGAATATGCCGCAAGAACAAAACGCCCACGCTCAAACGATAAATGTTCACGAATGTGTTGAAGACTCTCTCTCCCTCCTTCAACCTTCCTCAACTTCAGCTTCGCCATCATCCTTCTTCCCAGCACTGACTAGTCGCACCTCGTCCACCTGGCTCGCAAGCCTCTCAATCTCCACCTGTATAGCCAAAACCCAGTGGTCTCGTTCCGCGCGACTGCGTGCTTTGAACACAACACTTCGTCCCGTGGCTCCAAGTTTGCTAACTCTGGTTAATTTGGTTCGAACTTTACGATCTGCATCGGCTTGCTGTTGTTGAGTCTTATGATCGTCGACGGTGGACGAGCTTTTGAACCAAGAATTGCTATTAGCATGCCAGATCACGAACGTAGTCATGGCATCCTCGTCCGTACTTGTCCAGCCATCTTCCAAGAAAACGCGTGGAAGGGCGTGATGCCCTGGCGTATTAGAGTCGAAGGTCTGATTCTGGTATAGGAGATCGTTCTCGGTAAGTAAGCCAGAATAGAGGTAGCAACCTGTCAGGTCGATGGAGGCAATTCGTTCGTGGTGGATGTGCTGTAGCTTTTTACCGGTGCGCTTGCGCAGGGTATCCTGAAATATTAACAAATGACCATGCGAGAGTATAACGCGATTGCGCTCGAAAGTAGTATGCTTGCGGGGCTTCCGGAACAATACTCCGTCGAGATGAATGGCACGACATGCAGAGATTCCGCACATGTTGTACAAGGTCGGTGAGGCAAACGACTTGCCCACCTCCCACTTGTATGCGAATTGACCCACGACAGCTTCAGCACGCTCATCGATACCCAGCTGTCGCAGATTCTGCTCGCGAGTGGATTTGTACAGGTCCATGTCTGCCTTCTTTCGTACTGTCCAGTATGTCACCAATTGCCGCATGCGCTTCGCCCATTCGTCTCGAGTGGCTTTGTTGTAAGCCTGTAGACGAACGACCAGTCCATTCTTCATCACGAGCTCGAAAACTCGATCCTCGTCCAGTTCGGTTGTCGCGCCATCGTCCTGTCTGGTGTCAGGGACTTGCACGTGGAAGTCGATCTCTTCGCCATTTTCGAGGTTCTCATCAGCAGGCGAGGCGCCGTTGACAAAGTTCCGTACATGGTGCACGTTGCACAAGTTGATGAAGCCGTCGGATGCCAGCAACATATTGATGTTGCGCTCGGATTCTGCTGCAGCCTCCTCGTCTCGATTTCGCACCTCCGCTGCAGGAACAACGCCTTGACTGTCCAGCCAAGCGATGTTGTTGCCTTGCAACTCGTAAGGTTCGACATCATAAGCAAGTGGCACTTGTGCTGCTAAGTCTTTAGCAGATGGTATGGTGGCAGCATTGTTTTGTGCAGTCATCTTGGGAGGAGGCGGGGGCGTTGCCTTGGCGGGACGGGTAAAAAGCAGGTATTGGTTCTGAGTGGTGAAATACAGTCGCTTGTATAGCATCTTGCCGAGACGCTGCTCTGTGCCTCTTTGTGATGTCAGGCGGATCAAGAAGCCTTCGACTGGAGCCGGCTCTGCAAGATCAGAGCCATCAGACCGCTTCAAATGACTCGGATAGTGGTCCTTCGGCCGAAGCTCTAGATCGTGGGTGCGCTGCATAGCAATCGTGCCATACATCCTCTGCTCTACAGCACCATGTAACCATTCCAGTCGATCGTAGCGTTTCCAGGCAAGACCTATGTGGTTTTCCTGGGCCCAAACCTTGAGCACATCTTGCCACTCTGGATTCTCGCGAAGCATGTCCATGCATCGTGTGACAATGCCTCCGGCAACACCCTTCTCCTCGTTGACAGCCTTGAGCAAAGCATCATCGTCACCAACGGCGGCGTCGGCTGCCGTCTGCGACGTCTCAATTGATTTGAAGGGGTCATCAAGGCGCAAGCTGACACTGAGATCAGGTATGTTGACCTGCAAGGTCTCGGCCCTCTTATGGCCAAGCACTCCTCGCAAGAAAGTGTACCATTCCACAGCCGTGGCACTCGATGGTGCTCGCAGGTAGTATATCGTGGTTCTGGCGCCATCTGTGGTCCACAAGCATAGCGTCTTGTCGAGTGACGAGTACAAATTGACGCGGACTTTACTGTTCCCGAGCAGTATCTGTACCTTGGGCTTTTTCTTGACCTTTTCGTCTTCAGAAACATTGATGACTCGCGTTTGATATAGCTGGAGAACTGCATGGGCATCCTCTTCCTCGTGACTTCGGCATACCACCATAAATTCGCGCCATTTGTCCATGCTTTTGGTGACAACGCTTTGACTGATCTTCTCATCGTAGTCCTCACGTAGCGATTGCTGTGTGATATCGATGCGCACAAGCATCTTGTCCACTTTCATCATCTCGCCGGTTTTGATCTTACGATGTCGGAGGCCACCTTTCGCTGCCAGTCGTGATGCCTTGGCACGTAGCTGTAGTCTGCTGGCCTCGGTGAAGCGCACCCTTGCGCCGGGCGTCTTGCCAGCAGCCTTGTCTGCAGTCCCATTGCTCTGCAATATGCCTGAAGGAGCATGCTGTTCCGCGTTGGCCTGTTCGTGAGTCTCGACCGCTTCGAGTATCGATCTATTCTGGCTGTGCAGCAGACTGGTCGTGCTCGCCGGGCCTAATGCTGCGCTCCCTCCTACTGCGTTCTCCGAGATGCCGGACAGACGAGGTGCTTCCTCTGCGGACACCACATCGCCCGCGACTTCCCCTCCTTGGTCCCGGCTGCTCGAGGCTCCATCGACGTGCTGGACGGTGGCGGCCGGGTCAGCAGCTCGGAAGGACAGAGTGCGTTTGCTTCTGCCCCCGACGTATTGCTTGTACCATTCTTTACGGTGGCTGCTCAGCCAGCCTTCCGGGATGGGTCCAATGAAGACACGACGGGTGGTCTGATGCAGGTGGTCGGGAGTGGCATGCTCGAGTCGGCGCGCCGTGTGCGAGTCTGGCGGGAGGTGCGTGTTTCGGCTCATGGTCGCATTGTTGCTGGACTGCACTGATCAGACCTTCATCCCGACCACTTGCCGGCAGCACACAGTGCTGGAGCACCAAACATGGTATGCTCACAACAAGGCAGGCGACACACAGAGTTCAACGCGGTTGTGGCGGTGCCATCAACGCGCCTGACGTCAAATCCTTGAACCACGCTTTGGAAGGCACGTGCTGGACCTCGTTCAACATTTGATTGGTCTCGTTAAATATGCATCGGCAGACAAGAAACCTTGCAATGTGCTCCTTCGTGGAGTATGGAGTCTGTCCGAGCCTCAGATACAATCGTTCTGTCCGCTCGGATGAATATCCAAGGCAGCACTTGCGGCACGAAGAGGACGTGTCGTTGACAAGAGGACGTCCACTCAGCAGCCGGAAAACCGCAGGGATCAGAAATGGTCGTCAGTATTGCTTTTCCTCTGAATTTCCCACACTGTCCTCATCATCCGATACAGCTCCCTGGTGATTCAATAATGTCTTCAACAAGCAAGCGTGCAGATTGGCAGGATGTAGTAGGTGTCCAGCATAAGTTCTGCATCTACAAATCTTATGCCCATTCCTTTATCATCGGCTCCACTCGAGACGATGTGATGATTCAGCAGCGACGATCCGACTCCGACCCGCTCTTGTTGCGATAACTTCATTTCTCTATCAGTGTTCCACTACCACAGGCACGTGTAGAAGGCATGCTAGAACATCGCTGAGTGTATACGGAATCGATGCTCTCTGTACATCAACACTAATCATGTTCTCGAAAAGAGCTGCAACTGTAGCAGCACGGCGTTCTCGTTGCTTTTCTTCGTCGACAGCAAGACATGCAGATTTCACCCATGCAGTCATCGGTGCTGGCGCCGTGGGCCTTGCTATCGCAAGGCGATTGCAACAGGTGGAGGGAGCACAGGTGGTGTTGATTGAGAAGCATGGTATGGTGGGCAGCGAGACCAGCAGTCGGAACTCCGAGGTCAGCTCCGCCACCATACCGATCTAGACATATATTAACCAGTAGCAGGTAATCCACGCAGGCCTATATTACGGGGCAGATACACTGAAGACCAGGTTATGTATACAAGGCAAAGAAATGATGTACGACCTCTGCAAGAAGAACGACATACCACATATGAACTGTGGCAAATGGATCGTCGCCCAAACAGACGACCAGATGGCTGGAATCAAAAAAGTTCACGATTTTGCCAAATCAATCGGAGTGCCTATACGATACGTCCCTCGAGAAGAAGCCCAACAACGCGAGCCCGAAGTCCGAGCTGAAGCAGGCGTGCTCGAAAGTCCCACGACAGGCATAGTCGACTCCCACAGCTTCATGCAATTCCTCCAAGGCGATTTCGAAAATGCTGGCGGTACTCTCGCGCTTATGAGTCCCGTAACACACATCGAAGCTCCGTCGGCCTCCAGTGCCGATTGGAAAATCTGGACCGGAGCAGGCACAACCGAACCAACACCCTCCTCTCCCACACCTCAAGTCTCCACCCAAAATACCTCCGATGAAGACAGCTCTATCACAGCCACCACCCTAATCAACGCCGCCGGCCTCTACGCCATCGCAATAAACAACATGGTCCTCCCATCTCACCTCCATCGAACACCATACTACGCCAAAGGCTCCTATTTCACCTACAGCAAATCGCATCCTAAACCCAGTACACTCGTCTACCCTGCTCCAACTCCAGGTCTAGGCGGTCTCGGCACGCATTTGACCCTCGATATGGCCGGACAAATCCGTTTCGGACCAGATGTAGAATGGGTCGATTCACCTACCGATCTGGCGCCCTCGCAAAGTACCGAACGCTTCGAAGCCGCAATCAAAGAGATCACTTCATTTCTGCCGAATGTTGATACCGAAGCGATAAGTTTGGGTTACGCGGGTATAAGGCCAAAGTTGGGGAAGTTAGGTGCGATCGCGGCGGGAGAGAAAGGATTCCAAGATTTCTATATTCGAAATGAGAAAGGAGATGAGAGCGGTGTGAGAGGGGACTTTATCAATTTGTTGGGCATAGAGAGCCCGGGCTTGACGAGTTCACTGGCGATTGCGGAAGAGGTGTGGAGAATTTTGTATCGATGAGCGGACTCACCAACGAGGTGTTGAATTGCACAGCAAGCAAAATGTGGAACATCGGGAGCAGGAGGATGTGTTCTTGAAAGTGAGAAAGCAACAGTCTTCATCGACTTCGATGCTTCCAATTCGTATGTTGTTACAGAGCTATTGGGGTCCGCACTCCTCCTGCACTCAGCAGGCAATCCAGCGGCGAAGACCTTCACGCAGCGCATCCAGCGTGAATTGGGTTGCGGGATATTCCTGAGCGATGAATGCAGACACCATATCGATGCCTTGCTGGCGTGCGAAAGTCTCTTCGTTGATGGCGTGGGTAGACGCAAGCAGTTTACATCTTCACGCGAAGCAGGTAGCGTAAGCGAATCTGTGCGACGTCGTAGCAAATGTACTCGTTGTACTGCAAGTAGATATTTTGCACGTTGGTCTGACCAACAGCTGTGGCGGTGTCGGGCTATGTTGAGATCAGCGAGGAGCAAGGTAGATCTGCAAGGCTTGTAACTGACCATTCTGACGCCAGCCAACGAAGGATGGACGCAATTCGCATCTTTCCAAACAGACGGCGCAGTCATGCCCTTGCCCCAGGTAGAGAGAGATCCGTTCTTGATGGCTTCATCTCCGGCAGTGTATGAACCAGTGGTCAGCTCATAGAGCGGATCGCCCAGCTCAGCTTCGCACAGCAGAAGCAAGGCCTGACCACCACTGATGTACGAGCAGCAGTAGTTGGCACTCTTTGAACTCATATCTATCATCAAGTCAGCGGATTCACTAAATACTTGATTGATTTACTCACCAGCCAGGTACACCCCCTTCCCGAAGGCGTAGCCAGAGACTGTTTGACAGATCAGTGTTGCACTTGAGTGATTTCGCGCTTCGACCACTCACCTGGGGCCTCTGGAGGCGCGATACGGAGACCTTGGCTCAAAATACCACCAAAGTTGGTGGCGCGCGAACCATGCCACAACAGACGACGATCGCTGTTGGCTTTGGTGTACTGTTCGAAACGGTCCGATTCGCCATCACGCTCGACGCGAAAGATGTCAAGGACCTCATACGTGTGCCCATGGGTATGACCACGAGTGTTGACAAGATAGTCAGACAGGTTAGTAAACTCCGCACTCTTTTTGTCAAGGGGCGACATTTCGCGGAGATTGAGGTTCCTGAAGCGCAAGTCCAGAGCATGAATAGAGCTGGAACCCTTATCGGCTTTGAGAATGCTATCGGCATCCTTGAGGTCGGTCAAAGATTGGAGCAGCTCGACTTCCTTCTTAAGGCCATGGTGATCTCTGATGACTGGAGGGCGATTGCGGCCGAACGCGTGTGGGATGAAGGAATAGTATTGGTTGGACAGCGTTTCCACGGCTTGGGCGTAGCTCATACCATGCTCGGACTGAGCCAGGCTTTGATCGTTGAACAAAGCGGAAAGATCCTTGAGTGCCTGATAGCCGCGTGTGATGGTGGCTTTGCTGAGCTTGCCGAGAGGTAGCTTCTGAGCGTCGTAGTTCATGTCCGCCATCGTCTCCTGGATGTACTGCTCATTGAAGATGAGTTCCATGAGCGACTTGACTGGAGCGTCGAGAGTGCACTTCGCGAGCGAAATACTCCGCGACCTACTCCCTTGAGCTTTCTGCTCTGGCATCTCCTCCTCCTTCTCGTCATCGGATGACTCTGGCTCGTAGTTGCGCTCAATGAAAACGTATTTGCCAGCCTTCGGCTTATTTCCGCGGTCGTCCCAAGCAAGACCTGACTTATCTTTGAACTTCTTTTCGAAGTTCCTGAGCGCATCGGCCAGACTGCCATCTCCGAGAAGAGCATTCTGTCCACGCTCGCCGACTCGACCCCAGCGAGTCCACGTCATGTACTTGCCCTTCTCGTTGGTAAGGAGCTAGCGCAAGTCAGTCTCTTGAATAGATGGCTTTGTGAGCGTTGAATGTCACCTGAACTTTATAGAACTTGTTGGCGTTGGCACCGGCATTTGTCTGATTGAGCGAAGCATCCTACGCGAGTCAGCTTTGATCGGAGGCTGGACAAGAAGATCACCCACGTAAATTATACCGGTGCTGTCGTCAACATACACGCGCCCATTGTAGGAGCACTCCTCGTCAACAGGAATTACAAGCTTCTCAGCTTTGGCAAACTGAGCGCCTCCAGTTGTGGCATTCTCTGGAATCGCGTTCCTCGGTTCGGATTTTGACTTTGCTTTGCCATTGGCTTTCGGGGCCGACACATCGACTTCTTCGTCATCGTCTTCAGGCTCAGATTTGATCGCTTTCGCCTTCGACTTGCCTTTTGACTTTACAGGCACTTGCTTCGGCTTCGCGTCTTCAGCGCCGCTGTCGGGGTCGGCCTTGACTGCTTTCGATCTGGCTTGTCTGGTCTTCTTTGGAGGGTCTGGGTCAACGTCGGGCGAAGCTGGACGCTTGCGCTGGCGGAGTGCAGCCGGCATCGTGCAGGTCGTCGATGGTCCTCGGAAGTCGTGTTGCCGCACTCACTGCGAGATCGAAGTGAGATTCAGTGCAGTGTCGAACGAAGAGCAGGAAGTCGAGTTGATCAAGCAAAGCGACCGGTGAGGGTCTGCCTGATTGGGAAGGAGTGGCGTTTCAGGCACCAGCCAATCAAACGCGTCTTGTGCAGGCAGGAGCGCGCTCGTCTGCAGTCCCTTGTTCAACACATCATCGGCGACCCGCAAGTCCACGTTCATCGTCGCACTTCAAAAGTCGCCAACAGAACGCAGAACGCGCCGGCCGCAGACCACACACAGCTTCGCCCAAGATGGCCAACCCGGCTCCGGCATCAACAGACGTGTCTTTATTGGGTCTGCCACAAGAACTCCTCGTCAGAGTTGCTACCTTCCTCACTACCGAAGAACTGAACCCGCTTCGTTGCTCATGTAAACACATCGAGCGCCAGCTCTTCGACACCTTCGCTCGCGAGTTCTTCACCAAACGGCAGTTTATGATCGAACATGAATCACTCGAAGCACTCGTGGGAATTTCTAAACATCCCGGCCTAGCGTCGAAGCTCACTGATGTTATTATCGACTTGCGTGTTTTCGATTCCAGTCGGTGGCTGGACGACCGGCGATTGCGGACCGGCCATGTCAACCATCGGGTCCTCGTTCACACTGGAATGGCACGCGACATGCTGGTAGAAGTCTTCTCCAATCTGCCAAACTTGCGGACCATTGGCCTGCGGGACTACGAGTAAGTCCACCACTGTGACTGTTGACCATTCAGCGCGCCGTCTCTGCGATGCTCAATGTGCGGAACATCGTTGTTCGAAGCCGAGAAACGTTGAGAAGCAAATGCTGACCTTGTTATAGTGGTGCGGGACGTGTCCGTGAAGGTGAGAGAGCTTGTTGGCGGCCTTGGGGCTGGTCGATGAATCGCTCACCATTGGTTCGATGCGATTCATCGGAACCAATACTTCCATTGGTATTGCGTTCCGCTGGAGAAGCTCAAGCTCGACCTACCAATGTAGAAGTCTTCCTTCGTCGCAGGGCTCTCCAGGCCGATTCATTCCAATGCTGCGACGGGCGACTTGGCTCCGATGTTATACCAGTGTTGAAAGGCTTGAAGACACTGATGCTTGCTATCTCATCCGATGGTTCATTGGCCTCGAACTTCCACGGCGGTCCAGGATCACCTTATGATGAGAAGAACGCCGCGGAGACGACGATCCGACGCTTTCTGCACCAGACTACAAACCTCGAGTCGCTGCGATTGAACTTTGTCGTTGATGAGTTCCTCGGCTTCCGCACCATCGACTGGCTTGGTCGCACCGGCGATGTGTTGACTCCAGCCCCGCAGCTTCATGCTCTGCCAGTCCCACCGTTGCAGCCGCAGTCTCTGAGAAGCTTAGACCTGGGCATGGCAAACGCAACGGCTGCCGGGCTGGTTCGGGTGCTCAGTAAGATCAATCTGGAGTCCTTCAGTCTGTGGAAAATGACTCTGCAGTCCTCCAAAAAAGACCACACTTCTGAAGACGGCTGGTCTCACTTTCTGTCACAGCTCTCAACACGATTGCCTCCCTCGACCGGCCTTCGGAACATCATGATAGGATATGGAAGTCAGGCCTATTATCTAGGCGAAATTCGATATCATCATACGGATGCCAGAGTCTTCTTCATCCCCGAAGGTAAAGATCCTGCAGACCTGGCCAAGGCAGAGGGGGAGCAGATAGTCAACTTCAAGGCGCAGTACACGGGCACAAGCGTGCACCAGTGGCTGCACGACATGTCGAAGCGGGCATTGGTCTCTCCAATCCATCAAAGTGTGTCAGACGACGAGTCGGTGGACGATTCGATGGCTGAGGATAGCGAGGATAGCGAGGATCTTGATGAAGCTGAAGAAGAGTAAACACTAGCGGGCTCACCAGGAGTCTCGCCACACTGCCTGATGCTGCTCCAAGAGCGCGAGGCTCACAGGACGCTGATGTGGTGCGACGCCTCTGCGTGGTCGGCATTGGGCTATCTTTCAGCTGTACAGGTTGATAGCAGCTCTGGTCGAAACCGCGAATTAGCGTGCCTTAGTGGACACTTGGCCGAAATGGGCAACCACTTGCGGGTCATCCCCTACCAACATCTCACGTGCTTTCTCCTTTAAGTTCACGCTTTGATGTTCGGCAAGTCGCACAACCACAAGTCATTCGTCTGTCTCATCACGTTTCAAGTGCCGATGCGAATCGTACTCTCCTCATGTCGACCCGCGGCAACATGAACGCGGAACAAGACTCCTTCCCTGCGAACATCCTCGTGGCTGGTGATGAACGACCCCGGCACATCGCGTCTCAGACAGATGATAAGACGCGGAATCGTGGGGAAAGGAATCAATTCCAGGCTGAGAACGCCAGATTGCTGGGCCCAGAACATATATGAATCTGGGGTAAACCTGAAGACTTTGCGATAACAAGTTTTTCAGTCCATCGACTCGTCTTCATTTCTTCCAAGTGCCATCATGGCAGGACTCCAGACGATCAGCTTTGCCCATGGGGAAGCGAACTTTCCGGACTATGATGCCCCTCCCGGAACTGTCTACCTTGTCGAGGGTACCCATGAGGCTGGCGCCGCTCAAGCCATTGTCCTGATTCCGAGGCCTTCACAAGATATCAGAGACCCATTGGTATTATCATCCTGCTTTCTCGCACCAAGAGCCTTGTAGAGATGAATCTGTGCTCACGAACCTCCGCAGCGCTGGTCACATTGGCGAAAGCTGTATCATGTCATTTGTCTCGTGTAAGCCTTGAGAATAGTTTCTTGAGTACCGCTTGGCGATAGCATGCTAATAAACACGGTCTAGCATCTACGCTGCTGTTCTTGGCTGTATTACACAATGGGAGTCCGTCATCTACCTCCCGTTGATCCAGACGTTCAGAATCGGGGTCTCGTCTCTCAACGTTGGCGCTGCTCTTATGCTGCTCATGTTGGGCGTTGGGAATTGTTTCTTCGTTCCCCTGTCGAACAGTATGTCAAAGACGTTACTGCGACGATCTTTCCTGCGGGGACAGATAGCTGACCATAGCGTAGAGGTCGGACGTCGCTCGGTGTACCTCTTCTCACTCGTCGTTGTTCTCGCAGCCTGCCTCTGGTTGGCTTTCGTGGACAACATTGGCGGCTGGCAAGGCGCACACGTTCTTATCGGACTGGGCGCCGCGCCTTTTGAAGCTTTACCGGCCATCAGCATCGCTGACATATTCTTCGCACACGAAAGAGGTGGCAAGATTGGATGGTACGTCTTTGGATTGAGCGCTGGCAGCTTCGTTGGACCTATTTGTGGAGGATTCGTGGCGGACAATATGGGCTGGCGATGGATCTATCGCTGGGGTTGCATTTTCACCGCTGTTACCATACTCCTGTTCTACTTCACGTTTGAAGAGACCCGCTTTGTTCGGGAACGTGGAGAGGAGGCCATTGTTGATGTACCGCATCGGAAGGCTGAGGAACTTTCGATTGGCTCGAGAAACCCTTCAACAGCAGGCGACATCCAGGACAAGAAGAGCCGTGAGCTGGAGCTTGCGCGAGAAATTGGCACGCAGCCAATTGCTGGAGAAGTGTTCGAGACTGACCATTGGAAGCCTCAGCTCCGTCTGTGGCAGCTTTTCCCAGGAGCTTGGCGCGAGGTTTGGTTGGAGTTCTTCAGGCCACTGATCACTTGCGCCTTTCCTGCTGTCATCTGGTGCGGCATTAACGTAGGTCTGGCCGAAACACCTGTGCGTATATGGCGCTCACTTATTGGCGATCTCTAGTACGGAACCTGTGTCTCATGGCTGTCAGTCATGGGCACAACCATTGCCGAAGTGTTCAGCAGGCCTCCATACCTGTTCAAGTCCAGCTCTCTTGGACTGATCTACATTTCACCTTTGATCGGCAGCTTGATCGGTGCCATTTACGCTGGTCCTCTCAACGATATTTTCATCATCCGCCTCTCGAACCGCAACAAAGGTTGGCGCGAGCCCGAATTCCGTCTCTGGGCTCTCGTACCCACAGCTTTTGTCATGGCATGCGGTCTCATTCTGTACGGTGTTACATCTGCCCACGCTATGCACTGGATTATACCCATCCTTGGCGCGGGATTCGTAGGCTTTGGCTTGAGTATTGGAGGCACGATCGCCATGGCATACATCATTGACTGCTACGAGAGAATCGATACTCATGTCATGACTACGGTCATCTTGATTCGAAATCTCGTGGGTTTCGGCATCACCTGGGGTATCCAGCCGTGGATCGATGGAATGGGACAACAGAACTGCTTCATCTTGACCGGTGTGCTGGCTTTTCTCATCATGGGACCTGCGGCCTTGGCTTTCATCTTCTGGGGCAAGCGGTCGAGAAAGGCGACCACCTCGCTCTACTTGAAGATTGCTGAGCAATTTGAAGCGAGGAATTTGTGATCGGAGACTGTGTTATTCTTCTGTACATATTTAAACTCACGACCAGCTTGCGCGTTATACTTACCACAAGTCACGAGCTTTCATTCTACCTTCTCCATGCCTTTGCTTGGACCTCCAATGAAGTCAAACTTTCCCAAAGGCACGCCTTCCTTTCTCAACAGCGCATAAGCGATTGAGGCGTGGAACAAGACTGTCGTCCCCGAACGTTAGCATTCCCAAACAGCGGAAACATTCGTACACATCCCAAGCATGATCATGCCCGACTTACAATTCGCCAACGCAACCTCCTGCAGATACGTCACGCCGTCATACTTGACCTCATAAGGCCCGGCTCGAAACCTGATCTCCTTTCCTTCTAACCCCTCAAACTTCTCAGGCTTCACATCCTCCAGCACCGACAGAGCTTTATCTATTCTCGCATACAACCCAGCAAAAGTAGTTTCCTCTCGCGGCGGGAACGTGACTTTAGCATTGAGCATACGGGTGAGAAGTTTAAATGAGTCGTCTGTGCAAGTTTGAATTTGGAATGGAAGAGGCTATACAAGGAAGTCAGTGAAATGGTTAAAGCGTGGGTCCTCAATTGCTCGGCATTGGACATACGTGCATGTCCGGAGCCAGACGAGCTTCTATGAGCTTCGACTCTGGGTGTCCATTCTCTTTGAGCCAATTCTCGCCCTTCTGGAGGAATTGTCGAAGACTTTTGAGCTGTCTGATAAAGATTGGAATACTCATGGAGTACAGCATTGGTGGGCTCGACATGGTCGGTGACTTTTCCAAGGTCGATTGTTCTTGTACGCTTCTATGTCCTTCGATGATGTCCGGTCTGTGTTCCGTTTAGGTCCCTGTCTGGAGTCGAAGAAGAATGAGTGAAGTTGTTGAACCAGACTTGGTATAGAGTTTGAGGACAAGCTTCGTTTTGGAATGACGCGGGTCTCGCCTTTCTCGGCGTATCTATGATGCCGAGAGAAGAGTCTCGAAAATCTGGGCGGATATGGAGGCAGAGATGAATTGTCATGCGATATGAAGTGCTAATTATCGATCCGCATCCTGCTCCCGATACCGATCTCATCATGTTTCTTTCATTCCCTCACTTCCCACGACTTCGGCGAGCTCCCGATGAAGCAAGCCCTTAAGCATCAAGGATATCCTGTGCCGTGAAATCGGTGCGGCACTTGATCTTGCGATCTCCAGTGTAGTTCGGGTTGCCAAGTGCCACAGCTTGCGCACAAAGATAATCATCTCCTGGGAAAGGCTCACAAGTGCCGACCTGGTTATCATCCAGATCAACAAGAGCATAGTCGCGGTCCTTGTACATGGCTACAGGTTCAGAAGGTTAGCACCACAGCTCCCTTGAGCGACAAGCAAGCGCAGACTTACTGTAATGACCGCCATCGCCAAAATTCATCTCCAGCACATCAATGTTGTCTGGGTTGGTATCGCGGCTTGGGGTACAACCACTTCCCGAGCAACGGAAACCAACTTTGGAGCCGCTGACATCACCGAACGAACCCCACATTCGGTTGTTGAAGACGTCGTTGCAGTCGGGTTCGCCGTCGAAAATGCTGAAGCCTGTGTCGGAGGTCTGAGAGATGCCTTCGGCGAACGTAGAGTAGTAAATGTCGAAGTCGGCAAATGCAGATGGCAGCAGAGCTGCGAGAGCTGCGGTGATGAGGGTGAATTGCTTCATTGTGACTTGTAGTCGGAGTGTGCAGTGTTCTTGCGTTGTAAAAGGTTGTGAGGGCTCTGCTGGTGCTGGCGCTGGTGTCGTTGTCGTTGATGTTCACTTCCTCGACGATTCGACGGTATCTTCTATGTTCAGTCCCAGCCAGATGCGCTCGTGTTGATCGATCGATGCCCTCCGAGTCTCCCGAATCAACTCGTCTAGCTTCGTCCTTCGCATCCTTCCAACGACGCCGAACGAGGGCCATATACCTATTTTCAATGTGAACATGACTCCCGATGTTAACACGATACGCAGTTCAATCCTTCTTGCGTCACCAAATGTGGTAACACAGTGCTTAAGGTCAGTGCGAGCGGCGATGGATGGGAAAATCTTGGCAATGGATGCCATGGGGCGACTGTTATACACACAAGCGTGGAGAACCAACCGCCCGCCAAGGGAACAATGGACGGGATGAGGCCTCTCCCTCCCGCTTGACAAGCTTGATGGGTCGTTTTGCTCTGGTTTTGGAAATGCGGATGGGTCGCAGGATCAATACCTTGACCACTTCAATTCAGCTGGCTTGGCAATGACAGCATAACCAACATGGGTATACTTCTCCACATGTAACGTTCTCTTCACAATGCGCAATCGATCGGTGGTGGTTCTTCAATCCTGTCAATGCTGAGTGGTATCTTCCTAAATTTGTACAGTTGCATCCAATTTTCTGCCGAATGTTAGCCTGGTCATGATTTCACTCGTCTCCCTCATTACGATTGCCTCAAAATTCCGACTGCAAGATCTTCTTCAGCGCTGCGCTCTCCTTCTCCAAACTCTCAATGCTCTTCTGGCTCTTCGCAACATTGCCCAACAACCACTTCATGCGGTCGTACAATTCTGGCGGCTGCTTGGGTAGCTCAGAAAGTAGACGTAATTCTTGCTCGTACTTGTCGATCGACTTGTTCTCGCTAGCGATGGCGTCGCTGAGTAATGCCAGTTCCAGTTTCGCTCGTAGGACATTATCCGACACGAGGTTCTGGAAAGCAGGCTGGTAGACTGGCTTTCCGGGCATGATTTTGTAAGGTCGACCGTTGCTCGATTGCACGGTAATCAGCTCTGCCTGCTCCAAAGCTGCAATGGCCTTCTCGCCGCCAGATTTGAACGGGTCGGCAAGCAGAACCTCATTGTAGCGTAGGCCCTCCTTGTCGGCTAGTTCGCGGACAAGAGTCCACGCTTGTGCCGAAGTCCATTCTCTGCTGTCACTGCCAAGTAGTAAGTACATCTTGAGGATCTCCGACGCAGACTGATCGACGATCTCTTTGACAGCTCGTGTTGGTGTCTCACCAGCCTTGATACGCCTGGCGAAGAATTCAAGATCGGTGAGACGGCCACCTAGCTGGCCGATGACAGAGTCCAGTTCGCGCAGATCCTCGCGTTTCTGCGAAGGAGTCAGATGTTTGACATCCTCTCCTTCGGAACCTTTGTCGCCAGTGACTTGACTAGGGTCAGCATCGAAGTCCAAGTGCTGAATGACATAGCGCTTAGCCACTTCGGGCGAGCAGTCGCCTAACGAGATTTGTCTGAAGACCCTGTCTGGCAAGGCTTTACTCAAAGACTTGGTGAAAGAGACATCGTTGGTCAGAAAGATGACGTGGGCAATATTGGAGGTCGAGAGTGTCGCAGCCCATTCTGCAAGCTTGTCATAAATCAAAGCTGCACCCGATTCCGAACCTTTGTGCAAGAAGTTCTCGATCACGACAACAGGTCGTCTCTCCGGATGGCCCTCAAGGTACTCATCGTCTGAGAGTTTTGCATCCTTGTCGTCTTTCTTGCGACCTTCGAGAGCAATGCCCTTCAAAGCAGCAGTCGTCTTGGTCCAAATCTTGACAAGCTGATTTTCGAGGGTCTCGGAGAAGCCAGCTTTGGATCCTGTCATACCCTGCGCTGCCAGATCGACCAGGCCGCTGATGTTGTTGATCCAACTGAACACTGGCTTATACCCAACTTGATTCGCAGCCGCCGCGATGGTCGCAGCATCTCCTCTTGCTTCCTGCAGCGGCTTGCAATCAATAGTCAGGACCCGGTTGTTCTCTCGCTTGTGCTTCAACGCATGGTCAAGCACTAGCTCACGCTTGCCGCTGCCGCGAGGACCTTGCACAACAATGAAAGTATCTGTACTTTCCATCAACCAGGATTGAATCTGCTCAATCTCTTTCTGTCTGTCCTCCCACACAACAGCCATGCCACCGTCATTGACATCTAGATCCCGTCCAAGCGACTTGACTTTATTGACCAAGTCTTCACTCTGCTTGATGAGCCAGGCAAAGATCCAATTGTCCTCAATGTGGAATGCACGCGTAATGTGGGCTTTGATGGCAATCGTCCGGATCGGATCAAAGATTACAGCTGATATACCGGCAATTAACGCGACCAGGAGTGGTATAACGATGCGAGGGTGGTTCATGATCCAATCCTTGATCCAGCCTGCACGCTGCCTCTTTTCGTAGGTCAAGCGAAGCAATGTCCCAGTCTTTCCGCCTCCTTCAGAATCGTTGACGAGGTAACCATGCATACAATTCTTCGCCATGACAGCTTTGCGATAGCTTTCAAAATCCAGATAAGCATACTTGGGCAGCACTTTCGAGTCCGAGGGTTGCACGAGAATCTCGGAGAGCTTTCCAAACGGCCTGAAGAAGCTGTAAAGCTGCTCTTGTGTAAGCTCAGCCGCGCTAGCACCAGGTTCAGTCGGCAGAAATTCGACCCTCAGCCTCGAAGAAGGACGTCGCGAAAGATCCTCAACCCAAGGCTTGCCCAGGACACGACCAACTTGTACAGTCATGAAAGGATTCCACCAAGGTCGCGCAGTATTTTCATTGAGATACTTCTTGACCGCCTCTGAGATTGTCTTCGAATCACTCGTGCCGTCGTGGCTGAACTTCAAAAACGCAGCACCCTCTCCATACCGAGGCAAGATTTCCACAACGTCTGCTTTGCCTGCGATGTTCTCCGCTTTCAAAGCCTTCTGAAAGGCAGAAGCGGGATTGACGACACCGTAGTTACTGCTTGACGGGTCCAAGATCTTTGGAGTTTTCCGTCCTGTCGGAATGGCAGATGTGAGTCGAAAGAACCATTGTAAATTTGACGGTAAGATGCTGTTGAAGAATAGAATGCCCTCTTGCGAGTTGGTCGAGATATGGCCAGTATTGTTATCTCCAGCTTCTCCTGTTACACATCGTCTCGAGATGCGCGACGCCAATAGATGTGTGTTCGGACTGGGCGAAGATCTGAGCAAGGGAGCAGCTGCTCGATGTAGCCCTCTGCGCGCCAGCATCGTGATGCGTTGAAGCCGCCTGGCTCACCAAGTAATGTACTGTTACCGAATCATAGTCGTTCGTAGGAGTGATTTCTGCGACTAATCTCGGAGTGTGCACGATGAAGTGTGGTGAGATGGAGCGCGTATTGGACAAGGTTCACGCGCGCCAGGTTTCCCTGCGATGACGTTGTGTTTGATATCCTTGGCAAAAAGTGCATGCAGATCCGAGGCCTTCCAACAGAGTAATGCAACAACATTCAATAGAACAACTGAGGGAAAGAAGAGTGAGGGAGTTCAAGTCATGAAATACTTGACTTGGTAGCTCTTGCTGAACACTTCGCCAGTTCTGGGCTGGCATTTGGTCGTGGTCTGCTGCGCTGTGCTCTCTGCCGCTGGCGTAATGTTTTCGCCGTGCTATGCCAATCGCTAGGAAAATACCGACACTGGAGAATGCACCAATGATCACAAGAACACGTTTGTTGTATGAAGATGTTGTAGTCGATGTTCCTCAGGTTCAGTAGTAGTGAAGTGACGCGACTGAGGAAGCTTCGATAGGGCTGAGTAGCAGGGGTCGGCAACGTTCCTAGCGGGACCCACTTTGGTGAGCAGATGGAATTCCGACGGACGAGAGAAGACGAAGCTGACGATACTGGAACGATGCTATGAGCACCGCGAAACTTGCCATTGATCCGCTTTGGCAATGCCTCTGCCCATCATGGTCATCGGTCGGCCTCCTGCGGGCGACACGCGTTGCCAGTCGGAGCCGGCGAGCGCCAGAGCAGCGACAATGCTTGCGACAGTCGACCTGGACACGGCCTTCTCACAACGCTACGACTGCCCATCATGACATCCGGGCCTATAGCACAGCATCTTTCCAACCCTTACAGCAGCCCCAGTCAAAGAGTCGCACAGCGACACCCCTGGAGACGAAACATGATGCCAATTTGGAGCACGAAGAGACGCGCTTGCTCTACGGGCGTCTCCGATTATCAGCGGCAGAGGGCCAAACGAATACTTGTTTCAACATCGCCGAATACCTTGTCAAAGAGAGAAAAGAGAAGCCAAACGTACAGCTTTACAACGCTCTCATTACGAGCAACACGCATCACGAGTTGGGAGCGGCATGGAGAGTACACGATCTGCTAGAGGAGATGAGAGAAGCCGGGCTGCAGCCAGATGTCGGGACATGCCATGCTGTGCTGAAGGTGTTGAGTGTACACTTGGATCATTTACTGAGGACTGAGATCCTGGAGTACATGCACAAGAGATGGTTCCAGCTCAGCGAGGAAGGATGGCACGACATGATCGCTGGGATGTTGAGGGAGGCGAGATTTGAGCAAGCACTCGAAAGGCTGGACAAGATGAGGCAAGAAAGAATGCATATCGAACCCTGGTTGCTGGATATGGCCGTCTTCGCCCTGTGTGATGCTGGCGAGATAGAAGAGGCGTTTCGGATAATGCGGACACGATATGATGCTGGAGAGCTACGACTGAGACAAGCTGTATGGGCGTACCTTCTCGACAAAGGGAGCGAGGCGCGGCACCACAATGCTACATCTCTCGTCTGGATGAGCCAAGTCAACCGCGGATACTTCAACCCATCTTCCGGCACGTGCCTGAACGTGCTCGCGACTGCTGCCCAAGCAGGCGATGCTCCGATGGCTACAGAAGTCTTCACACATCTGAGCAAACGAGGAAGTGCGTTTCGGCCAATTCACTACGAATTACTGATATCAGCCTACCTGTCCGCAAGCCCGCCGGATCTAGGTCGAGCCATCAGCATTCTAACGATCATGCCGCTGGAGAAGCTAGAGCCCACGATCGCGCAGACGAGAGGCATCTTCATGTACATCAAAGACAAGCCTGCCCTCGTCAAGCAGGCCGTGACAACACTTCGCGAACTGCATACTGCGGGCCGCAAAATCTCCATCACGATCCTCAACCTACTGATCGAATGCTACATCGAGCAGAAGAATCTCGCCGAAGCCATGAAACTCTACAAGATTATCCACACTTTCGCGCCACTCGGCCAAGGTGCACAGAAATCTTTTGCAAATATCGAAACTTTCAACTTGCTACTCAAAGGTTGCAGAGTCGCAAACCCGCCAGACGAGCAACAAGCGTCATTTTTGGTATCTGAACTCCTAGCCCTCCGCGTCGTGCCAACGGCTATGACCTACGATCGACTCATTTTATGCTTCATCGAAGCCGCGAAATATGCTCTGCGCAAGGCTAGTGAGATTCAGGATCCCGTCAAGGCCAAAGAAGAGCATGAGCGAGGCGTGGAGCTCGTGGACTGGTCATTCCGGCATTTTGCTGATATGCAGCCTCTGGGCTGGATGCCTCGTTTCGGGACGCTGGAAGCACTGGCCATGCAGCTCGCGCGTGTGGGTGATGATCGTTGTTGGGATATTCTACAGGCGGCGGAGGATTACGCTGAAAGAGTTGAGGGATATGAGCAGAAGAGACGCTATGCGCGGAAGAACGTGGAAGAGTATTGGTATGCGCAAAGAGGTGGACGGAAGGAAGATGAACCGCTAGAGAAGAGTGCACACGCGGATAATGCGGATGCTGCAGCGATTGCGAGCTGGTCGTAGAGAATCTATATCGAGCGCAGAGAGTCTGTACTGCTCTGTCTGGATTTCACTGTGCCTTCTCGCTGTTGTGATTGCATCGCACTGGGAACACATGGCTCCGTATCTTTCCATGTCTTCTATCTTTTCATCGTCTGATTTCGTAATTCATGCCTCGTTAGCCATGCTACTCTGTGCCTTGCAACCACGCTATGCCGAAATGCATCATCCAAGTCTCGTAGGCATTGCAAAACAGGCCACGGGTAATCCCAGGCTCAACGAACAACAAACCTTCAGGTTGGCACGCAACCGTATAGCGTAGTGTATGGTAGCCGTATCCCCTAATACCAATCTCAAGAAGCTTGACTCCTGCCAACTCAGGCCCTGCTCGTTGATCTGCTTCCTGGAGCCTGCTTACTGAGCCGACGTCGACCGTCTGGGCCCATGCTCGTTCTCCGTCTTCGCCCTCTCGGTACATCTTCCTCGGTCGAGCTTCTCCTCGGCACCCGCACTTCGACTTCAGTGGAAGTACCAGCTGTAGATGGAGCATCGTCGGTTGCCAAGCGAGTGAAGCTCTTGCGCGTCAAGGGACTCTTTCCGATGCGAGATCCAGCGCCCGAGCGGCCATTTGGGTGGTAGGAGGTCAGAGGAGCAGCCAATCCGGTCGGCGGAGATCCACGATTTGGCGATGCATCGCCTGTTCTGGTTGGTATTCGTACGCGTGGACTTGGCGGTTGGGCTAAGGGGGCAGTTTGGACCGGGAAGTGCATTTCGACCGATGAGTCGCCCGACCTCGTACTGTCAGCAGACACCGAGCGTGTAGCAGTTTGTCGAGGTCGCTCCAAGCTGGCGGATCGCTTCTCTGTCTCCCGTCGAAGTTCTTCTTCGTCATCGTATAATCCGGACTCGAAGAAAGCGCCTCCAGCCGGTCGCTGCTGGGCTTGTCGCTGGTGATATGCCGCTGTGATTTCGGGGCCAACGATGCTTTCCACTCTGCGTGGCATTGACAAAGAGTTGCGAGAGTCACCAGAGCTCCATTCAGACGTGTAAGAGTCCTGTGACCTATCGCGACGTACACCGACTTCTTGCTCCCTTGGAGTCATGTCCGAGTGCAAGCGGGGAGAGGGCTTCACCTGTCTGTAAAAGCCACCAGGTGCTTGCTCGGCTGGCGCAAATCGACCTTCGAGTGAGTCCGATGGCATCAATGGTGGTCGAGATTCTGCATTCGGTCGGAACGTCTCTGGCTTGATGTTCAATTCGTCGCCAGCCGCAAGAGCATTGGATATCGCCTGCGCGGGAGTCGTCTTTTCGTCTGCCTCTGCAGCATCTGCTCTTGGCCCACCCCAAGTTCTATCAGAGGCCGTGCAGATACCGTATACCATCTAACAGTAGTCAGTATAGAGTACGTGTATATCCGAGAAGAGAAGCGGCCTGAAAATGCCTTCTAGGAGCCATACTTACGTATACCCAATTAAAGAATGGGTTGAGAACAAACATAAGTGGATAGAGCATCTGCAAACAGTCAGTCGAGGGTACGAGAATGTTCGGGATGAGCTCTTCGCAGTCTGAAAATGCCTTCTAGCGAACACACTTACGATCTTGTATCTTCCGAGTACCGCGCCAAAATAGAACATCAGCGCCCAATTCAGTCCAAGAGAGACAGCGAGAAATCCGACAGGAAGGTTTGCCACTTCCTGGGAGGTGGTACAGATGGAGATAACCATGATGAAGAAAAGCAGCGCAGTGGTCCGGATCGTGTTTTGTGCCAGGCGTAAGATGAGCAGAAGAGGGTAGCGCTTCCAGAGCCTCACGTCCGTGAGCATACAGGCCTCGTTCGTGATGAAACCGAGAAACCAACGTCTGCGCTGCTTCAGAAGACTCCTGTATGTGTCTACTGCCTCCGTCTTGCAGAATGCGCTTGTGTTCATCGCGATCTGATACCTCTCGGTGGCGCCAATCATGAATAGGTGCGTGAGCCATCTGTCCTCGCCGAGATGACACTTGCCGTAGTCGAACATGTCATCGCACTGCTCCGCCTTGTCTGCGAAGTAGTATTTTGCCATTTGCCGGAATGCGGAGAAGCGTAGGATCGTCAGTGCTCCAGGTAGACAAGTGACGGCGCCGCATGCACTCTCGACGCTTCGTTCAAAAAGCTGCCCATGTACGTACTCCATATCTTGCAGAACAGTAATCAAGGAGTGTCTCTTGGTCGTCGAGGTTATAACGCCCGTCATTGCAAGTTTGTTATGCTTGCTACCGGGCTTGAGCTCCATCTCATACATGAAGTTCTGGATGCAGTATTTGTCGAGGATACAGTCGGAGTCAATGAACAACATGAAAAGATTGTCATGTTTTCGAAGGTAATTCTCATAGACTTTGTCCTGCTCGATAGTCAGTATGGTTAGGACAAAGACCTGGCATACACTCAACTTACAATGAGTCTGTAGGTTTTCTTCTGGACGCTACGCTTCCCGCCATGAGGAAAGCGAGACACGGTGATCCTGCAGCCTCGGTATTTGACGTCGATGCTCTTAGGATAGTGTTCCAGTGTGATTGGTACTCCTAAGCGATCGATTGTCTTCAGGAACAACTCATTTTCCTTTTCTCCGTCGAAGCTAAGGAACACATGCATGCAGGATGGCGGGTACTCGCAATCCACAATCGAGTCCACGGTAGTGAGCAGGACTTCGGGCTTCTCGTTGTAGCACGGCATCACAATGACGACCTTCGGCGCTGAGTGTTCATCCAGGACTGTCTTGATTCTTTTCTGTCTCCCGACGTTGTGTGTTACCAGTTGGTAAACGCAAAGCAGCCAAGGTATGGTGAGTAGACCGGCGAAAGAACAGAAAGCGAACCATTGGAGCACGCTCACCATAGTCTTCGGAAAGTACTGCACGACTTGAGCCGGAAGCGGGAGCGTGACGACCATGATTGGTAGGAAGACCAGTCTCAAGCAGCTGAAAATGATCATGAGAAGGACGGCCAGAACTCGAGTCGACCATTTCGTACTGCCACCAGCCTTGACGAAGCATTTCCCCAGGCAGTAGAGAAATGCGACCAGCCAAAGCGCCCATTCGAAAAATGCTGCGAGCATCAACGGACCCACAATGCCGACGTAAACAATGTCTTTGACCGGCCATGGGTCCCGGATTGATGGTATTCCATCGTCAGTAATTCGCGCGAAGTTCATCTCGACTCGACTCGACGCGCTCGAGAAGTCGAGCCGGGCATTCAGCCTGGGACCAGAGATAGCTCCCTCCTGTTGTTGAAAACAAAGAGGGTAAGAAATCGGTGAGATAGAACTTGCTGTCACTTGCCTTGCGTCGAGAAATCTTGAAAATGTTCGCGGCGGTCTGCCAGAACTGTTGCACTTTGGGCCCTCGCGGCTTGCAAATCCGATCAAGGGCGTGGGTGTTTGGTAACGCGTTAGCTTTGTGTCACGTCCCACGCAACCTCTCGGCAAAATCAGGTCGGTGTTGGAGAGTGTGCTACAACAGACGCCGAAACGCGCAAAAAGTGCCGCCACAAATGCGCCGTCACGAGGAAGGCTTCCCGCTTCACTTCATTTCTCTCGTTCACAGTACGCGACACGTGCTTGTGACAAAGTACCCATGTGGCGGCAGGGGTGAATGGCGGAAGGCGTGCAAGGTTTGCTGTTGGCATCGCCGCCTCTCATGATGCAGTTGGGACAAGTCTTGCTTGTCTTGCATCGATGGCATGTTCGCCGCCGTGAGATGGGGAGATGTTGAAGTTGATGTAGTGGATGTGAAGGCGGAAGCCAGTCGGGCCAGCATAAGATGCTTCTTGGCGTGAACTGCACACCCTTGCACTCACAAGCAATCTAAATCCCAGCACAGGACCTCGGACATGCCTTCTGAGCCGTGAAGATCACGTAGATCAACAATATGAACATATTGATGACCAGTTCAAGCCCACGGGGCAACCCCCCAGATCAGCATGGAGTCGAGGATATGCGTTTTGGCTCTGCTACAAACACATCTCCAGCACAATAGTACTCAACCTGCTCGCGTGCGCATTGACTAATGTGGTCGATTGTTCCGTTGCAAGCTGTGCTGATGCTGTATGTTCCAAAACGCTCCAGAATGCCGCCCACTGCACATTAGTGAGATCCTGCTCAATTCGTACGAGCGACAAACTATGTATATACAGGTCACTCCGATGACACTGGCTTCTCGGCCTTCGCCGTACCATTAACAGACAGTTCGCTCACAGTCGTTACTCGTGGTCGGTTCCTCGGAGGAGATGAGATCTTTTCGTCGCCCGTGTTTGAGCGATTGAGCTTCAATTCACGAAGGCCTCCGGAGGGCATCGAGTTTCTGATCGCATAGGACGATGGCGCCGGCGCCTCTTTCGCTGGTGCAGCAGTGTTCGCCGCCGCCGCTTCCTGATTACCACTTGTGCTGCGTTGCGCATACCATGACTTCTTCTTCTCGGCTGCCCACGTTCCCCATGAGCTAAGATATGCGCCTGCCCGCTGGCTTGCGGCAGCTACGCTAGCTTGTGCCTTTTGCGCATCCGGACGATCAGTTTTGCTTGGGTCGCCATCTTGGGGATTTGCAGCTGCGGCAGCAGCTCTGGCATCCTCGGTTCGTTTTCGTTGCGCTTCTCGCATGGCCTCAATGTCAGCCCAGACGCGATTGAATGCGCTCGTTACATGCGTCCTGCCGTCTGCCAAGCGTTTGCCAACCACTTCTCTTGTCTGGCTGAAGCGTTCGTCGAGGTGCAATTCAGATATTTGCACAGCGAGGCGGCGTTGTACATCCTCTATTGTCAGACCACCTGCCATTGGATGACGAGGTTCGACAATGTCGAAGAGTTGGCTGTCAGCGGTTTTGTTCCAGACTTTGTAGTTTTCTGATTGTTCCCATGCCTCCACAAACGCCAGAGAGAATTCTGAGGCCGGGTCGCCCTCGACATCCGCAAGAAGCAGTTTCGGATCGCCATCTTTGTGCGTAGCCATATACTGATGATACTTTGTCGCCGACAGCAGAGCAATCAGATATTCTTCAAATTGCAGTCTGATGAACTCCTCGCTACCCGCGTACCCGTGCGTTGTCGGACGAGATGGATCAAACGCATCCCACGTTTCGTTCACCGATTGTGTGAGGAAGTCTACCCATCTTCGATCGGCGGTGGTCAATGTCAAGGCATTCTTCAATGCCGGGTTCAGCACTTGTGCCGTATCCTCGTCCAAGTTGACCAGTAAGTCACAATACTTGTCTTTCTGTTGCAGGAGCAGACTGTTAGTGCTGCCCACCACATAGCTCTGCGTGTTAGCATCCGTGATCATGTCAAGCTGTTGCAGAGGAGTATATGGACCAAACATAGACCCTTTGCCGAACAGTTGCAGTGGCAAACCAATATATGCAAGCAGGGATGCTCGATTGCTTGTACGGACAGAATCCGATTTCTGCAATGTCTCCGCATACCGATCCATAGCCGGGTCTGCGCAATCGCGTAGGCTGCGAACTAAACCCGGTATCAGGGAGATCAACGAGAACTGTGCCTGGCAGACTCGCTCGCAGTGGGAGCCGAAGAATAGGATCTACAGTACGTTGTCAGCTCAGATATTGGAATGCAGGTACAGGAGCAGGCAGGCGGACCTTCTGCTGCAACAGCATGCACTTCAGCATGACCAAGGTCTGCCACTTGAAGGTATGCAGGAGCTCTCGCAAGCTCAAGCCGAAGTATTGATCTCTCTCATCCTCGCTCCTGTTGATCTCTTCCGTGAGGTTCTCCTGAAAGCGCTGTTCAGGCTGTCAGCACACTTACTGATCCTAGACCTACCACAGTTTCCACTAACCCACCTGGAGTATGTCTAGATCTCTGAAATCTTTCTGGGCAAACCACGCTCTTGTCACAGCACTCAGTTTCTCCCGGAGCGCGCTGAATCCCTCTGGTCGGTCTGTGATCACCACAACAGCCTTTTGTACAGCACTTCTTGTAACTTCCTCACTTTTCCATGTCAAGGAGCTGGAGTCGATCTGGTGCATGCACGATATCCCGAAGACAGATGTTGGCTCGACATCTTTCCCCTCAGCCGTCGTGCTCCCCTTGTGTACTAATGTGAAATACGAGAACTCCTCCTCATTCTGGTGAGCGCCGTCCGGCAACGCCATGTACGGTATGAGGCCCCAGTCGTTCGAGACTGCGGGATCGACGCCATCTTCTGCACCCAGCCAATGCTCGATTTCGGGTCCGCGGTGGTGGTTGAAGTCTACGACACAGACTAGAGGCTTGAAATCGCTTTCTCGAGGTCGTGGGCTGCCGCTTCTGGAAATTTGTGGTGGTGTCGGCGTCGCCATGGCTGCTCCTCTCCCGCTTCCGAACTGCCCATGTGCCAGCACAAGCTTACGAGACCAGTCCTGCGAGGAGAGTGGAAAGCATAAAGAGGGTCAATGTAGGTTTCTGGTGCAGTCCGGTGACCTTCTCCTCAGAACCAACGGCTCGCAGTCTAAATCCCTTGGGTAGATGGGAGAGGGCCGGCGTAATCTCGTGGCTCGGCGACGAGGAACCTCATCGTTGTGCTCTTTGTATGTCAATGCCGAGCGCAATCAATCTGTACGTATAGCGGAGCAACGCGATGCCATATGCACGACCAGCGCATACCTCCAAGGGTCTGCCGCTGCATGCAGGTCTGGTCTGGTGCGGGTGATGCGCCAAGACTCACGAGACATTGATCCGATGATGATGATACGGAAAAGAGTCACACGATAGGGCGAGATCCTCTGCTACACGATCGCTGCCATCGTGGCACAGTAAGCATCACCTTGAAAGCTGCTCGGCATGTTCTCAATAGCGGGTAAAAGAAAGCATATTCGTTGCACGAACTATACAATGTGCCAGGATCTGCTAGATGAGCAGTACAGATCGCATTTCCATACCTGTCGGCTCCACAAACGCCTCACTTTCTGGTATAATCACTCGTCGCTAGTCTACGAGCTCTTAAGCTTTTCGGTCAATTCTGGCACCTTTTCGAACAGATCCCCCACGAGCCCGACATCCGCCACCTGGAAAATAGGCGCATCTGGGTCTTTGTTGATCGCTGCAATCACCTTCGAATCCTTCATGCCAGCCAAATGTTGAATGGCACCGGAGATACCAGCGCAGAGATATAGCTGTGGTGCGACGTTCTTTCCAGTCTGTCCAACCTGCAGACTGTTGTCTGCGAATCCAGAATCAACAGCTGCTCGACTGGCTCCGATAGCGGCACCGAGAGCATCAGCGAGCGGTGGCATCAATTTATCGAACTCCTCCTTGCTCTTCAAACCGCGCCCACCACTGACCACCTTTTCTGCTGTAGCCAGATCTGGGCGGTCACTCTTGGCCAGATCCTCAGACACCCATTCTGTAGGGCATTCCGCCTTTGGGTCAGTACCCTCTTCAACAGCAGCCGATCCGCCCTCAGCTGCACCTGCCGGGAAAGCTGTGCCTCGCACTGTCACCACCTTAACTTCGTCTTGACTTTGCACAGTCAGGATTGCATTTCCAGCATAGATTGGCCTGACAAATGTGTCCTCGCCCTCAATGTCCGTGATGTCGCTGATCTGCTGCACGTCAAGTAGCGCAGCCACGCGCGGCATGAGGTTCTTCCCAAAGGCAGAATGTCCAGCCAGCACATGTGTGTATCCACCCTTTTTGATGTTCTCGACCAGAAGAGGAGCAAAATTCTCGGGGAGGCCTTTGTCGTATGCGCCGTTCTCGACGTAGATCACCTTTTCCAGTCCGTCGACCTTGGAGGCCTCGTCGGCCACCGACTTGATATTGGAGCCTGCCACGAAGCCATGTATGCTACCTCCCAGTTTCTGTGCAGCCGAGATTGAAGCCAGGGATGACATATTCAGCTTGCCTTCGCGTTGTTCGAGGATCGCAAGTGTCGATGCCAGGCGGCGCAATGCTTCGCGGGACATTGGTCGAATTGAGGGCGTACTGCGTTGCTGGCGAAGGCAAGTCGCTGCTTGTCGCAGGACGCCATTCCGTAATGGTGCAACCATGTTGGCGGTATTGTGTTGTGGTTTGCTGCGATCACAGCGAGGTGGTAGAGCTGTAGAAAGTCGTCATGTCATGCCGTTTCTCGGCTTAGAGGGTGTCTGAGCCGAGGCCGGCCCTCACGCGCTCCGAGAAAAGAGAGGACGATCAAATCCACATTTGCAGTGATGTTCAAATCGTTGTTCTTTGTGGTCGATGAGACATAGTTACTGATGGCTGTGTGACTGTCTGGTAATTCTTTCTATCACCACGTGTATCGTTTTATGTAAGGCGATGCGCAATTGCGTTGTTGAATGTGATCTAGGGTACGGATGCCGCAGAGACTGGGAAGCAGCTCTGCAGCACTTCTGGTGCGTTGCTGTGACAAAAGGCCTCCTTCGCTGCGTGAGACTTGATATCTCACCGCGTCAAAACTTACTCCACCCCTCACTGCATCCAAACTGGTCCTGCTAAGTAGCGCCGGCTGACTTCTGTCGCACACATATGACATAGGCACCCTGCCTCCCGCTGATATCATTACTGGCTGGTACGTGGGATCATGTCGTTCCGACTCCCGGACGCCTGTGCACCGCCCTATGCTTTCATTGATGTCGTGACTTCTTTCTAAGCAGCTCCGTTCTCGGTCAGACCGCCTGCAGCCGTGGCCTCGTTGCCTTGGTCAACATTGTGGTAGTCGAGGATCTCCGAGTACCTAAGCAAAGTCATCGTCAGCGTCTGTTCCAGTACCTTTTTGAGTCTGCTTAGCCGTACATCATGATTTTCCATGTGTCCACTGGAAGGTCGGCATCATTGAACGACCAGTCAAACTTCTCTTCCGCTTCAGGCTCGTCTGTAGGGTCGTGGTACGGGGCGAGATATGGATCGGCGAGTGCTTCGCCCGCCTTGACACGTTTTCGAGGATCGAAGACAAGCATACGCTCAAGTAGTTCGATGGCTGGGCGCGTTAGTGAGTGTGTTGTTAGAGGTTCTTTATCGTTCTTGCTTACCTTGAGGATCGGCGTTCTTGAATTTGTTCTTCAGTGGTTGGCGCTCACGCTTGGGTAGAGATTGTACGAATCTCAGAGTCTAGGGCATTGGGTCAGCAGTCTGCCTCGCATACTTAATTTGGAGCTGCTCACATTCTCGCTGCAGATGGTAGAAATAACATCGTCTGGAGGTGTACCCAGAAGTTCTGTGATGATCGAGAACTGGTTGACGTGGTCCTTGCCAGGGAACAATGGCTTGCCTTCCAGCATCTCCGCGAAAATGCAGCCTGCACTCCAGATGTCCACCTCCACGTCATACTTTTGCCATGTGAGCATGATTTCGGGTGCTCTGTAATACCTCGTGGAAACGTATCCGGTCATTTGCGGATCTTGGATGCGGGCAAGACCGAAGTCGCAGATCTTTAGGTCGCAGTTCTCGTTCACAAGAATGTTCGAGGGCTTCAAATCACGGTGCACGACGCCGGCGGAATGGACGTATTTGAGACCACGCTGCAGGAGTCAGCTCTGTGCTCGAAAACAGGAACAGGGCAACTCACGAGTATTTGGTACAGAAAGTACTGAATGAATTGCTTCTCCAATGGGCGCGAGGTAAGGAGGCGGTGGAGATCGGTCCCGAGCAATTCGGTCACAAAATAACTGTGAGAAGAGAATAAGCCAAGTTTGTGGTCAGGGTTGACTTACCGACATACATATCCTCTAGAGGCGAGATGAAGATGTCGCTGAGAGAAATGACCTGGGCGTAGTGAGTATGCGCGCAACCGTGCCGCAGGAGCGGGGAAGGGAGCGTACATTTTCGTGCTTCAGGTGCTTGAGCAGCTTGAGCTCTCGGTATGTACGCTTGGACAAGACTGGTGTGCTGAAAGGCTTCATTATCTTCTTCACAGCAACGGCCTGTCCTGTGAGCTGATCCTTGGCCGAGCTAAGTGCTGGTCAGTGGTCTGGCCCTGGCACTTTCGCTGTTGTTCCCAAGTACGCACCATACGAGCCCAAAGGCTCCCATGCCCACGGGTTGCAAGTCCGTATATCTAGGCGAGTGTCAGTCCTCGCACATCGCGACTCTTGGTGCGCAGACGCCTCTGTGGCGTTGCCTTCGAGCTCTTGCGACGCACCTGCTCGTGATCTCGAAGGTCGTGCCGAAGATCTGAGCACGCACGAATTCCGCCATGGTGAAGGTGGTTTTGCTCTCGAATCAAGTTGGTGGGGTGGGGTGGAAGGGTGTTGGCGGCTTCGGCGGGTGTCGTAGGTCGTCGCAGGGCGATCGAGTAGCGGGGACGGTAGCGGCTGGGGGGAAGTAGAGCAGAGCGACTGAAGTTGCACGTTCCTTGCGCGACTGCCTCGGACCACGCTGGTGATGGATGGCGCACTCGGTGTTTGTGTGTGGCAGCACAAAGTTCCTTTGTATGGCGGTGTTGTGGCAGTTGGGAATTGCACCAGCAACGAAGTCGTCTTTGAGCCGCTCTCGCGTGCAAGTTAGGTCGATCGAAGATCGATCGCAGGCTCACGGGCCGTCAAAAGCTCTTCAGAAGCTCGTCGCGCTCACGATGGATTGCCACTGGCACGCGGATGCGGAGGCAGAGGGAGTGTCGGAGGGGGAGGATTGTGAGGCTGAGGGACACGGCACGATGGCGACCACGTTTTTGGCTCCTCGTCGCGCTGGTGTGCGGACGGCTTGCCGCTCTTGTTTGCAGAATCGTCGGAATCACTGCAACGTCATAGCAACAGGCCTTCAGCGCGCTTGCGAGTTATCCAGAAAGGTGCCGACCGGGCCAACATCCATAACCACTAATCGCTCGACTTTGCAACCTCACGGGCTCTATCTCTTACGTTCGCCAGGCCAGGCTGTGATATCATTGCTGCTGGCGCAAACACACCAAGGCCCCCATGGCCGCTGCGTTGCTACATGACGAGAATTTCAGCGCTGCCCCTCATCTGCTTTGCCTCTCCACGTCCCACACCCGCCTCCTCCACGCCGCCACTGCCTGCCATACACTCACTTATCAGGCTGCCAGTCCTGACGCTGCTGCTGGTCCTTGATGTGCCCTGCGTCAGACCAGCTGCTATGTCGAGGGCTGTCCCAGGCAGTGTGCGGATGCATTAAACTTTTCGCCCATCGCGACTCAGTGACCGCCTGTTGCAACAATTCCACACATGTGCGAGTAGCGCACTCGCCGGGTCGGAGTGCATGTGCAATGCAGTGCAGTGCATGCGCAGAGCACGTGGATTGGGACCTTTGGGCGTGGAATTTTCCCCATTCGTGAAATCGCCGGGCTCCCACTTCTTACCTGCTTGCTGCCACTCTTGCCGCAAGAAACGCTCATCTGCCGGCAGCAGTGATGCCATTGTGCGATGCCCTGGCTTCGAAGTACACACCTGAAGCTTGCTGCTCGAAACTTCATTTCTGGGAACAGTAGCCATTGCGAAAAAGGGCTTGTTCCGCCGCTCGCCGAACCGCACCTAGGCGACGGGTACGTACTGTCTGACACGTGCGGCGTCACGGTTGTCGCGTGCTCATAGCAGACGATGTGCTATGCTACTAGCGGCACGCGAGGCCGTGAAAAGGTCAGTGGATACGAAACCCGTAGGCGCAGCTGCAATGAGTCCACATGGCGGCGAGAATAATGTACTGTGATAACGGACTGGGCGTGGGCGAGGGCGAGACGCGATGAGCCCTCGGTGTGGCGTGGTTGGGATACGACAAGTCGACGTTCAGGATCAAGACATGCTCGGATTCGCGGCCTACGGCCTACGGCCAGCCGCAATAGCAGTGCCTGTGTTTCGTGATGACAGTGCCTGGGGTGGTCGTCGGGATCGCACCCCGGCATTGCAATGGAGTAGTTTGCACAGGCTCGTTCGTTGATGCAGCAAGCCGTGGCGCAAGAGGTTGCCAGAGTGTTGACCACGTTCTTTTCTCCGCTTAACGTGGCGCGCCGGTATCTAGCGCTCGCTGTGCAGTCTGTGAGAACGCCCAGATCTGCGCCGTCTCCACCTTGGTTAGTCGTGATTGAGTTACCGAGCACAGGCATTATTAGGCATTGCAGACCTTCACACCGACGTCGTACATCCTCCCTCGCCCTTCGAACGCAGCCTCGCCGCCGAAGGCACTCCACTCTACCCTCGACTCCGCCGGCGTGCTTCAGGGCCGCCACTTCGCGCGCCGCAGGAAGCCGCCTCACGCAGCCCATCTGCCGTCTGTGCGCCATACCGTCCGTCTGGAGATCGGAGCTGCATCGACATCATCACCGTGCCCAACCAGCTGCCGCTCCGCCTGCGACACCTTGCGCGATCCCGCCGACGCTGCACCACTGCAGCTGCATCGCCTGCGACCCATCCTCACCACCGACCGGCTCCTCGTCATCTCGCCTGCTGCGCTGTCGACGTCGCGCCGTCCGCTTGGCGCACCGCCGCCGCATCGAGCACGATCACCAGGACACAAAGGACCCGAAGCCACCGAGCGAACAAGCCGCGCGCGCTTGCTGGCCGCATTCCACACGCTGCACCTCTCCACATTTGCCATAGTCAACTATTGAGAGCACTACTCGCACGAGCGTAACCACGCGCAGAGCTGCACATCTGCACTGCCGGAGCTGGCCTCACCACCGACAGCGGTTTGGGGTCGTCCTTGTAATCGCCTGAGCTCGCTGGAGCCGTCGGGCTATCCCGACTTGCATCGCCATGGGCGCGTGTATGAGCAGCGGTGATGCCCAAGATGGGGAACAGAAGAAGCGCAGTCAGGCGATCGACCGAACGCTTGAGGAGGACTCAAAGAAGCTACGTCGAGAATGCAAGATATTACTTCTGGGTACGACAACAGCATTTGGGGCATTGATAGACCGCGCACTGACTTTGTGTAGGATCCGGCGAGAGCGGGAAGAGTACAATCGTCAAACAAATGAAAATCATACATCAGAATGGATATTCAGTGGACGAATTGGCGCTCTATCGCCATACCATTTACAAGAACCTTGTGGACTGCGCAAAGGCTTTGGTTGGTGCTATGCGCCAGTTCGAGATCGAGGTCGAAGACCCGGCAAATCGGGAATTGACTGACTACATAATGGAGTACACAGTCGATCCGGATCCGCAACAGGCGCTGGACCAACGCGTAGGAGAAGCCATTGCAAGCATATGGAAAGATCCCTGCATCGCATCTCTGTTGGACGCGCACGGGAACGAGTTCTACCTCATGGACTCGGCGCCTTAGTATGAGGAAGTATCCGCCTTTGGAGTGTTTATGCTAATCGATATACAGTTTCTTTGACGAAGTCACGAGAATATCAGCACCCGATTATATTCCCACCGAAGCTGATGTACTGCGGGCACGAACAAAAACCACTGGTATCTATGAGACCAGATTCCAAATGGGCCAGCTCAGCATACATATGTTCGACGTCGGCGGCCAGCGTAGCGAACGAAAGAAATGGATCCACTGCTTCGAGAATGTCACGTCAATAATATTCTGCGTGGCATTATCTGAATATGATCAGGTCCTGCTGGAAGAGAGCAGCCAAAATCGGATGATGGAATCTTTGGTTCTGTTCGACTCAGTGGTAAACTCGAGGTGGTTTATGCGGACATCCATCATCCTGTTTTTGAACAAGGTGGATCTGTTCCGAGCCAAGCTGGCCAAATCACCGCTCGGAAACTACTTTCCGGACTATTCCGGCGGAAACGATGTGAATCGCGCTGCGAAATATCTATTATGGCGATTCAATCAGGTCAACCGGGCACATTTAAATTTGTATCCTCAGTGAGTGTCTCGTCCTGGAAAGATTTGTGAAAACATACTAATAGCCGTTTAGCCTTACACAAGCCACGGATACCTCCAACATTCGCCTTGTTTTTGCTGCAGTAAAAGAGACCATTTTGCAGAACGCACTGAAGGATTCAGGCATATTATAGCATATTGCCGAACTTGGCACATTTTCCATTTACAGAGCCATCTGAACTACCTAGGGCGGCGTCAGGACGCATCACAGGAAACCCTTCTTTATGAAAAATACCGGGACATTGCAAGCGGGCGTTCAGCGGGGCAGCCGTCGGGAATCAGCAGCGCAGGTCGAATGCGGCAGAATGGGTTCTGGAACGGAGGTCGTTTGTCTGTTGTGCTACATTGGCATTAGCATTCTATGCCACGGCTCGCGCTTGTATCAGGTTGGAAACGCGATACACGGAAGAGGGACAAAAAGCTGAAGGGGCGCGCTTGCCTTCATATCTTGTGTTGGGGACAAGGCTTCGCAAGCGACGTGAGAGGGCGTTGAAGCATGTCTGCTCTGACGTGAGGAAGTCAGCTTTGACGAGGAACTCGACAATGGCTTACTTCGTAGGTCGGAGGCTTTTCATTGAACACGCCCCGGACTACCAACAAGCGCCGTGAGGACATCTGCAAACGTTTTGCTCGACGAGTACTTTGAGATATATCACATGAGCCTTCGAGAGCGAATGGCATAGCTATCTAATGAATGTTTTTGATGTCCATCTTCGCCTGAAATGGCCGTTCCTGTTTCATGTGGTCGTTGCTGCAGAGGTGGGCCTTATGTGACGCCTGTGCATATTCAGGCCACCGTGGCGCGGCATCCTCCCGACTCGTCCGACAAGCATCGTTCGCGTCTCTCCCTCTCAGCGCATCGCGAACCACCACACGACATCAAGTCGCGCTCTTCACACTGCTCTCCACACTCCTTAGCATACCACAAGTGCCTTTCAAAGCATACGCGACTGGCCTGCACTCTTGTCGCGCATCAGAGGCTCGTGTCCGGGGACAGAGCTGGCTGGGCGCATCACAGCTCCCACTTTTATCCCACCCTCCATAAACAGCCACAATGGACTTCGAATTCGCGAACGAGGATGCCAATGCCCCTGGAGAGGCATCTGACGAGCTGATTCACGCCGAGAACGAGGCCATCGAGACAGGCGCCAAGCAGGAATCGCAGAATCAGGATCAAGACACGTCAATGGTTGAAAACGCGGACGATGCGAAGGCAGAGCAGCCTGCTGCTGAAAAGCCAACATCAGACGACGCGGCGCCAGTATCAGACAATCCACTCGACGCGCCCGATGCGCCCGCACCCGAGAACGCTGAAGAGGGTGGGGAGGATGAAGAGATGGCCGACACTAAGGACGACGCGACTCCTGCGGCGGGAGCTACACCTGCGCCAGCACAAACCAAAGCTGCGACGGAACAGGTTGCGCGAAATAATCTTATCGACCAGAACCATGCCATCATCTTGCCGAGCTACAGCGCCTGGTTCGACATGCATGAAATTCACGCACTCGAACGCAAGGCATTGCCCGAGTTCTTCAACAATCGCAATCGCAGCAAGACCCCAGCTGTGTACAAAGACTACCGAGACTTTATGGTCAATACATATCGCTTGAACCCATCAGAGTATCTCACGGTGACAGCATGCAGAAGGAATTTGGCTGGAGACGTGTGCGCGATCATGAGAGTCCACTCGTTCCTGGAGCAGTGGGGTCTCATCAACTATCAGGTGTGTATTAACGTCAACATGGAGTATTTATCATCTAACGAGGTTTGTAGATCGACCCAGACACTCGGCCTTCAAACATTGGCCCACCGTTTACGGGCCATTTCCGAATCACCGCAGATACCCCACGCGGGTTACAGCCACTGCAACCAGCTGCAAGTACTGTGACAGCGGGCAAGGCGCTCTCAGCCACCGAAAAATTGGCAGCTGGCGGCAAAGCAGATCTCAACCTCGAAGTGCGACGAAACATTTACGATGACAAGGGCAAGGACGTCACACCTGCGAAGACAGAGGGCAGTGAAGCGAATGGAGAGAAGAGCGTTGAAGAGAGCCTCAAACAGGATGGCAAGCAGTATTTCTGCTATTCTTGCGGGAAGGACTGCACTCGTGTGCGGTATCACAACTCCAAAAATCCACCCGCCGTAGCAACGACGCCGAAGCCCAACAAGGACCAACGATATGATCTTTGCAGCTTGTGCTTCCAAGAAGGACGGTTCCCCAGCTCGACCACCTCTGCCGACTATGTCAAGCTTGAGAACGACAACTACCGTAGTGTGGGTGACAAGGAGGCGACATGGACGGACGCTGAGCTTCTGCTGTTGCTAGAAGGTCTGGAAATGTTCGACGATAGCTGGGAACAGGTTGCAGACCACGTCGGATCCAAGACGAGAGAGGAATGCGTGCTCAAATTCCTGCAGCTGGAGATTGAGGACAAATATCTGGAAGAGACACCTACGGCAAATGGCGTCGGGGTTCAGGACCTGGCATATCTTTCTGGGGGCCGATTACCTTTCAGCCAATTCGACAATCCAGTCATGTCTGTCATGGGCTTTCTGGCTGGTCTGGCTGACCCAGCTACCACCGCAAAGGCAGCAGGCAAGAGCGTTGAGGAGATGCGCAAACAGCTCAAGCAACGCATTGAGGCCGAGGCGCCATCAGCTGCCGGTGCAGAGAAAGACAAGTCTGCAGATGCATCTGCCCAGCCGCAAGAAGTCAAGGGCGAGGACAGCATGGACGTCGACGACACCACATCTCTTGCCACTCGAGAACCACCTACATCACACGACTTGCCGACAACAGCCTTGAGCCTGACTGCTGCTCGCTCAGCTGCTCTCGCCTCGCACACTGAACGACAATTGACGAACCAAGTATCTGCAGCTGTCAATTTACAGCTACAGAAGCTCGAGCTGAAGTTGCAACAATTCAGTGAGATGGAAGCGCTCCTTCAGGCAGAGCGTCGCGAGATCGAGCGTTCCCGCCAAAAGCTTTTCCTCGACAGACTGCAGTTCCGAAAACGCGTTCGTGAGACAGAAGCCAGATTCGCAAACATGAAGCTGCAGCAACCTCAGCCTAGCGCTGAACAACCACAACAGCAGAACGCCGTTCCTGAGCAGCGGGAAGCTACCCAACCCACTGAAGCTTCCGGCTCTGGTGCTGGCAGTGAAGCACCTCAACAGCCCGAGCCTACTTCGATCTTCGGGCAAGACAACGGAGACCTGGGTACTGCACCAGAGTCGAACGAGTTTGAGAGCACTTTTGAAGTGATGGAAGGAATGGAGGGAATGGAAGGCATGGACGATTTCCTGAACATGGATGATGTCGAACCTACCCCGGAAGTCGCTGCTGTGCCACAAAATGACACCGATGTCCCCAACTCATTCGAGCCTGTTGGAGAGGACGCGGAAGGGTTCATGAAGCACGATTTGTAGAACGGTCAGCTCTAGCGACCTTGTTCTATTGCGATATGTTTGGCCGTGCGGCCGGTGACAAGGCGAGAATTGCCGGATGGGCAGATGTATGGAAACTTTTTCAATCAGAAAACTTGTATTGTAGTAACGTCTGCGATGCTTTTGAGAAGCATAAAAATATGAGATCTGTATCAGAGTCAATGAGTACTGTGAGAGCATTGTCAATCACGCGGTGCATGGTTCTCAGCAAAACGCGCATTTCATGTTCTATTATCTCCTGTCCTGTCTATGCTAATGGCCGCTGTGCCTCGCAAAAGCTGCGGTCTAGCCAGGCACTCGGCTCTGGCGTGGGTATCGTAAAGACAACTACCAAACGACCCTGAACGTCGTGGTGGCTATCTGTAGCCGTGATGTGAAAGCGTTTCTTTCTGCGACAACTTTTCACGTCATTCTCGCAATTGCATTCGCCCCTGCTTTACTTGAAAAGCTCCCTCAGATCGTCCATGCGAGCCTTGTTCTCTTCCTGCTTACTCTTCTTCTTGTCCATCGAAATCTGAGCCAAAGCCTCTTTCTTTCTCTGCAGCTTCAGAATACCCTCCTCAATTGAATCATTCATGATGAAGTGCTTGATGAAGACGGCACGTGTTTGGCCCAGACGATGGACACGGTCGACGGCCTGTTGCTCCACGCCGGGATTGAATTGGGGTTCCATCACGTAACACTTGTTCGCAGCTGTGAAGTTGAGACCTTGTCCACCTGCTTTGATGGAGACCAGCATGACCACGCAGTTCTCGTCAGTCTTGAATTGTTCCATTGCAGCTGTACGCTGTTTGATTGACATGGAACCGTCCAGACGTGCGTAGCGAATACCCTGGCGATCGAGGGCATACTCGATGAGGTCCAGGTAAGAAGTCCAGCCGCTGAAGACTACAGATCTGATCGGAGGTTCGCCTTCTGGCAGGGCACGCGTCTCGGCGGCAGACTCTTCGAGGTCGGCAAGAAGTGCTTGGACCTTGGTATGTGGGCCGCCGTAGCTGTCTGCATCCCACTTCGCACCCATCGCCTGATTCTCAGTCCGGTTTTTCTCGTCCAAATGCTGCTCCAGTCCGCGGCGGAAGAGTGGCTTCATACCCATTGGCTGGTAAGCTTCGTCGTATGGACACTTGTGCCAACGATCAGCATTCATGCTCTTCGTGCACTCCTCGACATGTTCTGGCGCGCACTTGGGACAGATCAGATGGAAACATCTCGTCAGATACCCCAGAAGATTTTCTTCCTCGTCCAGCTCGGCGACTGGCTCTGGAGTAGCCTGATAGCTTGCTTCGCTGTCTTCTTTTGTGAGATCAACGACTCCCTCCGGTGACTCCTGCTTGCCGAGCTTGGTAGCACATGAAGCACAAGTGTCTACTTCACTGTCTTGCATAACCTTGAGCAGTCCATAGGCTTGACTATCAGGAGTGAAGTCGTTCTCATCTGCAAGTTCAGGCTCGTCTCCAATGTCAAGGATAATGGCGTTACTCGGATCGTCGCCTTCGATTTCCTTCATGTCCTCTTCGGTCAACATCTCTCGGCCGTGGGCGCAAATCGCACGCAAACGGCCGATAGATTTCAGGACATGCGCGTAGGCCTTGCCACGCAGCTGGTTACCACCACCAGTGATATTATGGAAATGGGTACGGCAAGTGGTTGCAAATTGTTTGTACAAGTGTCGCTCAGCCTCGGTGAATTCGAGCCGGGTGATCTCTTCTGTGCGGTCCAGTAGGCCAATTGTCTGCTTGCCACGACGCAGAGTGATGCTTCCAACCAGGAGTTGAAGCTGTTGGATCACATTGGTGTCACCGTTCTTGAAGGGCGACATGATGTATTGTGTCCATGTCTGTGGATGGTCCAGTGGATGAATACGCAGGAACTTGATCAAGGCACCAAGATCGTAGAGCGAGTTCTGCACAGGCGTGCCCGTGACTGCCCATCGCCGCTGCGCATAAAGAGCACAGCAGGCCTTCGAAACTTTTGTGGTCTGCGTACGAATCTGATGGCCTTCATCAAGCACAACACGGAACCAATTGATCCTGCTCAGAGCTTTCTTGGTTCGATTACCATCACTGAACTCTGAAGCGGCTGTGTTATAGGACGTGAGCACGATGTCGTACTTGGCCAACTTGCTCGTGTCTTGCATACGATTCGTTCCATGATAGACGTAAAAATTCATGCTACCAGCGACAGTGTGTGTCGCAATCTGCTCTTGCCAATTGGAGAGCACAGACTTTGGGCAAACGATGAGAGTGGCACGGCCGTTGCGGTCCAGATCGTCCGCCTCGTTGGGTCGTTCCTGCCGGAAACGGGATGCAGCTTGTTTCGTCGCTGCGATGAGTGACAGTATACTCAAAGTCTTGCCGAGACCCATCGAGTCGGCCAAAATACCACCTTGAATTGGTGCTGGTTTCTCGTGTACCTCTAGGCCAGTAATGACATGGTACCATGCAGGCTTTCCGTTGTCCTTTGGTCGATACTTCCAGAGTGAGTGACTAGGAATTTCGTCGCCTTCATAGTCATCGCGCTCGTGGGTAAGCAAAAAGTTGAGCGCTTGCTTCTGGTGAGGCATCAAAGAAGTCTTGATAATATCCGTGTTACTCTCCATTTCTGGCAGATCCTCCTCCTTTGCTAGTTTGTCGAACATCGAATCTGCTTCGCGCCGCATCTCTTCAGCAGTACGCTGGACGTGGTGCCCACTTGCTGGGCCTTGCTGCCTCTGGGTCGAGTTGTTGTTGGCAGCTGGGGTGTAAAGCGGGCGGGCATCATGAGGGTTCTCGACTGGCCTGCCTTGCCATTGAGTTGGCGTGCGGAGGAAGAGCTGCCTCTGCGAGAGCCACATGCCAACTCTCTTCGACAGCTTACGAGGTGTGAATACGGTGACGACCATCTTCAGCGATTGAGACACTTTCATACCGGGCGACTCATTTCGTCGATTTCGACTGAGCAAGATCATCTTCAATCGCATCTTGTTGACTGAGTGACCCTCGATCAGCGGGCCTAAGGCCGAGCCTGCTTTGAGATCCAAGTTGCCGAATTTTGCGTTCGCGTGGTCGTACAGATCAATGATGTTTCCGGGGCCGCTCTCCTTTCGGTATGTGACTCGAATCAGTGGCCAGCTGCTTTTCGGGACGCTGTTCATTGCTGCTTTGGATGCGCTAGGGACGCGAAAAACATTGCAATTGGTGTCCAACATCCCAAGGCAGACCTCTTCGTCTTCCTCGGCCTTCGAAGTTGTGATTTGCCGAGATCCCTGCTCAACTACTTCATCATCGTCTTTGGTAAGATCGATCGCATTGTTGTCGGTAGACTGATCGGCAGCGATGTTCTGACGCTCCTTCTTAAGGTGCTCACTGATCGTGCCGCCTTTACCAATCTGAGTCGAGTGAATCTTCGCCTTCTTGCGCTCTTCTTCATCGTCTTCCGCGGCAAGAGTCTTGCGCTTCTTGATCGGAGCATCATCACGCTCCTGGACGCCGTTGAGGTTCTCGATCATGCGCGCCATGTTGACCTCAGTGTCGTTAGCGTCTGCCGCTCGAGCTTGCGCGGTTTCGCCAGGAGGTACTGTCTTGGCCATGGCGGCTTTTGGATTCAGGAGTGCCAGTGGATTGTAGGACGCCTGCGGGACTTGTGGCCCTTGGTCCGAGGCATTCGTCGGCTTGCGAGTCTGCTGCGGGCCTGGGAATGTCAGAAACGGCCGTTGCTGGTAACCGCCGACCGTGGGCGGTGAGAGGTGGTTGAAGTCATTTTCGTTGCCCACGGAAGGTGCCTCGAAAGGGCGATCAAACGAGCCCATGATCTGGTTTCAGACGCGCAATGAAGTGGCGCCTGTCACCACTCTTGGTGATAGACTTGGAGGTATGTGCAAGGGGTGATGGTACTGATCAAGGGTGGGTGTAATGATCAGCCATGGAGCGAGTGCGGAAGTCAAGGCAGAAATCAAAATGAGGTGTTTTGTTGAGCTTCAACGACGACAGTGGTTCGGCTGTTGAACCTGGCACATGATCGTTTGACGTGCCGCCGGCTTCATGTGAGAACGCGTAATTTGATGCACGCGCGATTGTTCAAAGTGAAGTGAAGTGAAGCAAGGCTTGGCAATGAAGGTGGTTGCAGAGCACAACGTACCATGATTAGGCGTCTTTTTCGCGGCCTTTGCCTTTTCTTTGGCAAAGGCCTTCGGATTCAGGAGCTGTCGCGGATCCATCACTTCAATGCTCACAGTCAGTCTGTCGATTGCGATTCGGCGTGGCGTAAGCGGGTCATCGAAGTAGCTCGGCGATTCGCGATANGCCACCACTCCTGGTCAAAATTGGACATGACGAGTGGCCGTCTGCAACTTAAATCCTGCAGGAGGAGCGTAGTCGTGGAAGATAAAGTGTAGTCGATGGACTTGATGAGACTCGTGAGAGATGGGATGGCCAGGAACGGGTGGCGTGGAGGCTAGCGCGAAGCACGGACTGATATGAAACCTCAGGCATCCAAGAGACAGGTCAGGAAACCACGACAGAAAGTGACCAAGGAACAGAAGGGACAAAGATTTCGAATTTTTTAGCCTACAGCTATGGTAGAAAGTACTTTTTGAACCCAAGCTGCAGCCTCCATACACCGTCTTACATTTTTGCCCCTGACAAAATTCTGCATCCGCCACAACAGCAGCACCTGTAACGGTGCTAGAAATCCATCCTGACATCAGGAAGTGCTCTTTGACGAATGCATATGAGTTGCATGGAGAAGCTTTGATCAAAGCGAGGGTGACAGATCCGGTGCAGGGCGAGCCACATCAAGGGGCATTCGGCGGGGGAACCAGTGTGTTCGTAAGGGGAGGTTGGTCTCTAGTGGGATGCTTTTGGTGTTGTTGAAGAAAGTGACTGCTGAGAGGAGAGTGTTGAGTAGGAAGCCGTATCAGAAGAGACATCGCGACCATACAATCAAGTATTCGGGCCGGTACAATCAAGCATCCGGACCGTACTTCTGTACGATGAGTTGACGCAGCTCGCGGTCGAAGTCGGTATGCGCAGTGGCACACGCGGGGAGAGCGCAGCAGGCTTTGCCCTCGATGGTGTTCTTGCAAGTCTTGCAGTGGCACTCCTGGAGGGACACAATATCCTGCAACTTGTAGCTACGAGGAGTGAGTCGGTGACTGGCATGGAGCTTGTCGATCAATGGCATGATGTCCTGAGCCAAGCGTGAGACGCTGTAGGTCCCCTTCGAGAAGATACACTTGTTGATGCGCTGGTGTACGATGACGAGGCTGCGTAGCATTGGCGAAGCACTCAAGTCCGCCACCATGCATTTAGCCTTCTTGGAGCCCTCGAGAATGACACTGGCGTGCTTGAGAAAGACCAGAGCACTTGGCCCGATCTTGCCAAGGCTCTTGAGCATGCGAACCGACTCCGAACTATGGAAGTCGAAGCGGTTGCTGCCATAAAGCACTGCCTTGACCGTATGGTAGAAGTACTTGTTGACCTGCATGAGACTCGACGCGTCAGAGTGGGGGCTCATTTGAGTCTCGCCCTCTCCAGCCTCGTCATCTGATGGCCCCTTGGATGCTGGCTTGAATGTGTCTCGAACAAGGCGGCGAGGTTGGCTCTTCGGATGGTAGAGCTTCAGACTGATTGGGTCGGCTTCGATGGCCAAGAGCGATGCAATCTCGACATGGACTTCAGGTGGCAGGTCGGAGAACTCAAGTGGCTGGCTGTTGACCGTCTTGAAGCGGCGCTGTCCACGCTGAATACCCTTGGCAATGGCGCGCTATCAGAATCGTCAACAGAGAACCATAGCTCAGTGGCACATGACTCACGAGGTCAAAGGAACATGTCTTGCGGCCATTCTCATCATAACCCTGGACCCTACCGCCGGGAAGAACGAGCAGAGACATTGCGTCAACGAGGCGACGGTGGCAGACTCGGGGACAGGTCGCGCTGAGAAGGCAGATTGAGGTTTACCGTCCGGATTATGATCACAGAATATTCTGTTACTCGCTAGTATGCGAACGCTGTTCAGTGTGCGATCGAAAAGACTAAGGGCATTGGCCAGTGGGTCTCTGGGAAGGGAAGGGCCGTAGGCCAAGCACTTGCATGGCATGTGAAATTGTCGGGGACCCAGCTAGGTCCGACCGAGCATGCATAGGGGGCAGGCAATGAAGGCGAATAGCAACAACATCGCGGACCCATAGCCCATAGCCCTATCCATTCGGTGTGTTGGCATACCCAACCGTACACTCACAGCTTCGAAGTGTCCAGCAGTACTAGAACCTTTCGGCCACCATGGAGAGCCTGCGAGAGTGTTCTATGCGGCTTGTGTTCCACCAGGGATACTCTTCTCAGTTTGCACATCACGGAATGCCACATTCATTGGCACAATGGCGGTGCTCATGGACTGCGAGAATCGTTCGTCGGAAGTCTCCGAGCAAGCGTACGCGGAGTCCTGAGCCCTCCACGTTCCCTGACCGTTTCTGCAGATCTCCACCGCCCATACGTCCCAGAAATACCGATCGGACCTCGTACGAACATCTCGAATGTGACGACGCATCGTCGTGGGCTTCGCCGGGAGAATTTACGCACATAAGTGCTGCGCGGGACACGTTCCGACCTGTGTTAGACAGATGGCTCCATTGCTTGTGTGCACGAGTGCTCCTTCCATGTGCAGAACTCTGGGTTGGACCGTGGGATTGAAGCTACCATTCGCTGTACTGCTAAGCATTTGGATCAGCGCAAATGCTGGCGGGAGATCGGGCCCTTCACGACATGAATTCATCTGAGAACTATGCTCCCCTGAAATTCACCTTCATGATGAGACGTGATGCGATGTCGAACTGCAAGACAGAAACAGAGGCAAGAGCAAGCAAGGACGAACAAGTGTTGTGCAGATACCAAACAGGGATCACGCATCCCTTGGCGGCCCGGCGGGATCGACGCACGACGCTTGTGTTGGGTTTGGCTAACTAGACCCTTCCACATACAGGACCAGGGTGACTGCTGTCAGCTGCGCTTCTTCACGATGATGAAGTCGCGTCCAAACGCCTCTTCATGAAGTACACTTGAGTATCAGCAACCATGGTACGGTATGGATATCTGTCGGCCGCACATCGAACCAGCGAACCAGATGGTCAAAGCGGCTCTCGCGTGCGCGCCGATCACACCTCGGTTTTAGCCTGCAAGCCACATCATGTATACTTTTTACGGAGCAGCTTGGCAGGGTGGCTGCTTGTAGATCCACGGACGCGCTGAGGACGTGGTGTTTCCTCTGCGCTTCTCACGTCTATCATGAACTAATCGCATCTTTCTATCTCTTGGTCATTTCGTAATTTGTCCTCTTGCAGGCAGGAGGCTCGTACCGAGGATGTCGAACCGGCAGTCCTACAAGCTGTTGGAGAATGGGGAGGATCCGGATGGCGAGGAGTTTGGACTTGCTGACAAGCCAGTCAGCGAGAAAAGGAAGAAGTTTCTGGAGTCTATGCAATCATTCAAGACGCTAGTTGGATACACGCAAGAGCGACAACAAGACCTGCAAAGGAGGACGCCAAAGTCTCTGTCCTTACTATGGAATTGCTGGACATGGGTCTTCATCGTTTCGGCATTCCTCATGGTGGTTGTGGCGGGGGCCTTCTTCACGGACGTGTTCGGCGATGGCCCAAGAGAAGACGTTCTACAATACATTGACCCTCTCATTGGTACTGGACCTGGTGGCCATGTGTTCGCTGGGGCAACATTGCCGTTCGGAATGGCAAAGCCAGTGGCGGATGTAGTAGGGGAGAGGATGGGAGGCTTCGCTTCAGATCAGACTCCAATTACTGGCTTCTCGTCCTTACACGACTCTGGAACTGGAGGATCGCCGTCGATGGGCAACTTCCCGATCTTTGTGCAGCCATCATGCCCGAACGTTACAGATTGCAAGATGTACAAGACTGTGCGAATGACCCATTATGTGCCTGAGTCTGTATCAGCAAGGCCGGGCTATTTTACCATAGACTTGATCTCTGGCGTACGTGCTGAGATGACTGCAGGCGAGAGAGCATCTCTGTTCAGGTTCACGTTTCCCAACGCAACGAACACATCAGATCCCGTACTCCTCCTAGATGGCTCAGATCTGCCTGGGAGTAATGGTGAAAGAATTATGGAAGTCGACCCAGAAACTGGCCGTATCAGAGCGCATGGTACCTTTAGGCCTTCGTTCGGCGTTGGAGATTACAAGAACTACCAGTGCGTGGACTTTGGAGGAGCTGAGTTGCAAGATACTGGTGGCTTCAACAATACCGTCTTTCCTGGCGGGCAAGTCATGGCTGGCAACAACCAATTCTACGCGCCCAAACAAGGAGTTTACGTTCGCATGAAGGAGATGCAGCCAGGTGACGAATTGCTAGTACGCGTTGGTCTGTCCTGGTTGAGCACTGAGCGGGCCTGCGAAAATGCTGAGAAGGAAATCAAGGACTGGAAATTTGAGCGTCTGGTCAAGCAAGCAGAGGATGCATGGAGAGAGAAGCTGAGTCCCATCAGACTGGAAACAACAGGCGTGGACAAAGGTCATCTCAGAAACTACTGGAGCGGAGTTTACCGAGCCTTCCTGAGCCCGCAGGACTACACTGGCGAGAACCAGTTGTGGAACTCGACCGAACCATACTATGACAGCTGGTACTGCATCTGGGATACTTTCCGTGGCGTGCACCCCTTCTACATGCTTGTCGATACCATCTCCCAATCTCGCATGGTACGATCTCTGCTTGACATTTACAAACACGCTGGATATCTGCCGGACTGCCGCATGTCTTTCTGCAAAGGTTTCACACAGGGAGGATCTAATGCAGATGTCATTCTGGTGGACTCATTCATGAAGAAGCTGAAAGGCGTAGACTGGACACAAGCATATCAAGCAATTGTGAAGGACGCCGAGGAGCAACCACTAAACTGGGACATCGAAGGGCGTGGAGGTCTCGAAAGCTGGAAGACACGCGGATACATTCCCTTCCGCGACGAGGATCATGGCGGTACCCGCACCCGCTCCATCTCTCGAACAGTAGAGTATGCCTACAACGACTTCTGCCTCGCTCAAATGGCCAACGCAACAAACCGTGGCGAAGATTACCAGAAATACGCCGGCCGCGCAAGCAACTGGAAAAACGTCTACAACCCGGACGAAGAGTCCATGGGCTTCAAGGGCTTTCCCCAACCACGTTGGCCGAATGGTACCTTCGGCTGGCAGAATGCCACTCTCTGCTCCGCCCTCAACAATTTCGATGGCTGCTACCTCAATCCCTCCGGCCACGAAACCTACGAGGGCAGTCCCTGGCTCTACCTCTTCTATGTCCCGGGCGACATGCAAGGCCTCATCGACCTCTTAGGCGGAAAAGAAGCCTATCTCGCCCGCCTCGACAAACTGCACTCATCCGGAGTTCTATACATGGGTGACGAACAAGCCTTCCTCACCACTTTCCTCTACCACTACGCCGGCCGTCCAGCCCTCTCCGCTAAGATCACACACCACTACATCCCCTCCATGTTCAACGATACGATCGAAGGTATCCCCGGAAATGACGACAGTGGGGCAATGGGAACATTTGTCTTCTTCTCCATGCTCGGTATCTTCCCCTCCGCAGGACAGTCTGTATACTTCATCATTCCGCCCTTCTTCCCAAGCGTGAGTATCAAGAACCCGCAAACTGGCAAAACGGCCACGATTCGGAATGTGAATTTCGATCCTACGTATAAGAAGATTTTCATTCAGAGTGCGAAATTGAATGGAAAGAAGTATACCAAGAATTGGCTTGATCATATGTTCTTCTTGGAGGGTGGGACGTTGGATTTGGTGTTGGGAGAGACGGAGAGTGAGTGGGGGACAAGACAAGAGGATGTACCGCCAAGTTTGTCGACGGGGTTGTATTTTGGATGAGAAGATATTCGACGAAGTTTGATGTGATGTGTTGGTGGCTTGTAGATGATTGGAATACAGTACGAGTAATGCGAGAGTGTTATGTAAATCTCATAATTTGAATCAAGTCAAATGTAGACGGAATGATGATAAGCTACTCGTCGATGCATAAGCCGCGAGGCATTGGATTACACGATTGTCATAGCTAATCTTGCGCTGCTACCCAGACATTGATGCCGACTTGGACGACAACGCACTGGCTCTTATGCCTTCGGCGCCTCTCTCCTCCCTCTTCGTTCACGTCTGAAACATCCAAACTCGCCCTTTGTGCCTTCCCTCAACTTCTTAAGAATACCACGCATCTCCGGCAACTCGCCCTGTAGTTTGGCTCTTGCATCGTTATCCGTTCGTTCATCTAGCGCGAGATAGATCTGACTCTGCACTTCACCGGCTCTATCGGTTGTGTAATTGTTCAGCGTCTGCGCCATGAACTCAACATCCAGCGTTGCTTGCATCAAAGCGGGCAAAGTATAATGCTTTCGCTGCTTGAAAGCATTGATCAAAGCCACAGAACACTGCTCAAGCATAAAGCTCAAGATCTGATTCGTGAGAGTGCTGGTCGTGGCAGAGGTGACCTCCGCATGGACTAGGACGAGTGCAATGAGTACATCGTACACGTATGCTCGAGCGTCTATGGGACGAGGTGTAGCAGGCTCCCAGCCCTTGGATACGATTCCGTTTGTGATCGTCGCAGTAAGGTCGTCCACGAGAGGCTTCACATAGGCTTGGAATAGTCGGGCATCAATTTGCGCAAGCACGTCTCTAATGGTCTTGCTTTCCTCCGTCAGCTTGACGCTGAATGCTGACTCGAATTGCGAGATGAGCTGTGGTATCACTTCACTCCGCAAGTGATTCAAATTTGACAATGTGATCAACATGCGTTCATTTCGATTCGATGCGTTGAGAGGCTCGGAGCCAAGTGCTGCTGCGCCGTCCATATCAACCTGGCGGTAGCGCGCAATAGTGATGCCATCTGGATCCGCGTCCTCGTTGAAATCAGAGGCATCTCTGTTGCTCCTCTCGGCATTCTCCACCATTCCATTGAGGCCCTTGTAGAGACTGGTCACGAATGTGCTGCGGATGGCCTGCAACAGCTTTGCAGAGGGAGGCACGATCACGTCGCCACTCTTAGTTGACGCGTCCGAGATGTATGCAATCTTCTGCACGTTGCTCAGCACTTTGTCGAACCAAGCCTCAAAGTAGCTGGGTAGCAGAGTCAAATCTCTTCGCTCGGGACTTCTGGTCCAGCTTTCAAGCACCTTGCACTTCTCGGCATCACTGCTCCAAGAAGCACAAATGCCAGTTATGCAGCGCTCCCGTGCCGCTGCAAGGGTGTTCTTCAGCTTTTCGGGCTCGTTGGACATCTTCACGGTGCTCATAGCCGCCATCTCTCCGAACGCAGTACCAGTAATGGCAATCAGTCGGGACAGGTAGAAGGAGCCGGACAAGGAATTTGCACCTGGTGGCCAGAACGCGTACGTCTCCCATGCGTTTCCCACCTTTGGGCTTGGTTCAGGAATGTTCTGTGGATCGAAGGAAAAGCTTCGCGATTTAACGCCGGAGATTGGTGTCTTCGCATCAGGCGAAATTGGCGTCGGTGGGATTGGGCTGTACAACAGGCTTATATCATCCACAGGGGCATCTTGGAAGAATGCGTTGGCGTTGTCTCGTAACAGGGCGACCATTTCAAGCGCTTCCTTACGGATCGCATCAATATGCTCTTGGGACAATTGCAGATGCGTGTAGTCCTGCATTGCGAAGACAGCCGTTGGGAATGCTTTCTGAGCTTTGTTATCGACGAATGACTGTGCACTTTCATGCCAGTCGATAACTTCGCCCAGTATGCCATTCTGCAGTGACAGGAGACTGTTGACTGAACTCTGTACCTTCTCCCAGAAGGAGAGAATGTTCTCAGTATCGAGATCGCGCGTCGCATGACCAGCAAGGCGGACATTCGTGCTATTAGCAGAGGCAGCACGAAGGTGTTTGGCGAGCGCGATTTCATCAAATCTCGTGTTGGCGGCCAATCTCCGACGCTGGATCTCAATCTCAATTCTACTCCGTTCGAATGTTCGAGCAATCTTGTCCTTCAGATAGAGGTAGCGACTGTTGATCCAGACCCAGATGGGGTTCTCCTCAGCGCCGAGTTGCAGCAGGATGGCGATGAGTTCCATGTGCAGCTCTCGATCACTCTCCTCTGCCACACTCGCAGGCCTTCGGCCATGAGAGTTCTTCAGTCGTCTCCAGATCTCCTTCTTGAAATCATTGATCTGGTCATTTACCGCATACCACATTCGTGCTGTTACAATGATCTGCTGTACGTCCGCATCACCGAGCTCCATTTCGTTCTCTTTGGCAATTGCAGCAATATCGCGAGCCTTATCCGCGTGCTGCTTCGCCTGTCTGTAGGCGGCCACGACCGAGTCGTAGTCGTTCTTCTTGATCGCCTCATACACCGTTCCCGGGAGGCGGAATATTTCCCGATGTTGCTCCAGTGAGCCCAGCACTGCTTTCAAAGTCTCCTCCTTTTCGTGACCACCGAGCGCAGGGCCCCAGACCTCTTCCGCTTTGATGGCGAGTTCCTGCAGAGGCTGTTTGATGCCCTGCACGCCATATTCGGACTCCTTCGTCAACGCATTTTTCTTCTTGTCCATGTATGGGATTTTGTTCTGGCTGCCAAAGGGACCGCTGGTGTTTCTGAAATGACTCTGATTCTTGCTCGTCTGCCGCGAATGTGGTCGTAGGCCTGCGCCGAGCGAAGGCATCTGCGATAGCCGCGACGGCTCCACGCCCTGCGTCCTCATTTCCGTGTATACCGTGTCTATCGTCGCCTTTGCGCGCACGAAGCGCTCAAAGTTACTCTCGACCAACACCTTCAGACTCGCCGACTTCTGCTCAATACTCCTGCTCAGAAAGTCGAGCCCGCGCAGCAGGTCTTCGGTACTAGCCTGCTGGTGCACCTGGGACAGGTAGAGCGCCGGATTGAATGTGGTGCTGGAGGTCATGAACTTGTTGCGGAGCGCCAGATTGTCCTCGACTGGGAGTCCTCTCTTGCGCAGCTCTGCGGCTACCGAGGGGGCCACGCCCAGAGCGTCCGGCTCGTCCTTTTGCACACCCGCATCGCTGGTAGCGGTCTTGCTGGTGATGCTGCTCTTCAGACTGGCATGGCGATCGATCTTCTGGAAGCGCGAGTTCTTTCGGGCGTGGGCTCGGACTGGCGTCTGTTCCTCATCGGACTCGTCTTCGTCGTCCTCGTCGTCATCGTCCTGGTGCGGCCATTCGGTGGGATAGAGGGAGGTGAGCTTGTACTTGTTGAGCAGCTCGCGCTCCGTGTCGGCCGATATGGGCATGGCGAGCGCGGGCGAAGGCAGCTATAGGGCGAGCGGGCAGGCGAGAGGTCGATAGCAGCAGCTATCCACGGCCGCGTCCCAGGATTGAGATGTGCACAGGCGAAGGTTCCACGCGCGCGGCATTGGGATTGGCCGGTCACAGCCTCACATACATTGACACGCCGACTCCCTGCTGCACGGCGTCTGTACTACACAAGTGTGCTTGTCTCGGTCGTGAAGCAATACCATAGCACACCGTAGCTGCACACCGGCTTGACGACCAAAGCAGAACGTCGGCCGGCGTGGTGTGCGGCGCAAGTTCCATGGACCATCAAGTCCCGCCGTTTTATGCCGACGAGAGCGCATCCAAGCCCAGCAGCGGTCGTTTCCGGCATCCGCTGTCGCTTGACTTTGCACATGCACGAAGTCTGTTGCCCGCGAGCTGTTGCTACTGCTGCTAATCTTTGCTTTTCACGACCGCGCCATTTCCCACACCCACGCTCCCTCTCGGTCTCCCGCAGTCGCATTGAGTGACTGAAGCCTCCGCAGTGGTCTTCTGCACACCGTCGCAAGGATGTTGGCGAGGGGAATCCGGGCTGCGGCGCCGCGGCAATGCTTCAAGGTTGCGCGACCAGCTTTTGCTCAAGTACGCTGCCACTTTTGCTGGACTGGCAGTGCTCTGTCGAGGCAGCTTCAGTCACTAATTTAGCTGCTACAGTTCGCGCCACGAAGCTATGCCACCGCTGCCGAGGACAGAATCGCTAAATTCCCGGGCCAGAAAGGCTCAGATGTACGTGCATAATCGAACACATGTCAGAAGGAGGAATGTTTATACTCACGCAACGGCGACGGATAGGGAAAGTACACAGTATCGCTCATCGAGGGTGATGGCATTGGACCCGAGATCTCGCAATCCGTCAAGGACATTTACAGCGCCGCGAACGTCCCCATCAAGTGGGAACCAGTCGATGTTACCCCAATCCTAAAGGACGGCAAGACCGCCATCCCAGACGAGGCGATCGACTCCATCACACGAAACTACGTTGCCCTTAAGGGTCCTCTGGCCACACCTATCGGCAAAGGTCACGTCTCACTGAACCTGACCCTCCGAAGGACATTCAACCTGTTCGCCAACGTGCGACCTTGCAAGAGCATCGCAGGCTACAAGACCCCATACGACGATGTGAACATCCACCTTATTCGTGAGAACACCGAGGGAGAGTACTCTGGTATTGAGCACGTTGTGGTCGATGGTGTCGTGCAATCCATTAAGCTCATCACCCGAGAAGCCTCCGAGCGTGTCCTTCGCTTCGCCTTCCAATACGCACAAGACATTGGCAAGCCAAAGGTCCGTGTGGTGCACAAGGCCACCATCATGAAGATGTCCGACGGTCTCTTCCTGAACCTCGCAAAGGAGATCGCCAAGGAGTTCCCCAACGTTGAATTCGACGCCGAAATGCTCGACAACACCTGCTTGAAGATGGTCACCGACCCCCTGCCATACAATGACAAGGTCCTCGTCATGCCTAACCTCTACGGTGACATTCTCTCCGACATGTGCGCCGGTCTCATCGGTGGTCTCGGTCTCACTCCTTCCGGAAACATTGGTGACGAGTGCTCCATCTTCGAAGCCGTGCACGGTTCCGCTCCCGATATCGCAGGCAAGGGCCTCGCCAACCCAACTGCCCTGCTCCTCTCCTCCATCATGATGTTGCAGCACATGAACCTCACACAACACGCCGCACAAATTGAGAAGGCCATCTTCAAGACTCTGGCCGAGGGCAAATACTTGACTGGTGATCTTGGAGGCAAGGCTAAGACGCACGAGTACGCTGATGCGATTATCAAGAACTTGTAGATACGATGTTTTGAAGAAGAAATGAGATCATAACAACACCCGCTGGCATTTGGTTTGGTTCACTTTTTGTGAGTGAAGGCATGAAACGCATATGGCTTGGGCGTTCTTCTTCTGTATCATAAGCTTTGGTTTTTCTGGTTGTGATAGACGAGAGAGACAGAAAGTCGAGACTCCTACTGAATGCAGAGATGAGTTACAGAAGACCTGCCTTTCCTTGAAGTTATCGGGCCGAATGCATTGTGTGAATGAGGAGTTGGTGGCCCGTGCTCATTCGCCATGTGAGTATACATATCGTACGACGGTGCAAGTGCCCGCGAAGAGTATCACAGACTGCGATACAATACGCTCAGACTGTTAGCTCCGCGTTCCACAGCCACGATGACAGCGTACACCAGCATTTCTAACTCGAAACTATGTAGCTCAGCGCAGTCCTGTATTATATCAGTCGGCGTCCAAAGATTGATATGAGGTATTCCGGATTCATACGTTTTGCAATTGAGCTTCGAATCTGGAGACTTGCGCGGCAATACATGCGCAGAAGTCATTACATGTCGGCGCGGTCTCTTACGGGCGTCAAAAATGGCCCAAATCCATCGTGACCACTCCACACAATCTCATGACATGTCCATCTCATCGCTAGCTTGTCCTCTCTTCTGCCGATCTTCAACTCTCTTCTTCGTAGCAGCCTTGCCGTCTTCAATCCACTTGTCGTACGTCCCGTCTTTGAGCTTCTGCCCAGCAACGCCTTTCATGAGCTCGCCGACGAAACCAACGAAGTTATGTCGCCTCAGCGCGTTCTCCCACCTCCAGTCGCGTCTCTTCTGCTCCTCCCTAGCCAGCCACTCCTGGTCACCAACCTCTCGTGCTCTTGACCTTAAGTCCTCACACATCGCGAGCAGATTGAAGCGGATTTCTGTCTGTGGGTATCGTTCTATCCGCTTCTGCAACACAGGCATGACGGCGTCAGAGAAGATCTCTGGTGGACAGGCTCCCGCATCGCCGTGTCTGATCGGTGCAGGCTGAAGTCCATCAAGCTCGTAGAGTGTGCTGTTGATGCTCGTGTAGGCGATGAAATGGTAGACATCGTCATCGGCGGTCGCTAACCGTGTCTCGTCGGATACGAAAGGCGATGATCGGGCGAAGGAGTTGTGTGTTTCGCGAATGAGGTCTGAATTCGACAAAGCTTCGCCACGGAATTCGGCTGGAAAAGATGCAGTGAATTCCTTGAAGTCTTTCAAGTTTTGTCCAATCTCTACGCCTCCATCTTCCTGGTTGTCTTTATTGAGAAGAACGCTGAGAAGAGCTTGTGTGCCGCATGCATTCTGTATTGTCTGCGCTGCAAACCAGACTGGCTCTTCTTGATTCTCCAATGCTCCGTAGTCAAATTCGCCATCTAGTGGAGCATCTTTCTTGGGCTTCTCGTCGGTGGGATATTTGAACAGGAAGATGACTCCTATCGGGTTGAGCTGCTGGAGTGATTCCGCGTCCAGCGAAATGAGCTCTTCGAACTGTACATTCTTGACGCCCAGCGATTCGATGAGGTAGGTGAAGACGCCCTGATGCCATTAGCGGTGCATCAGCGCGGGGAGTGGGAAAGGCAGTACGGCATCGCTCTCGATGGTGTTCCAGCCGCCGGACATGGTAGTGCGCTGTGCCTGGCCTGGTCGTCGATCGGATGTCGGAAGTGGTTGTCGGGCTTGCTAGGGAAGACGCGATCATCGGAAAGACGTCGCGCCAAGACGTGAAGCTGCGAGCTTCACAAGAGTGACGTGTGTGGCATGTCTTCTTGCCTCTCCGACCTTGCGCAAGCGCTGCATGTGAACGACGCTATCCAACTTCTGCATCCCGCTCTGCCATCATTTATCACCTCAGTGAGCACTCGCGACCATCGAAAGAGCCTCCCTACACACGACGCGGTAATTGACGACTTGACCCCAGTGTCTTCCGACAGCCAGCTCGAGTTCCTCGCGCGACCGAACAGTGAAGCAGACGACATGTCCTACGCCGCAGCAGCCGCGCCTCATGGCAAGGAGCAGGAGCAATCTCTCGAAGAGGTGAGTTGATATCTACCACGTCACTACATTTTGCTCATTTCTAACAATCATGATAGAAGTACGTGTATTCCCTTAGCATGGGCTTAGGCCATTGAGCACGAGTGTTTGGGCTTGACGAAACTCGCGATCAGTTGCTCATCTGCGCGGCGTGAAAGCTTTTATACCGCCTGATGACTCCTTCATGGCGATTGAGAGCTCGAACGGCCCAGGAACGCACTACGATCGTGGATACAGTCAGTGAACCAACAAGGTTCAGGATGCGACGGAGCTGTGCTCGTTGCGTCCGCCCAGCATCACTGCTCAGTAACCAGCCTCACATGGCGCCTTGCGCAACTAACATGCCATCGCAGGGTCCCAGATGCCATTCCAGAGATCCTTCACGAGGATTCAGGCGTACACTCTCTCGAATCGCTGAAGTCATCGAACGAACACCTCCAGTCTCTGCCATCAGACTCGTCGTATGCCGGTCAACAGGAAGCGGAAGAACGCGCCGAAGAGCTCCGACAACAGGCGAAGCAAGCAGGAGATAAGCTCGACAAGAACGCACGAGACTTCCAGAATGCTGCAGAGAAGAGCGCAAATGACTTGAAGAAGGACGGCAAGAAGCTGGAGAAGAAGGCCGAGGCCGAATTCGACAAGGCCAAGGGCAAGGCTCAAGAGGGCTACGAGAAGGCTAAGAAGGAGGGTAGCAAGGTCGCAAAGGAAGTCGAGAAGGATGCAAAGAAGGCTGGCGACTGGGCTGAGAAGAACCAGAACAACCCAGTCGTACTCGGCAATGCTGTCGCCATTGCTGGTCTTGCAGCTCTGCTGGGCACTGGCGCATACCGTGCGCACAAGTCCAATACCCTGACGTGGAACGTCGTGGGTGCATGGGCAGGCGTGGTTGGTCTGTTCGCAGTGGGTGACTACTATGTGTCACAATATTTCTTCAAGAAGTAAGTGAGACTCTGGCATTACGCTTCCAATCGTTGTGCGACAGCACGGCGATGCCCCGGGGCATCCTACCTAGAATCGGCGAGAGCGTTCGGGAGCACGGGCAGCACGACGCGTGCTTCCACGCAGGCTTCAGCTTCAAGGCAACGCGCCACCAGGAAGCCATGAAATGATCACAGCAACGAGATAGAAAGTAAATTACTAACGCGTTGCTCAGGTATCCACCAAAGAACTAGGAGCTAGCCGAGGATGAAGAAGGAGAGGTTTCACAGTGCCCGCAAAATAATCCATGAAAACGACATCAATCATCGCAAGAGGACGAGGACATGTGTGATGACTAGAATCAACTGGTTCCGAACGCACGCGAGGGTGAAATCAACCCAGTGTGGGCCAGCATGTCTGCGATCGTGCTACATATGATTGACACATTGAAGAGTCGTTGCGAAGTTTTTGACCTCTACACTCATGCGATATCTGAAGAAGAGATGAGGGATGATTTCAGCGTTCTTAGCTCTCAGGCACACCCATTGTATAGTAGTACTGCCTAATTGTTCATCAACGTGTCCTGTTGTCTTCGCATCGCATATCTCAGAGCACTGAATATCCTGCCAAATGTAGTCAACGCACTTTCAGCTGCGAATGTTCATTGTTGCCCCTGTTGGCCAACTGGCGCGCGCCATCTGACGTAATCGCAGTCCACAAAACCGAACTTCAACACTTCCAGCCGAGACAAAGTTGCCAAATGGCTTCACGGTACGCAACTCTCGCGACTTGAGAACAGAACTCCAAAGAACTAACGGTAGGTCTTCGCAAACTCGTAGGTTCGCCCGTCAAAACGACGCGCGCAACGCGCTCTTCTCCAACTACGATTCCGCATCAAATCGCTCTCGACCCGGTTCCGCTGCCTCGAACCCTCAGCGCTCTTCAAGCAGGAACCCGCCATATGCCAGTACAGGCTCACCGTATGCGCTGAATGGCGCCGCGAACGATAATTTCGCGCCCGCAGGCGGCAATGTCTATGGAGCGTATAATGCTGGACCGATGAATGGAGGGGGCTCTTCGCCGTATGGGGTTACGGATAAGAAGAATGATGATGCGCCGGGGTTCAGGTCTGCGACGCCGGATCGCAAGGGGAGGTATAGTGATGCTGTGTTGGAGAGTTTGGAAAGTCAGAATGATGAGCAGGCTGGGGAGATGAGTAAGAAGGTGAAGATGTTGAAGGAGGTGAGATATTTTGGGAGGATCTGTGGGTGGTGGGGAGAGGCTAAAACTGTTGCAGCTCACGATGGCGATTGGAGACGAAATCCGAGACAGTACGAAACTTGCGGATTCGATGAACGATTCGTTTGAAGGGGCGAGGAATCGACTGAGGGGGACGATGAATAGCATGTTGAGGATGGCAGAGCGGACGGGTGTCGGTTGGAAGGTGTGGGTTCTGTTTTTCTTCTTCATTTGGTGTTTGTTTGCATATGTGTGGTTGTTCTAGGTTTCTGCAAGGCGATTCCCAGTTAAGAGGGGACCGGTGGCAGCGTTTCTAAGCATAATACGAACATGGCATATGAAGAGGACGAACGAAACATATTGACTGCAGTCAGATCATACCTCAAGGCTACTAGTGAACGTTTACTCGGAAAGATTCTTCCTGCTTGACTATCAGTCTCCGTTCTCCTGGCACCTCTGAAATGGCACGATTCTTGGAGAGAGATACACCGTTCGGTGACGCTTCCCGACTCAGAATTCTTTCTATGTTCTGGGCATCTCCGCATTCATTCCCTCAGAAACTACAGCATTCACGGAGAAACGTGTCAAACAATTGCTTTGCGCCAGAATTCATCCTCGCCGATGCTCCAATATTAACTCCAAACCTCTTTGAAATCCCTTCATACCAGAATACGACGTCTTCTCCTCCAAAATTGCTTGCTCAAACTCTGCACATGTCCAAAACCCACGCTCCTTGCCCAGAATGGCGCGCCAGATATCCATTGCGGCATCTAGAATAGCCACTGTTGACCAACACTAACTGTTCTACATTTGGACTGAATGCAAGTGCTGCCACATGGACACAATGGCCGTGATCTCTTGAGTATCCGGGTCCACTCGCAAAGATATATGATGTTGTGTATTGCTTCTCGAAAAAAGCGAGAGAGGGCCAAAGAATATAAATTCAACGCTTGCGACATCCTCATGGAGCTAGTCGTGCCATAGTTCGCCCTGGGCAACAATGACTGGAAACTTGACACGATCGAAAACCTCATGTAGATAGTCGTTGAATGCATCCAGAACCTTTCCACCGTGGAGCTGTTTCAACTTTTTCCGAAGAGAGGCACTGCTGGCACCAACACTCTTCATTGTATTGATATACGGAATGAGATCTGTGCCGAATTGGTCCGGGAAACCCTAGTAAGCAGCCTGGTATACGCGATCGAAGGGAAAGCTTGACCACTGAATTGCTGACATTCATCTGTAGGGTTGACGCTGCCTTGACACGGGTAGGTTATCAGACACGCAAACGGACTATCGAATTGTCCACTCGGCGACATCAGGCAAGTTTCTGGGATGTTGATATCTGGGATCTTCGCAAGCTCATCTGCCAAGCGCTGTTGGAAATGGGACAGAACTTCAGAGTCGCCCGCTGGCCACGGGGTGCTAACATCCAGCACGCCCCTTGCGCTGTCGAGATTTGACTGAGAACGTTGCAATTTGCGGACGAATCGAGTAAAGCGATCTTGAAGGTCGTCCATAGTGGCACTCGTGAACTTTTCGATCAGATCTGTTGGGGAGGCGGTAGCGAGCGCCCCAGAAAGGAGTTTCCTTGCAAATGACAATGATAGGAAATGCACATTCTCATCCGTGCGTGCTGGAGTTACCTGCCATCGAATATCTTCGAGGAGCAGTCGGGTTTGCAACTCGGAAGTGTCTACAAGAGAGATCAATCCGAGGCTTTAGGCAGCCAAGTCTTCGTGGAATTCACCAGGCTTGTAGACAGACAGGCATCGAACATATTCTCGCTCCCCATCTATTCCATTCAGCTGATCCAGCACCTCGGGCTCAGACTTAAAGTCCTCTTCGACTTTGATCTCCACGTCCGCAGCGGCATCGTCCGAAGTCACCACGGTATGTCTTGACTGGAAGAAGCAGTCGAAGTCCGCCTTGTTCGCAGAGGTCCGAGCGGGCAACCTCAGAATATTCATCTGCGCGGAAGCAACATGACGACCGAGCAGTCGATCCCTTGCCTGGCCATATAGCACAGTTCGGCTTGCGTATCAGAATGATTCTCCTTGCTCCTGTGCTGCATGCCAGCGCCGGTCCTCCACCCATCAGGAGCGCGACGCCTAACTGCATAGAAGTCGCGCTTCTACTAAGCCTGTGATCGGATTGAACCGGATCATCGATATCTTTGAGGCCACCACAGACGGGATACCATGTGTATGTACACTTGTGTGATCACGACATTATCTTGTATGTCAAGTGTCAACTCATCAGGGTGGTAGATACCGAGAGGCTGAGTTGCTGGGGTGTCCAGAGCGGTATTGCCTTATTCCGCACGCGCCTAAATCCGCTCCGCTTTTCTTGTATTGACCTGTGACTCGCCATTGGTCTCGGCGGGATCGTCTTCATCAATCAATCGCCGCTTGGTCCTTGCCAATGTCTGTGCATTGATTTGTATCTCGCCTTTGGTCTCGTTGACGGCTTGGATCAGTATAAGAGTAAGTATCTCCGGGTCGGCCATGTTAGCAGATACCAGTAGCTGCTTATGTGTTTCTTTAAGCCTTTCCAGACAACCTCCAGTACGGCTCTGTTCTCTGTAGATCCATACGGCCCCATCAGCTGATCGAACTCATTCTCATCCCGGTCGGAACGCAGTATATGGACACCAGCAGACTATCTGGGCTCTTGTCCCAGTTTTGTTATCATAAGATCGTGTTCGGCACAGAACTTAGGAATTGTACCTTTGGGGACGATGCATCCACGCCGCTCATGCTCCGTAATCAGCTGCCGGAAGTCTGCGACCTGGTTCAGTTTTGGCGATATGCCTGTTGGCAACTTTGTGAGCTAGGAGTCTGAACTCATCTGCAAAAGCAGTCCCAGTCTCTCAGTCGGCTTCAGAGGAAATATCTATTCGAGGCTACATTCAGGAGCTCTGCATTCGTATCTTTTTCAGAGAAACGTATTGTTCGTTGTCGATTTACGCGGTAGAACCATCACGATCGAGCTATGGATCTTTTGCCCGATCATACGAGCTATTGCGACCACCATGTGAGACCGAATGTTCGTATATTTGTGCCTGCTGCGTCTTGGAATTGTTCAAGGATGACTGTTGGCGACACGTTTGCCAAAGCCGCGGAGAATAGCTCTCGCGCAAAAGACAGCGACAACTAGTAGATGGCGTCTTCTGTGTGTGCTGAGTGAGTCCGCCATCGAGTATGTTGTAGAAGCAGTTCATATCGCAGCTCCGATGTCTCCGCAGAAAATATTGATGCCTCGCTCCAAGGCGTCAAGTCTTCTCCGAAGTCCCCCGGTCGATCTATACACAGGCATTGAACATATTGTTCTGGAATGTCTATTCCAGAATTCCCACCAGGTGTTTCCAGTCCGGGCTCGGACGGACTGTCTTTTCCGACTTTCACCTCTGTGTCAACGTGTGTGATCGTGGTACTGTCGTTGACGTTAACATCAGCCTCATCGGGGAGAGGGGTGTATGATTCCTGTGTTGTAGCGAGGTCACGATCGTTGGGAGTGAGTGCTTTTCTTCTCATCGGCTCAGGGATTACCTCGGTCTCTTGAGTCTCTTCAAGTCTGCCTTGTGGTGTCTCCCATCCGCTGCTGATGTCGGGGATCGCCTCGCTGTCCGAATTATCCAGTGTGGTGGTGCTGGGCGTCGCAGCAACCTTCTGTCTCTTCGCGCTCCTCATCATCATCTCGAATTGGGCATCGATCTCATCGAGAGCAAAACCCAGCACTCGACTAAGAATCTCGCTCTCTCCGATGCCAGAAGACTCCATCAGGGCCCTGTGCTTTTCTTTGAAGGCAGTCTGGACAGGTTCTAGATTGTCAGCGTCCGGAGCGATTGTGTACACCTTGATCAGTTGGTTGAGTTCGTTCTGGGAAAAGCCGGCACGCAGAATCCGTAGACCAGCGACAAGTCTTGGTGCATGTGCCCAGTCCTTGAGAGAGCGTTTCTGGATGAACTGGATGAGTTCGTTGTCCGATATGACGCGGCCCTGTCGCTCGCGGTCGTTGATCAGGCTGTCAAAGTCCTTGAGCTTCGGGAAGTCTTAGTAAGATTGATTACACGGGATGTAAAGAAGTGGGAGTGCAACTTACGTGCAGCAGCCTAGGTATCCCGCGTGGGTTTGTGGCACTCCTGGCCCTGGATTGCGCTGAATAAGGCTTGACCCTGAGGGTTCGGAAAATTGAAGTCTGATCAACGTCAGCGACAGCACGTCCATGTGAGTGAAACCCGACATACATCGTTCACGCCCATGCTCGTGCTGGCCGTGCCCACGCTCGCGGTTCTGCAACTTGCGGTGCTCGAGCTCGCGGTTCTCGTACTTGTGGTGCTCGAGCGCGCGGTGCTCATGCTTGCGGTGATCGGGCTTGTGGTGCTCATGCTTGGGATGCTCGAGCTCGCGATGCTCATGCTTGGGGTGCCTTCGTCGTAGTTGTTGAGCCGCGGGTCAATCTGCTGATCGAGCTGCTGATCGAGCTGCTGATAAAAGCTGTTGAGTGTGAAGTGGAAGTGCTGGCGTTAGGAAAGGTGACGCGTGAAAAGGCCCTGCTCGTTGCCGATGTCTGCTTCATTTCCTAGGTAGCCGTATGCTGGAGACTGGAGCAATGGATACGGGCCAACGGGCGGAGTGGAGTTGTAGTCAGCTATCGTGGCGGCAGCTGGGCGTTGGTACGGCGTGCCGTGCAGTACGCCGCGTGAGGCACCGCGCGCTGTGTCTTGCCTTGTAGGAGGCATTGCCGTGGCAGGTCAGATACGCTCGAAAGAATGAGTGTGGTCATTGAGGTAGAAGTCGATGAGGTGGTTGGAAGCCCGAGGTGAAGTTGATTTAAAGTTGTCCGCATCACTTCCAACGACACTACTGAGGAAGTCGCAACCAGCGACCGCCGGTTCTTCCAACGCGTTTCATCCCCAGCAAATGTCGTGTTACATGTACTCCCAATGTGCTGGCCGCGTATTCTGTGTTTCAGGTGAAGACTTCAGCGATACGAGTCCGGCTCCACAAAACTCTCCAGCTTCTACATCTGATCTCTCAGGCGCATTTGCTCCTTCGCCTAGTCATTGGCTTCGTCTCGCAGTTCATCCAGTTGCTCTTCCAGTGCAGTCACCTCTGCGCGTGGGAGCACACATTGATTGTAGCCGTGGCCTTCTTCATTGTACGCAGCTTGTGGAGCTTGCAGGGTCACCATTGAGGCGTCGCAGCTACTGTGCTTCTTGTAGTAGCAGTGAATGCAAGACTTTGGGAGGTCCCTTCCAGCAGCGCGTGCTTCGACACTGTATACCATACACTGGACTTCGTCTTTGGCACACTGGTCGCAGGGAACTTCTGCTTCGGCTCCTTGGTCCGTAAACAGTACGGCGACGAGATGATGGATGCGAAGCTGCTCTTGCTTATTTGCGTTATTGAATGTGTCTTCTGGTAGGAGGACCACTCCTGGGCTTCTTTCCTCTTGTCAGTGCTGAGCTGCTTGTGGGGTTCCGGCGTCAGGCTCTGCTCAGATACGCCCGCCGAGCGCTCTTCCTTGCGACCAGACTTCTCCTATTTGACCGGCTTCTGTATGCCGCAGCTAAATCCTCAACAAGCAGTCAAATGCTGCGTTGAACAATTTTAATCGCAGTGAACGATATGGAAACGCCCAGCAAACACTTTCGAAAACGCAGCATGGAATGTGAATGTCTTGATCGCAGTCGTGAATGTGGCCTGAGTATAGATAGATCTCAGATCTTGATCGTCAGCTCCGCGCAACACGTCCGCCTCCACACGTCTGAATCAAAAGCCTTCGATCATGTCTACCGCAGACATTGAACCGCCGTCCTACCATGAAGCCAATTCGGAACCACGCGTAAGCACACGCAATCGAGTCGAGCATGAAGCACAAGTAAGCTAACTTACACATCAGGCCATCCCACTCATCATCCAACTACACCAACACTCTCCTGGTCAACTTCTGGACGAGCATTTGATGACAGCCGGCAAATTGCTCAGCGAACAAGGCGATGCTATCCTGCTGCCTACCACGACCACGTACCAAGAAGCTCTCACGTTACTCAAAGGTCGAGTGCTGGCCCGCGCTGCTCTGATGGCATCTTCTAAGCAGTACAGATTCTTCTGTAGACTGACTGCGATGATTGATGGGCAACAGATTCTGCTGGAAGAAGGAAGTTGGTTGGCTGCGAGACATTTCTTGCGGTATCATGACGATGCGGAGCTGCATTTTCTGTTCAGCATTGTGCCTACGAAGTATAGTGGTGATGGATTGTTGGAGACGATGCGCAGGAAGTTTGGAGGAGCCGAGATGGAGAAGATATGTTTAATCGAACTCGGTTTGTGATGTTCGGGTGGTTGCTTGTGTGAAGCATCACGTGCTTGGAGCAGAGATGAAGTGATGGAGAACTCCGTACGAATTGCACTGCAACGTGTTCATCTCGCACGAATTATGACGATTCAATCACTCCTTGCCTACCTCCGTGCCTGTGCCTTTGTTGATGTAGACCTCGCTCAGAGATTCGACAATTTGCAGTCTGCTTCGATCTGCGAACGCAATCTCAGCATTGCCCGGTCTTTGCACCAGCACGGCTTGCATTTTAGCCTCACGAGCAGCATCGATCTCCTTGACGTTGTCACTCAGGAACAGTATCTGCTCAGGTTTCCACTGTTGCACGTCAGCTCCAAGCAAGCCAGGCAACTTCGGGCTTTCCGAAGGCGTTCGTACCTCAAGTTCCCGAGCTATGGTTGCATAACTCGCCGACTCAGTTTTCATGCCAGCGTTGGTCGTATCAAACCAGCCGTCGAACAGAGCGGTCAAGTCCTCAGTTCCAGGTGGCTGTTCATCATTGGCAGAGCCCTTTCCGGCATCGTCAGGTGCTTTGCCAGCATCACCACTGGTCGCAGGAGTAGTTGCAACAGATTGAGAGCCCGCTCCGGATGTGACATCAGAATCATCATCACCGCTTGTCTCAACGAGCTGCTTCTTGGTCGGGGGCTTACCCGCATCGGACGCTTGAACTTCGGTATCCCCTATCGGCCTCGCACGCTTCGTTCCCGTTGCGGGCGTTGTCTCAGTTGTTTGCACGTGGCCGAACAGCAACTTCTGGGCAAAGACGCTGCCTGAGGAGTAGATGGCGAGAGATAAGCCGTCGTCCTTCCATTGCCGAAGTTGGGGAACCACATCTTCGAAGAGGGTTGTTGCATAGGCACCAGTCCGATAGCCATCTTGCCATAGGTAGCCTTGAAGATTTTTCAAATAGGCAACCTTAACATCGCGCTTCGTGAGATCCTCCACGTGCGCTTGAAGAGCTTCTGGCGATTTGCGATGCTCTTCTGGAAACGCGTCACGATAAGGCACGAACGTTACGTCGTCCCATTTTCTGCTGAGGACAGCTGGCAACGCCTTGAGGGCGTAGGGAAACTAGAGGCAGCCGTGTGAGCACGAGGTGTCGTTGTGCCGAGCGCTGTGGTTGGAATGTGAACCAAGAATTGAACACCTACCAACGTAGCATGGACGAATGAGATGGGGCAAACAGTCCCTTCTACGCCGCATGTCAGTCACGAGCGTCAACCTCCAATACACCCATTCGACGGCATGCCGTACCAATGTCCAGAAGTACACAGCTGATTCCGTCCATTTTTGTGGTGTCGCAGGTGATGTGTTGCGCGGCGGCAAGCTTCCAAGCTCTAAGCGACATGGTTGTTCAGACACGAATGTGGCCAATCACAGCGCCACAATCGATGCAGGAACCATCCATCCATCGTTCGGAGGCGCCGCGCCTTCCTCGTGGACGCTCATCAGCCAGGAAAAGAGGAAGGTGTCGGTGCGAAGCGCTGAGTGAGGCATTGATGAGACATTGGACGTGCAGACGTTTCGCTGGACCAGTTGAGCTGAACTGCCAAACAACACGTTTTCGGCGTCGAGTCGTGGATGGTTCGCCATGGTGAGAGTTGGCCAGCATTCGTGCAGTGTTATTTTCTTACACCGCCATGTGTAGTTCCCTCACCCGCAGGCTCCTATGTCTGAAGAAGCCCGATCATAACGTTGGCGCGATTAACGAGGCGTTGTTCGTCCGGCCTTGGTTATGTGACTGAAAGATAGGCTGCAGGACCGGAACGCAGTGCATGAGAGGATGAAAACACTCCGTCGAGCTACTGCACGAGGTAGATGTTGTCCCAGAAAATTTTCACCACGCCGACTCTACATTGGCTGTGGGTGTTATGCTCAGATTAAAGAGTGCATACAATGCGTTTCGATGTCTCCAGACTTGTCACCCCTTCCACACCGACTGTTACACGGCAGACGAGCCGTGTCGAGAGTTGCTGCGCTTGACGACCTATTCTGGCTGCTGAGATGCGGACTGGGCCGGCAGCACGTGCACATCCCGCAGCGTGTACCTGTGACGGCGCGACTGCCCGTGCCGCGATGTGCCAATGGTCCTCGTTCTGGATGAAGCCTTCTGGCAGAACTGACTCGGGCAGGCTCTGGCGAGGCCGATCCGAGGAGCTCTGCTGGGCGACGCGCATCACATTCCAGCACACGTGACAAGCCATTGTGTTGTGCTCGTCAGCATTGCAAGCACGGTGGCAGGCAATCTGGTGGCTCCATTCGTGAAAATTGCACTCATCACCAGGCTTTGTCAGGATACTACGGCAACGTCATCAACACCACCACCACAAACGGGCGTGCCATTATTGTGTCCGAGGTGCTCACGAGGACAAATACACGAGCTAACGATCGGTAGTGGTCTCGCCTGCCTCCGACCTTGGTGGCTGATGTTTCCTGCATGAGCCCGTACCGCCGTACCTCGCCGTGATGCATTGGCTCACGCGGTCGGCTGCCAGAATGTGTAGCTGCGAGTGCGAGCTCGCAATGTACCACTGTGAGATGTCGAGAGGTCGTCGTCGAGATACAATATACCGTCGGAGGTAGGGGGTGAGCTTGGTGCCATTGGTCGATCGATAAAGACGCCGCTGTTCGGGCTATTCGGCTGAGTAGAGATTGCGCTTTTCCTGTCCCAGCTTGCTTCGCCTACTTTGAGTGACGTGCTGGCGGGGTCGTCCGCTCTTGCAATCTCGCAATTTCCCTAACTTAGAGTTCGTCGTGGCCACCTCTGACGAAGGCTTGCGCAGCCATTGGCTTTGCAGGGACAGTGCCCTTGAGCCTGAAGACGTGGACTGACAGCTCTCTTGGTGTGAAACGGCGTCTACAGGCATAGCTACCGCTCGGTCAGAGCTGCCAGCAAAGCGTTTCAAGGTATCAATCAGCGCCCGTGAGCCAGTGGCAGACACAGTGCGACGCTGCTGCTGCCGCCGACGCCGACGCCGACGAGATAGACAAGGGCGCTTCGAGGCGGAAAGCGGAAGAACGTGGAAGAACAAAGACCGTGGACAGAAGTGAGTGGCAAACGAGTCTCGGTCACGCCTGCCATCCCAGCATTTTCGGCATGCGTGATCATACACGCTAGGCTGCATCCGTGCCTTTAGCTTGCGCGGCAAGGTCTGGCTTGGAGACCCAAGCGTCCTGCCGCTCCTGCGCCCACCCGTCCAACAGCCTCCCATCGTACACCGCTCAGTAACCTTCTCATCACCAAGTCTCTCGTCAAAACCACGTCCTGCCGCTGCGCATTGGGGCAGACCGCACTTGCATTGCACACGTCGCAAGCCCTTCCCGACCGTACACACAGCTCTTGCACGTCCACCCGTACCGCGCAGAGTCAGGGAGCAGTCGACTAGACGTCAGGCGGACAGCAACGAGCAACAGCAACAACCCGCCGCCCATACCTCATTCTACGCTCGCAACCTCCTACGAGATCACCGCCATCCCCGCCATCCGCCGCCAGATGTAACTGCGCGAAACAGGGTCCCCAGTGTCCGCTACGCCCGCCGGGATCTTTGCAGCGTCATCGGCACGCTCGACAAGGAAACAAAGCCACGCCTCCAGCTGTCATCTTGGAACACCCCCATCACGCAAGAGACCCACGCAAAGGCACTCGCCTGGCTGCCTGCTCTCCACTGCTATAACAAACAACCCGGCCTCACGAACTCAGTTGGCGCCCCTTTGATGTTCGACAAGGAATAGCAGCGTGCTCCCGATCTCAGGCAGCTCCACTACTCTTCCGCCCGCATACCTCCTCGACTCACATACCCTCTTCTGGATCGACGCACCCCTCGATCGACCTCACCTTCCGCCCGCACCGACTACTCCTCTTCTTGTCATTTACTTCTCCGTGTACTTGCTTTATACCGACAACTCCGAGCCGAACACACCACCACATCTCTTTGTAACGCCATAACGACCATACCTGCTCCTTGACGGACGCGCACCTCGACCACGCCAAATCTGGGCGAGCTATTCCACCAACAACACAAATCTCCTTGTACACATGATAACACCGACAATCCATATGTTCCTTTAAAACTACCACAACTCCGGCCATCACCACTTTGTTACCGCCAGCGGGCGACTGAGCGACTTGTTTTCTGTATTGCTATTGCGGACCGAGCAGGAGTTCACTACGGTGTGTTGCCAGCGAACGACCTTTAACGGCATTGTGTGTTGGAGCGGCTGAGCCTTTTCCATTTGTTGTTTACGAACCTCGACGAATCCCACGGACTATTACCCTATGGCCTGTATGCGAGATGGCTTTGAACAAGGAAGACCACTCGATAATGGACGGTTTATAACTGTCAAACCACTCAACCATGGCTCATTCGGCATGGTGTTTGCCGCTCACGACACCCACACCGGACAAGACGTCGCCATTAAGTGCATCACCAAATCTGGCGCCAACACCAACTGCCCAGCTGCAGTAGCCACCGACGACTACTCCGAGGAGCTCAAGATCCACTCACGATTGCCGGAGCACCCCAACATCGTCAACACCGTCTCCAGCTTCCAGACCGACAACCATACGTACATGGTGCTTGAGCTCTGCAGCAATGGCGACCTCTACGAGGCCATTCGCATGGGCAAGGGACCACTTGAAACAGGTCACGTTCGCGACTTCATGCTGCAACTCGTCAGCGCCGTCGAGCACTTGCACGACAATGGAGTCTACCACCGCGACATCAAGCCGGAGAACATCTTCCTGACCTCCGAAGCCACCATGAAGCTGGGAGACTTCGGACTGGCCACGACGGACACCTGGTCCACAGAGTTCGCTGTTGGCTCGGACAGATACATGGCTCCCGAACAGTATGACGCTGGTGTTTACGGATACGGATACTGTCCAGCACAGGCCGACGTCTGGGCCATTGGCATCGTCCTGCTGAACGTCCTGTTCCAGCGCAATCCGTTCGCGACACCAACAATCAAGGATCCTCTGTTCGACGACTTTGCTCGCGACCGCCAAAGCCTGTTTGACGTCTTTCCCAATATGTCACAGGATACTTTCAATGTGCTTCAACATTGCTTGGCTCTTGACCCGTCGAATCGGTCTCTGACTGCCGTCAAAGAAGCGCTCGAGGCGGTTGTCAGCTTCACTACCGACGATGAGGCGTTGGACGACTTCTGCACTGATCAATGCGAAATCGCTCCAATCGCAACCGCTGCTCGCGAGCCGTTGCGAACGCCCTCGGTGACCAGCCCCAACCTTCCAGGTGTGGACTCTTTCCCATGGACCGCCGCCCTGCTCAAGACGCCGCAGAAGCCGACCCGTCAGTTGTCTACAATCCAAGACGAAGACATGGACTTGTTTCCCGCGTCTGCCAACAACTCAGAGTGGCAGTACGTCGACGCCGACGAGGCTTCCCTCTCTTCCAATGTCGACTCGGGCTTGGGCTTGTCTTATAAGTCCACCAAGTCTATGAAGTCCATGCACTCTACGGCTTCTTCTCTCAAGAAGCCAAAGTCTGGTTTCGTGGGATCCTTGCCAATCAGCTTCTCTCGCCCAAAGACCTCTCCCTATGGTACCAGTGGTGGCTTCTCTAAGAGCTGGAGCGATCTCTGGGACGAGGAGGAGGAAGAAGCCGACGCTGCAGAGGAAGCAATCGTTGACAGCGATCCCATACTTGACCAGACTGGAATGGTGTTCGATGAATCGCGCGCCGTCGAACCAAGCACTCCTCAACTCAACATCATCGCTTTGGAAGACGGTCGAGGCAGTGTGACGCCACGTCAAGCGTTCGCTCGACTCGATGTCAACGCGCGCTCTGCGACACCCCTGACTGAGACCGAGATCGATGGTAACGCTGACCAGCCTGCGAAGGTGCTGCCTAAAGTCAAGTCATCTTCCATTCTGGACCGCTGGGCGGCGCTTGGTAACTTCCGCCGTGCTCGACAGGACCCAGTGCCTGCTGTCACTCCTATCACCGCTGTTGCCACTCCACCCAAGACCAAGTATTCGGATGCATTTGCCAGCTTCACCTCCTTCGGCAGCAAGAAGAACAAGGCCCAGCCTCAGCCGCAATCCACTTTAGAGCCTGAGCCCAAACGACAACGTGAGCGTGCGCCTTCGTGGCGCCAAGCAAGCCCTCAACGACCTCGGTCGAACTCTGTCAGTGCCAAAATCTGGCAAGAGGACAACAATTGGCGCGAGCACAAGCAACCGCCACTTCCGATCAAGACACAGCCAACGACGGTACAGCGCCCTGTCGAGGTACAGCGACGCTGGCCGGAACCCAGTCTCTTTGACGATGATGCCGGTTACTCTGAAATCGGCCACTTCAGGATGGATATGTAATCATCCTGCGCGCTCGTGTTAGTTCACAGCCTCCCTTCTACGTCAACGCTGTCGGCACATTGCTGTCCATGGTGTTGGCACCCCAATACTTTGTCCAACTGGTTTTTCTTTTTTTCATTCTCACAACAACAACATACTGCAGAAGCATGGTATCTAGGAGTTCTTTTTGGAAAGGCATGGTGCAAAGCACCGAGGGCTGGGCGTTATTGAAAATGACAAAACTGCAGATATGATATCCCCTGTACAAATGGACAAAGTAGCGGGAAGGATGGGAACGCTTAGCTTCACTGATGGATGACAACAACCATACCATTTGTAAAGCATCACTCCATAAGAGTGATTGTACTGAACAACACAATTTTTAAAGGCGCAAAAACTCTTCTCTCTTCCTGTCTCAATTTTCGATGTCTTCTTCTCTTTGCTGTGATTATGTTTTACTGATTCCACTGCAGATTGATGCCACGCCTGTGCTTTGTGATGAATCATGGCAAGTACGATGATGAAGAGATGGGTAGTTTTGTCATCTGATGTTTGAGTACAGCAATGGTTCATGTTTGTGGTGGAATACAACAGCTACTGTGATGAAATGATGGAAGTGGCATCGCTTTGCAATCTCGAACATGTTATTTCTCTACTGTGCATCGTAGATCGATATCTACTTCCTCGAGACACTCGTAGCATCCGACTGTCCGTATTCCGTTGATGATATTCTCATATCTATCTTCGAATTTCTCGACGACGAATCTGGATTCTACCGCACACCTGAAGAGAGACAAACACGAGACAACAAACTGCGAAAAACGGCAACAGCACAAGGAACTCAACTGTCGGTCTCCCTCCTTCCTCAAACGTACAGTAGCCCGATAGAGTGGTCTCTTGCAGCCGTAACTCAGCAGGGTCGAACTCAGTACCTGAGTACAAGAAGTTGTTGGTTCAGGCACGGAAGCTCATCCTCAGTCAGGCCACTGCTCATCAACAACAAACAATTAAGTCAATTCAAGTTCATCAGAGCTGTGCCGTACATGTGCCGTACCCTCATCATCAGTCTTGAAAGTCTTTGTCATTCAGGAGTCTAGAATGCTGAACTCTCGAGTGCGAAGTCTCATGTTCCACGTTGCGGTATCCGAATCGGAAACTGTCATTCGGTTGTCCAATCTGCGCTTCCTCATGGATGAAGTTGACAGGCCAACGCTCTCCTGTTGGGTTCTCGACCAGTATCTTTGATGTTCTTCAACTGTCTGGAACCGTGTCGCAGCGCAGTGCACGTGTCCCATCATCAGCACCTCGACCCAAGCGACTGCCGAAACTCATGTCCAGCGAGTAATAAGGCGAGCGAACGAATCTCGAAACTTCCATGCACTGCAAGAGCCAAGCAGTCGACATCTTAAGCCTGTCTCTGATGATCAGAGCCTACAGACCCCTGTCATGCCAAGAAACAGGTTAGAGCTTACGGAACGACAGCAAACTTTGGTACTGTACTTATTTTGGAGCCTGGCCTGGCAAAACAGGCAGTAGCGAATGCCAGAATTGATGGAACCACCGATAAGAAGCTCTGTTTTATCGACAAGTCCACAAGTCTCCGTATCTGTCGAGCTCTCATTTCGATACTGTATACATTCATCGGCGATTGCAGAGCTATCGCTTTTCTCACCCTGTGAGATGGATGTCAGCTGCGTTGTACAGGTCTTGTCTTCACACGGCAACCGCCGCTTCACCCGCACTGCTCATCAGCATGCAGGGCAGCAATGACGCCAACGCCAATGCTGGGAGCGGAGGTGCTCGCGATTGCCAGGTACAAGGTTATAGAGTGATAGAGTTTGAATCAGACGGAGCTCGAAAAGCTAGCCATGTTCTGTCCAGGTTGCAGCTACCATGCGCAGGGTGCACCGATGCGTGAGGAGGATAGAGTTCAGGGGTTTGGAGTGTGGAGCTGCTGGTACAACTTCTAGAAATCGCGAGAAAGGCCAGCTGCGTCTTGTTGGAGAACACATGCGTACAGAAAGGTGGAGCAGGTGATCGGAGATGCGTCGTTCTTCGTGGGTCGAGACCATCATGATTGTTCGGCATGTTGCAACGCTTTGCAATAGTAGCACATGTGTAAGCTCGAGATGTCGACTTCCAGTACGTCGATCACGATTGCAAGCGTGATGAAGAGCTTGACATCGTGGTCAGAGACGCATTGCGATCAATTCATATACTGTAGTACTTGCATTGCATGTGCAAGACGTGGAGCACTTGGTGAACAGCCTCACTCAGAGATTACTGGTCAGCTAAGCTCATCAAGGAACGTGGTAGTGTCGCTTTTCACCGGCCCAGTCGTCCAACAAGTCATGGAGTACTGTAGTGTAGAATCGAAGTCGGTATCGGAAACCAAGCTGAGGGCAACAAGAGTAGCTCTGGCATAGCTTGTCTCCTTCGAGGGAGGCCGCCGACCGACATCGAGACTACCGTACCATTCGCCCTGGTTGTCAGCCTGTACGAGGAACAATGAGAGATCGCGAGAAGTGCATTGCAGCTGTTTGAGCATTGATGGTATTGCATATGCCAAGGGAACATGCTCGGTTCTCCAAAGAACACAAATGCCCTGGACTCCATGTGACTTTCTGACTATGCAACATGTGACTTCAGTGCGGGCTCCGGCATTCAAAGGACGGGGCCAATCGCTCTGGCTCGAGTCTGGATTATGTTGGCGTCGTGTCGAGAGCACTTATGCGTCTGTTGACGTGTGGGTTGACGCGATTACGTCTGCCACCTTGGCAATATCGTCCATCGGTACCCACTCCGGCCAGCGCTCGTCTACGATCCAGCTACCGGTCTCTGGTTGGCCCCGACCGCCTTCCTCGAGCTTCCGCCAGACGGTACTGACAACGCGTTTCTTGTCTTCTTCCGGGGAACGTTTGGCACAAAGGCGTACACCTGTTCCTTGCTGACCTCGCCATACCTCAATGTCGATCTCGCCCCGGTCAATGTTCCTCAACGCGACGACGACAGGCGACTCGTCATCACCCCACACGGTGCTATAGGAGTTCTCCCCAGGATAGTAAATACGCATCTCGATAAGGTCGACAGAGTGCTGAAGGTCCCGTCCAAGACACGACCTGACCAGCTGCTCTAGCTGCTTCTCGGAGTCTGGCACGAGTTTGCCTTGCAATGGCTCTTGTGGCAGGGCATGTCTAGTGCCTAGACGTGCCACTCGAGAGGGACAGTAGTGTCGTGGAGTGTAGGATCCTGCCAGATGCACACTCCGGGATTGCCGCAGCAGCTGGGGAGTGGTGGTGTGCAAGATGTGTAGTCCGGAGGGATATTGGACCCACAGCGACGTACCCCTTTGAGTGGGGATGGAGAAGTGCCGGTGGATCTCGTTCTTGATTTGCTTGTTGATCCAGGAAAGGGCGTGGAAGGAGGTCCGGGTGTTGGGGAAGGCGGATTCTGGCGGCTCGACAGTTGCATCGACAGTTGTGTCTGCTACTGCCGAGAGTAATGCAGGTGCATATTGCGTGTCCACGACGGGCTCATGATTTCGCGGGATGCCGGGGTAGGGCGAGCGACCGAGAGCATAGAGTCGATGCACTATGTCAGCTGGCGCTCCCACAATCTTCGCTGTGCCGATGGTTATGTGGCGGCAGTTCAAGATTGCATGGGCGTAGATTTCAAGACGCAGCTCGACGGGCAGGTCGAGAAAGGTACATTTGCTTGGCTTGAGTGGAGAGGAGGCCATGCCGAGACGGGGAGCGGAAAGTTGTCGACTATTCGCCAGGAGATGGATCTGTCGATGTTCTTCGTGAAGAATGACTGGCGGCAGGTGCTCAGCACTTGGTCATACACATCGCCTCCGTTCCTGCAGGGTTCTCAATGGCTGTGCGACGTGCTCGGTGTATCACCGATCTATTCTGAGAGTGACCGCGAGACCACGTCAGATGGTTTGACAGAACGCTGGCTGTTTGGCCCGACGTTGCCGCCCGCCGTTCGCTCGCTCGTTGGCCGACACGAAATGAACGAGCGTACTGCAACCGCTGTATAATTGTCCACCTGTGGCGCCGGTCCGCTGCCTTGGCGCGCAATGGCGGCTGTTGAGCGGGCATATCCTGGTCAATATCGTGCAATGCTCCACGACGCGACATGCTGCGAGCGGCGTTGACCTCTCGCACGCGTCGACGGCCACAGCACCGCCATAGCAATCTCTCTAGCTTTGTCTACTTCCGCTCTCCTCCTCCCCATGTCCCTGCCACGACGCGTCGTTGCGATGCTTCTCGCCCTCATCGTTCACCACGGCGCGAGACCGGCAACCCCGTCCTCAGCTGCGGACACACAGTAGTTAGCATCCCGCAAACCCTTGTTCATGGGTTGATGCGGAGTGCTGGTACTCCCAGCCCGACCTGTGCGACGTTGAACGTGCGCCCCGAACCGAACAGAATACTGCAGCTGCGAAAACTTCGCGCCATAAACAAGCCTCCGCTCCGTTCTCGCGCCTGAAGGACGTCTCTTCTGCTTACTCCGCCTCACACTCGACCATGCTGTCCTCGTAACCGACTCCGACTTCTGCCTTGTGCACCAGAACACGTTCTCGTCTGCATGCACCTATCAAGATCATGCTGAGGAACACGACCACGAGCACTTGACGTACATACATGGTCCATGACACGTCTCGCCTGAATTCTTTCTTCCCGTCCTTCGACATCTACACTCGCTTTTAACCATGGCCTGGATCTGGTCTCACCACGTTGATCGATCGTCCTTGGTCTTTTACTCCACCACATTTCTGGCCTTCATTGCCAAGTTCATTACCATTGCCACCACCACCACGCTCGCTACTACAGCATTGCTCGGCAGATCGATATTTGCTTTGGGGATTACTGCTTCGGTCTTCGAAATTATTGCCCTGGCTGCACTTCTGGTCGCTGTCGGACTCTTTCTCCGCAGGGTTGATCGTGGCTCTCTCGTACTCGTATGGATACCTGGTGCACTTGTCTGTTTGGTCGGATCTGTCTTGGCCTTGATTACTTCTGCCCACGCACGTTCTCTCAACCACGGCGACGATTACAATGACGATCGCTATGTTCGTCATTTGGCTGAAGCCGGCCTGGTCGCCACATCAATCGGTTTAGTGACACAAATATTCTTCTGGGGCATGATTTGGCCTCGCAACGCGCAGCACAGCGTGCTTCCTACAAACGATCAATACCTACCAGATCAACAAACTAAGCAACGATCCGTCTCTGTCTATCTCAATGCGATTGGTATCAAGCAATCGAGCTCTTTCTTTACGCCCATCAAGGGATCCTCAACACCAATGTCGCCAACATACCCCACATTCCCCACCAATGGAACGAACTCTTACAGAAGCTCAGTATCAGAATCACTTCAACCGATGACTTCCAAGACGAGACTCATCCTCCAAAGCCCTTTCGGCTCTCGAAGCTCCCGGGGTACCCAAGCAAGCACTGCAGTGGCCATTCATTCGATCCGTAGCACCGACGAATTCGAGAACTGGGACACTTCTCGCGTGAAGCACTCATTCGATACGTCGTACCAAAAGAAATCTGCGATACCACGACTGGAGCCGATACCAGGTAGCCGGCCAGTCTCGCCAGCCCACGCTCTAGAAGGACCATTTTCCAACGAGCCCGTGCTTGAAGACAAGCCACTTCCGGACTCTGTGGGGCAATCGCCGAAGATTTCACCAGTGGCGATTGTCGAGGCCGAGAAGAGCCCAATTCGAAGCCTACCACCTCTGCACACACGTCGCGGCAGCACGCCGAGCATTGCCAGCCCAACCAGTCCGGCCGTTGAACACCACATTCATCCTTTGTTTCGTTCGGAGTCGCCTGTTCCGCCGCCACTGACATCGCCCCGAACAGTGATCACGGCCTCGCCTTACGGAGGACAAATCTACTCGCCGGAGTTCGCCCTCCAAAGTCCGAGACTTCTTGGGTCCAGGGAAGGAAGTCGGCCTGCAAGCCCGGCGATCCGATCTCGCTCAGGCAGTACCACGATTCCACCCTCACCCATCGAGACTTCACATGAGCCGCTCCCGGAGCGCAGCTTCTCAAGGCTGGCGGAGAAGCTTTCGCAATCAGGTTCGCCGCATGGCCCTAATGGTTGAAATGTCTTCGTTACAGAACGAACTATGTTAACAGAGCATGACACTCACTCGTCACCGCAACCGCCAAAGAATGGTGGGAGCTTAGATACTTTTCAGCCCGTGCAATGGCATCAGCCTTGTACGTACCAGACCCCAGCGCTCGAGCAGGACTCGCTGTGTGCTGAGGGATATCGTCGAGAATTACGTCCTCTTGTGAATTTGCAACCAAAGAGCACAGAAGCCAACCGTCGCTAGGAAGCGACAAGGAAGAGGGTACTGACCAGCTTGCTGGGAATAGATAGAGAGATAGTGCCGCTGTTTAGGATCGGCGCAAGGTGAAGGGACAAGAAACTCGATGGCGATGGGCAACAAAAAAGAATGGAAGGGATTACGCTTCACAGCTTTATGACAGGACAATGATTATGGAGAAATGAAGCTTCTTGTGACGATACGCATATAGTGTATGCAGCGATAGCAAATGCATAATGTCGGTTTGGCATGGCATGGTGGCCACCTCGCATGAACCGGCTCAAGCCCTAACTGCCGGAACATAGACGTTCCGTTCCGAGGCAGTGGTATATAGAGCCCGCTCGTTCGCTACCTTCTATTAAATAGAAAA